CGTGTAAGGGTTAGCTATCTTAATCATATGTTAATGTGCATCTTATACCATTCCATAAACACGTGATCAAGATCATGTGACAAGGAACCTCATACCTCTAACAGGCAGTCTTTTGTACACGCTTAAATGCTATAGCAAAATCAGACTTCAGAAGTGACAAAAGTTGATATCTTTTTGTTCGAAATAGATGCCGTATTGTTCCAAACTCGACTCTCTTCTGTATAATGTATTCTCGAAAGTGTAAGACTTTATAATTGAAATGTTCTTTTCCTGATCGAATTATGGTATTCTGACTTTTGATTCAAAAAACTCCAAGTATATACTGATTGAGCACGACCTCAAACGTTTAGCATTCAAGAAACTAGATTTTGGGTGCAGATACAAAACCCTTAGGACTGAAAGTAAAATTTTCTCACTATAGTTTCTTCAATTTTTGAGTAGAGATTGCAATTAGTCTCATGACATACAAAAACACACAAGTTTGCAATTAATACTGTAAATAAAATTGAGTAGCTCAAAGTGGGAAGCGGGTACTTGATAGCAATTGGAGAAAGATTTGGGAGACAACACTTGAGGTAAACCTTCAAAGGGCTTGAGAAACAAAAATATTTCAACATTCATTAGTGATCAAATGTTTTGTGATGAAATTGCTGCAAAAAAAACAAAAAAAAATGTGGAATAAAATGTTTGAAACTTACACAAGGGTAATAAATACAAATAATGTAGAAGCTCTCTCCATTGGGATCAGAATACAGTTACATGTCTATTTCTAATCGATAAATTGATCAATCGTAAGCGCTTAGTTACGACTTGAAAACAGAGTTTGATTCAGCTATGGGTTTGATTTGATGCAGCTCCTTGTGTATAGCCACCATCGTCTACTTCTTTTCCTCTCCACCTTCCAATTCTTTTCAATCAAACCAATCTAACCCTCTCCTCATCTACTTGATACTGTCCTTTACTTTGTGATTTCGGCACACGCCGAAGACAAAGACTCTTTAAAGTAGTCGTAGCAGAGGTGAAATCTTGTTTACATTTTGGTAATAATCTTGTGTGTTGACAAATTGATACAAATCTCAATATTTGACAATTCTTCCACGAGTGCAAGAGAATAGAACAAAAGTATGTATTTTGAAAGGCAGAACAAGAAAAGAAACGTCCCCAAAATTGATTTGCTGGACTAAACAGTATTAGCCGGAGATGAAGAATACCTACTCGCATCTTTCCTTTCACGATATCTGCTAACAATAATAACAATAATAATAACAATAATAATAATAAAATATGGCTCGATTTTTGTTGATTTGATTTCACTTTTCACTGTTTTTACTTGTTTACTTCGGTACATCCTTCAAAATGGCTAGTATCAAAGACTGCAAGGAGAGAGAGAGAGAGAGAGAGAGAGAGAGAGATCAATATTGTTAAACAATGGTAGGAGGCTTAGTGTTTGTGAGTTCTAGGGTAAGAGACGTTATTTATTATGAGGTGGGGCCAATTGTTGTCAACGTATCGGCTACTTACCCCAGATTTCAGAAATTAAAAGAGGCAAAAAAATAAAATAAAGAGAAAAAGTGTAAAATTTTTGAAACATGGATAAAATAACGCATTTATCGAGAAACAAAACAAAAAACAAAAAACAAAAAAACAAATTAGTATGCGGTTTTTTTTCCCTTTCTTGCCGATTATAATCTTTTCATTTTTTTTCTGTTGGGAGTATAGCTCTCAGACACAGAAAATAAAATTCATAGATAAACCCAGACACTAATTTATTATTTGGCTGGTTTAAAATAAGACAAAAGATACAATTGCTACTTAAGTATTTCTTGTTTAGGCTATTGTATTGGTGCTAGATTAATGACGTATGGATTGAAATTTAGCACAAAAAGAAGGATGTAATAATAACCAAAAAAAAAGTCCGACCGACATTAGAAATATACTTCACCCTTTTTTTTTTATGTATTGACTTTCAAAAAAGAAATAAAATTTAAATACATGACCCAACAGAAAAAAAAAAAAAAAAAAAAAAAAAAAGACAAAAAAAAAAAAAAAAAAAAAAAAAGAAAAAAGACAGTGGACAGGAACCGCTTTTTTACCACGCATAGGGAGAACAGGGAGGTGAGGTCTTCGAATTGCAAATCTGCTCTCTCGGAACAAAATCAAGGAAGGACGTGTGTGTTCATGAATTCTTAATAATGGCGGGTGCATTCTAACAATTCGATAAATATTTTTTGCATCGTTATAATAACAATGCAGCTCTTTGCTCTACAAGAGTGAAAATTTTCTATCCTCAAGTACACGCCCATGTGCCTTGACAAAAGTAACCAAAAAATATTTTTTAAACTAAACAATAAACAACAAATGGACAAAACAATTGAAAGGACTTATTTAAAATCTGGGGTAACTAGTTTTTTCTTCTTTTTTTTTTTATTTTTTTTTTTGTGGCTTTGATAGATAAACTTTGCCGAATCGATTTTATTACTTCAAAACTTACATGAGAACTTTATGATAACACCCAAAGGTCTCTTTTTGACGAATCTGTGTATCACACACAGCTATTCTATATGGTAGAGAAACTCATTTTTGGCTTTGAAATACAAACAGACTCTTTTGGAAAGCTGAGATGAGCTCGGTGTGGCTAGTAACAGTACGTTCCACACCCTCCCCCTCAGATCCATTCTTCCGATAGTGTCAAGGTATCAAATACTTTCCAAAATATTGTGCATAACACACGGTACTGACAAAGTTGGGAGTGGAACCTATAATGATGATGCTTATCTATCAAAAACAGAAATGGCCCAACATTTTTTAATTTTAAGCTTTCGTTAGGAACGTTTACCTCTAAGAAAAAAAACTCCGAGAGAAAGTTAGAGTCGACAGACTAAAATCTGGAGCAAACGTACATCTTGATGAACTTGGATGAGATGTAGAAAGTCCCGGAGACATGGAAGTGAGACTCCTTGCAACGAAGTCGATACTTGTCTTCTATGAAGTGGAAGTAAGTATTCATTGAAGTAAAGGAAGGGTGGGGTGGGGAGGTGCATAGACAGGTTTGGCTACCAGACTGATTGCCAGCATACGTAGGGCCTAGAACGTTACTTCTTAAGTATTGAAAAGTGCCGACTTGCATGCCTTCCTCATGAGGAAGAGTTTCAAGCTTCGGAATGTAGGGCCAACCAATGCCGCTTGTACTGCCTCCCTTCTTTGTATCATAGAATATGTATATCATTAGTCACCCATGTCTCAAGATCCCTTTCAAACGTGTCCTTCACAGAATTGCACCAAGCTTGCAGTTTAGTAGTGATGCGTCAATTAATTCCCCCAATAGGGAATTTGCTAAATCCGACTACTTACTACTTCCCAATCTGAGCAATCGTCTCTCGTACTTTAAGACACAAAATACAAACAAAGAGGCAAAAAAAAAACAAAAAAATCGTACAGACACTGCCCCGCCATCAATTTAACCGCGACGTAGATCCCAAATATGTCCCAAAAGTGCCCTCTTTTGGTCAACACAATAGTAACGAGAAAGCAAAGGCGGGTCTGTGGTATATATGTACTAGTGTTACACGTAACAAACAAGCACGAGTACACGTAAGCACTGCAACCCACACACCCTTATCTGGAGGGGGGGTGCGCGTCAGGTAGTATATGTCGTTTGTAAGAAACCAACGAGGAAGTGTGGTTATGAGCATGTTCCGAAAAATTTACCCCAGATATGACTAAATATTTAAAAGTAAAATATTTTACCGAAGAGACCTTAAGACGTGACTGCTAGACTGAATTTGATTTGTTGTCACCAGAATCGTCTCTAGAAAAATATACTACTATTATCAGTAGCAACGTGCTCTGCTCTCTGCCTCTCTCTTTGTCTATCCCTTAATTGCCAGAGGGAATTTTCCTAAATAGTCAAACTAGTATAAAGAAAAAGCACGGAACCGGAACTTTTTTTTTTTTATTAAAAAAATCGACCGAAGTCATTTGGTCGTGTGGCTAAAACAAAAAAAATAAAGATCAGAACAATAAAATAATTGTCTGTCCGAATATTGAATACCAGTTTTATTCTCAATCTTACTATATATTACCTTTGTGGCCCTTTGTTATATTTTTTTTTTTTTTTCTTGTCATTGAAATAAAGGATTCAGTGTCTGACTCACATTGTAAGCAAATACTTGGAGAATGGAAACTAGAGCTTTCAAGGACGGACATTAAAACCAAACCACGGAGTTTCTAATTCTTATTATTGTCCAATGTAATCCGGTAGCTCTGTCCCAATCCAAACCATTACAATTATGTTTTCATAATGACATAAAAAAAAGGGGGGTGTATCTTCTTAACTTTGCTATTGTTCTTTCTCCTTTTCTTTTTCTAGAGGGTCAGAAGCGGATGTGTGATTAGACTAAAGACTACTCTGCAATTACGGAAATCTGGTTCAATGCAAAACTTGTGTTAGTGTTGAGCAGTAAAATGTTTTCTCTTGAATCTTTTCTTCTCAGTATGAGTAAGAAAAAAAAAACAGCACAAGGTAAGCCAATAGATTTTATATATCCTGTGTCTAATTTTGTGTCTGCGTCTGTGTCTGAAATTGTATATCTACTTTTGAGTTTGTGTCTGCATCCTTTCTTGTACTTCAGTCATTTGTTTTCTTTCTTTTTTTTTTTTTTTTTTTTTTTTTTTTTTTTTTTTTTTTTTTTTTTTTTTTTTTATTGCATTTTTTCTGTTTTTGTCTCTGAGTATTGCAAAAATATATATCTTCAACAGTTTGTCCTTATTCCTAGAACAATCCCACATTTAGATATACACAGTTAGACAACCACTGGAGGGTGCAATTTTATGATTTACTTTTTACTGATACTACACGATTTTATGAAGAACCACCCTTAGAACTGTCCCCTCACTATTAACTTCCAAGATGAATATGCAACCTTCTTTATCCTTATGCTCACCTCAAACCTTGTCGTCGTTGAATTCCATACTGGACATCAACAACAATAGTGATAGCAGCAGCTCCACCAGCAACATCTTCAACAGCAACACCACCACCAACAAGAAACTTATGCGCAGAAACACCATACATTCTGATATGACCACACCCATTGCTACACAACCCATTCCCAAAAAATCTCAACAAATTAGAACCGATAAACCACGACCACACATGTGTAGTGTTTGCACTCGTGCTTTTGCGAGATTGGAGCACTTGAAGCGCCACGAAAGGGCACACACCAATGAAAAACCATATCAATGCGCAGCTTGTGGTCGATGCTTTGCTAGACGTGACTTGGTGTTGCGTCACCAACAGAAACTTCACACAAATTTGCCAATCTTGATGCGCAAGGGGTCATCTAAGGATCAGGACATCAATGAACACATAAACGTGTTGCAAAACAACACTGATCCAAACGCTCCCTTACCAAATGGTGCTACACCTTTACCAGAGGCTTTGACAGATTCCGACGAATCCAAGAGTAATAGTAAACCTCAGTTTCGTACAGGATTGTTTGGTAACGATGGCCAAACTCAAACAAGTGCAAGCCTGCCTCATCCACTGATGGGAGCATCACCAATCACCTCGAATAACTCACCTAGACCAAGTATCACGCTACACAGCAGCAATGGAAGAAAAGACAGCGTTTCTTTCAACCCTCACTTGAAAGCAACTCCAATGTCACGCCAAAACTCAACTGCAAGTAGAAGGAAATCAAGCCAAGTCAATCAAGAACCATCTCCAGAATCAGACACCCCAAAAAGACAAAAGTTATCCCCGTTGAAACAATCCACTACCGAGTCTAAACAAAAATCGTCTCATTTCATGCACAATTATAGACACGCTTCATATTCAGCAGCATCGGGGACATCCTATGCCAATGTCAGGGACGCATTGAAAATTCAAGAACAAAATGCTCGTGAGTTTGGAGATGCCGTGCCGAGTCAAGTCGAATTTGGTACACCACCACTTGGACCTCATAGTGAAGAGTATCATAAGATTTTGGAAATGGGTGATTTGTTGGATTGGGGTAATATAGACCATTTGGATCTAAGCGATGACAAATTTTCATTACGTCAAAAGTCGCTTAAAAATTTGCAAGAATTTTTTACTCTTGGTTCCAAAAATGGCAATGCTAAAGCAGTGCCTATGCAACATACGCAAAGTCAACCACAGAGGAAATCGATTTTTGCAATTGATGATGAGCCTATGGACCCAGCTGCGGGATTTCCCATGCAACAACCACCGATTGTGGAGAATGAACCTACACAGGAACCATTGCAACACCTACAACACCAGCAGCAGCAGCAGCAACAACAACAGCAACAACAACAGCAACAACAACAGCAACAACAACAGCAACAACAACAACAGGTACACCAATTACATCAGTCTCTGCCACTATCACAACAAGGGTCAGTTTCCTCTACCGGTAGTATAAATCCACTGCAATTGAGTAACAAAAATGGTTCTGCACCACCACCACCACCAAGTGCAGGCATGGGATCTAGAACCTCAATTGAAGCTTCAATAACACCACAAGCTAGCTTATTTGGAAACGGCACGACTCTGGCAGCTCCGGTTCCAGCAGCAGCAGCAGCAACAGCAACAGCAACAGCACCAGTTTTCTCCCACGAAGCTACCACTGACTGGGTCAAGGATTTGGTTAATCCAGCTTTTGATATGAATATGAACTTTAGTGCGAATACCAGCTTTGAAGATTTGAAGGGTTATTTCAACAATCAAAATGTGGATGAAAATACAATCAACCTTCCCAAGAAACAGGCGCAGGATTTCATGCAACAATTGCTAAGCGCCAATGGCCATGAGGAGTCACAGTTTATTGATTACTCAATTGAATTTCCACCCAACTTTTTCAACTCAGATTCGAGTTTGATTTCGGCCGAGATCAGAGACAAAATGATTGAGTTGAGCCAGATTGATGGTAAAAGTTTCCCCTCTTTGGAGAGCTTGAAATACTACGCTCAAATGTTTGAGCATGGCTACAATCGGTATTGCTCATTTATTCATTTGCCGTCGTTGAAGAATGCACGCGGGCAAAATTTTGAAACTATACCACTTTTGTTGGCCATTACTGCTATTGGGTCCTTGTATGCGTACAATAATCACGATTCGTTGCTCTTATTCAACATGTCCAAGTATCATATTCAAAGTTTTTTCGAAAGGGAGTTGACTGCTGATAACATCCAGTTCAAAAAGATTCCTTTGATGGCTCACCAATGCCTTGTATTGCATATTATGTTGTCGTTGTTTTTCAATGAGCCAAATGTTATTGATATCACCGCACGACAAATCAAGTCAATGGTGGGTTTGATCAAGTCAACCAACTTTAATGAGCCATTGGAGCAATCGATTATCCCACCTCAACCAGCACCCCATGGGTTAATGATTACCGAAGAAACCAAACCAATTATTCAAAACAATTACGACTACTTCATCTTGGCGCAATCGAGAATTAGAACCTTGCACACTTTTTACATCTTGCAAGTATTTAGATCTAGCATCACTGGAGAACCCGTCATGTTTCCATCAACAATGATGCGGAGTGGATCGTATTGCACTAATCGTGAACTTTGGTGGAGTTCAAATGCAACTAGTTGGTACAATACAGTATGCAAAACTGTACCACCAAACTGGTCTATTGTTGACTTGAGCAATGGAACTTCAGTTCATCAACTTGTTGGTTATTTACAGGATCCAAACCCCCTTACCAGCATCACCAACCCCGATCTCCTTACCATCCTATTCAATATTCATGAACAAGTTGGTGCTGATTTACGAGCAAGTGATTTCAGTTATGTCAACTGGAACATTGAGAAAAGACCAAAGTATCAACATTTAATGAATAATTGGCAAATCATATTTTACAAAAATAATGGGAACTTGGACACGTCGTCAACTAATAGTAATCAATTTGCCCACTCGCCTGACTTGAAACAAGTTATTCCACTTTGGTATATGTTGAAGATGAAGATGGATATCAATCTTGATGCGACTTTTACCCACATTTTCAAAAAGGATTACGTTGCAATGAATAAGGAGTTGGACTTGATGGATTACCGTGAGTCGAATTACAATGCCTTGAGTAAATCTTTGGCGTCAGCATACAGTATTTTGGATCTTTGGATACAAACCACCGAAACCAATAGTCTCGATGTGCGTGAAACCACTGTTCGTACACCGGTGTTTTTATACTGCGGATTATTAGCCAGTTCTTTGGTTGTTGCTACATATCTTGATTTCTTGGAGCAACAGTGCAAGAGACGCGATATTTCGAATCAAGAATTGATGGACTGGCTCAGATGTCAAGAGACGTTTACCAAGATGGAGAAAGTGTTGACGCCAAGTGTCAAATCTGTGTATTCGGACGTTTTGACTAAAGATATGCAGAATTTGAGTCTTGTTACCGATTCAGTTCGGATAAAGATTATCAATTTGAGTGAACAAAGATCGAAATATGATGATAACTTGTCGCGAGGAGTTGATGTGGACTTGAATCGGGATTGCGTTATGAAGTTGAATCAAGAGATTAGGGATTGTGTGATTGAGAATAATTTGTCAAGAAAGGCATTTTATTTGGGTATTAGATTATTTGCTGATGCACCAGTTTGGCCTGCTGCCATGGGCTTTGCTGAGGCGTTGCAATCAAGAGCGACATATTTGGTTCAACAACAACGAGCCATGTTTTGATGACTTTATGATGACCCTGTTACGTTTAATTTTTTTTTTTTTTAGAAATTCTTTTTCCTTTTATTTCATTTCATCTCATTTATTTATTAAATAGTACCGTACCGTTTTTCAATGAAATAAAATGTACTACTAATCTATCTAAGTCTATTGATTGTTTAATAAAATCCTTGTTGTTGCAAATAAGTTACGATTTCATCAATGGTGACTTTAAGATCTTCATTCAATTTGAATTGACCTTTCGATGCATCATTTTTTGGACCAACGATGATGGAGTTTCCCTCGCCTACCAAACTGGCAACTTTAGTGGAATGAGTGTTTTCAGTAGTCAAGATGACACCGGCTCCCGACTTGACCAATTCATTAATAATGAAAGGAGCAACATTGTGTTCTTGTTGATCGATTTTAGTAATTCTTCTTTCACCGCTAAACTGATTCAATGTTGATTGTAAAGCAAAACTCAAATATTGACCCAATTTCGATTCAGTTTCAATAATGATTACAAAACCTTGTTTGAATCTGGGTGGGTTGGTTTCACGCAAGATCTTGACAACTTCAGGATAAGAAAACCATTCAGGGATAGCATCACCAGTACGCAACTTGTTTCTCAACTCAGTACCTGAGATATTGGCGGTCTTGACTTTAGAAGTATCAATAGTATCAATTGGCGCGTATCTATCCTCATCAGGCAAATAAGTAACCATTCTAAATGGAACAATCTTGATATCCAATTCATCTTGATATTTTTGCAACAATTCTTGTGCATCATAAGGACCGTAAAAGTCAACACCTTGAGAGTTTTTACCAGGACCTGCATGATCTCTACCCACAATGAAATGATCAACACCATAATTGGTTCTGATTAAAGCGTGCCACAAGGCTTCTCTATCACCACCCATTCTCATAGCCAATGGCAAAAGAGACAAGGATGCCAATCCATCGGGGAACTTTTGCAAGATTTGCTTGTAAACTTTGACTCTAGTGTGATGATCGATATCACCGGGCTTAGTCAATCCAACAACTGGATGAATTAAAATGTGAGCGCTGGATCCAATGTCATTAGCGGCTCTAATGGTCAACTCACGATGAGCTCTATGCATTGGGTTTCTTGTTTGGAAAGCAACAATGTTTTGGTTGGTCCATCCCAATGAGTCAAACTCCTTTCTCAATTCGGTGGGGGTTTTCCTAGCGTCGACGTAATCATAATGTTTTGGATAGTTGATACCTTGCAAGGACCCACCAATGTAAACGTCACCAGCAGTTTCGAAAAGGTATTTGTTGGCTGGGTGTTCGGGATCACCTCTAAATACCAACTTGGCTTCCTTTTGCTTATCTGGGGTATAGATCGACTCAATAGTCAAAATTGCCAATGGGGTTTCATCTCTCAAATCCAACAATGCAATTCTATCACCAATTTTGTATTGTTGGGCAGTTTGGGCAGACACATCCAACGTGATTGGGATGGGCCAAATCAATCCTTTTCCTTGCTCATTCTTGACTGAAGTCAAACGCAAATCTTCAACAACACTATTGTAATCGTCCTCATTTAAAAACCCAGTCAAAGGCGAGAACCCACCGTTCAAAATCAACTCCAAATCACACAATTGTCTTGGTGTCAAGGTCAAATGGGGTAAAGTTTCAACTTCTTTCAACAACTGTGGCTTTTTGTCAGCGTCGCGGATAATCAAGTCATTGAGTTGACCTCCGTGTGGTTTTGGAATAGGCATGATGACGGTATTGATTCAGATATGAGTATACGGATGGAAGAAGAGACGGTCGAAACTGTAGTGAAAATTTTCCCACTTAAATTTTTTTTTTTTTTTTCATCTTTGTTTCATAGAATTTGTGACAATTTAACCGCCGGTTTTATACATGGGGATGAAATCTGGAATCGGTTTCTTTTTTTTTTTTTTGTTTTTTTGTTTGCTGCAAATGTACAAGGAATGTACACAAAGATGGATTTTTAGATGGAACCATTACACGTGATTATTTGTCATTTTTTTTTTTCATTTTTTTGTCGGATGGGATTTATGTCATTGTTTCTTTTGACTGAGTTTTCATGAAGTTATGCGTCATTGATACAGGAACAAGATTTCAATGATCAATGTATAAGATATCTTCTTTCGTGGCTATCCGGAACACAAGTCGAGTTGAGTTAGGAACTGAGCTTGAGAAGGGAGGACAGAGTGGGCACAGTTTATGCCACAACATGCCTAGAACCAGACTAAATTGTGGTGGCGTCTTGCACCAATACCAAGAAATTGCACACCAGAGCGAATCCTTGGCTTGAATTGTGAATCTCTATCAGTTATTCAATCAACGAGTCAGCTTTTTTAATGAGCAATGCTGTGGCTGTAGTCATGATGACGAGGCTCATCAATGAGATTGTATTTGTAGAATCTTGTTGGTTTTGGAAATTTCTTTCCTCTTGATATTTTGCTGCCTTGAGTTAATCTCATAGTTTCAATTTGCAGGAGCAAAGTTGGAGAGAAGGAGTACCTGCGCGTCCTCGGTATCATTATAAACACGGTGTTTTTTTATCTTCTTCTCGAGAGGGTAGGGGTGCATCTATTTCCTACACTACCTTTACGAACGATATTTTGGTTGCAAACACAAAATACACGTGGGGGATAAAGCTGTATGTGTGTGTGTGTGTGTGTATGACGCGTGGGGGGGGGGGTGGAGGAACGAGGTGGGGGAATGGATCTGGGAGGACAAACACCAAACTCCGATATACCCAACATTCATCAGCTGTCTACATCCTTCCCCTCAAATACGTATCCCATGTCTCACAAAGAGCTATAAGCACTCTGCCACGTTGGGGGTAGAGACCATTTAGTTTTGTTATGATGCTTGGTCCCTAGTAGCACAAAAGAAGGCGGGGAGAGCCAGGTACCTTGAGATTGGCATGTGGGGGACAGGGAAACAGCAGCATATCGAGCATTGAGGTGACTACAAGATATTTGCATCCTCATTGACGCCTGTGCAAGTCCAAGAGAAGCAAAAACTTCATAGTGGACCCAACAGGTTATAATACTCCTCACCAACCCAGTTTACTAGAGCACAGTTACAACAACTACAGTACCATGAGCTTACGGCCCAATTACGGTTTGGTGTGTTTGAAAAGTGACCAGTAAAGAGTGTCAAAACGGCGGATGTTCCCTTTAGTTCCCTCTAATTTTTTCTTTTCCCCTCCGCCTTTAAGTTCGCCGGAAATGCGTTTTCCGATATCGCTGAAATATGCGTAGCGAGTGGTCAAAGGAGTATGCAGTCTGGTTTCCCCTACATTGAGTCCTACTTTCTAATTCATATACAAGCTCGTCAAATGATAGACACTCAACAACTGTCTCTAAACCCTCTTGTTTCGTTCTAGATCAACCCAGCAAATTTCGGAGTAGCGGGCCTGCTGGCCGAAAGTGACTCCTGTATACAGACGAAAACTTTCTTTTTTTTTTTCTTTTTTTCCTTCGACAAGGTTCGATCCTTTAGTTTAGAGTTCACGTGCTTCAATTGAACACCGACATGTACAATTGCAAACGGGCTCTGAAATAGCATGGACTACTTAATTTAAGCTATCTGAGATTCTCTTCCTAAGAGAAAAAGCTATTCTAGGTATCACAAATAACCGTCCAATGACGAAGAGAGTTTAACTTTATGAAATACAAAAAAGAACATGTTTAGTACAAAGTACACTACTTTAATTTTTATATTTGCTATTTAGTTTTAGTTTTCTTTTGCTTTTTAATTTTTTTTTTTATTTTTTTCGTTTGATAAAAACTAACAAAGCTTTACCCGTAGACGAATTACTATTATTATTATTATTATTATTATTATTATTATTATTATTTTTTTGTTGTTGTTGTAGTAGTAGTAGTAGTAGTAGTAATAGTTAGTAGACTCTGTTAATATAAAATTGATTCAAAATTTCCAACCCTTTTATTAAAATTTTCATTTCAATTATACTCCTCCTTTCTTCAATTGCTTTTCCATATTCATTTAGGATTACAATAGAATTACAACACCATTACTTACAATGTCCACTGATTCAAAAGCTCCAGCTCAACCTCAGTATGTAATTGATTGTCAATGGCAGATACCCGGATAGATAAAGCACAGCGACATACAAAGGAAGAAAAGATATACACGAATAGAATGGCATAAAAGAACATTGCACTACAAAAGAAGTCAATTGAACAAGCCACGTTATGAACCAAGTCGTTTCCGGCTGGTCCTACAAACCTACTAACTCCGCTCCCATATACTTTGGGGAGGCCAACAAAACTCAATCAAATTGAACGGAAAAACAAACCAAACACTCCCTTTTTTTTTTCCTCAACAACCAAAACAAATGAAGAACAAAAAAAAAATCAAAAATTTAAATGACGGTGAAAGGGACAAAGGGACAAAAGGACAAAAATAAAAAAAAATTCCCATTGATCCGCTGGATATAAAATCACCCCCACGATTTCAACTTTTGTTCAACTTTCCAATATATATATATATCTGTATATATATTCACACAGATTCCCCGTTTTGTTCCAGACTTTTTTCAATTACAACCGTCAACCCGTCCCCTACCCTCCACCATGTGTTCTGCTTGTGCTTTATCAAGGCTATCTGCCATCTCCAACCATATGGGTGTAAATAATACTAACAATATAATTCCTAGAGGTGATCTCGGTTTAATTGGTTTAGCCGTCATGGGTCAAAACTTGATCCTTAACGCTGCCGACCATGGATTCAATGTCGTTGCTTTCAACAGAACTGTTTCCAAAGTTGACCACTTTTTGGACAACGAAGCCAAAGGTAACAAGCACATCATTGGTGCCCACTCCATCCAAGAATTGGTTGACAACTTGAAGAGACCAAGAAGAATTATGTTGTTGGTCAAGGCTGGTCCAGCTGTCGATGCTTTTATCGAACAATTGTTGCCATACTTGGACAAAGGTGACATCATCATTGATGGTGGTAACTCACATTTCCCAGACACCAACAGAAGATTCGAAGAATTGAAGAAAAAGGGTATCTTGTTTGTTGGTTGTGGTGTTTCTGGTGGTGAAGAAGGTGCTAGACACGGTCCATCGTTGATGCCAGGTGGTAACGAAGAAGCTTGGCCACATATTAAGCCAATCTTCCAAGCTATTGCTGCCAAATCCGATGGCGAACCATGTTGTGACTGGGTTGGTGATGCCGGTGCTGGTCATTACGTCAAGATGGTCCACAATGGTATTGAATATGGTGATATGCAATTGATTTGTGAGGCTTATGACGTTATGAAGAGAGTTGGTAAGTTTGAAGACAAGGAAATTGCTGATGTTTTTGCTCAATGGAACAAGGGAGTTTTGGACTCATACTTGATTGAAATCACCAGAGATATCTTGAGATTCAATGACCCAACTGATGGCAAGCCAGTTGTTGAAAAGATTTTGGACACTGCTGGTCAAAAAGGTACTGGTAAATGGACCGCCATCAATGCCCTTGATTTGGGTGTTCCAGTCACCTTGATTGGTGAAGCTGTTTTTGCCAGATGTCTTTCTGCTTTGAAACCAGAAAGAGTCAAGGCATCAAAGATTTTGAAAGGACCAGAAGTTGGCTCAAAATCTCCAATCACTGACAAGAAGAAGTTTGTTGATGACTTGGAACAAGCCTTGTATGCATCCAAGATTATCTCATATGCTCAAGGTTTCATGTTGATGAGACAAGCTTCAAACGACTACAACTGGAAATTGAACTACAGTGTTATTGCCTTGATGTGGAGAGGTGGATGTATCATCAGATCAGTCTTTTTGAAAGACATCACTGCTGCTTATAGAGAAAATCCAAACTTGGACAACTTGTTGTTCCACCCATTCTTTTTGGAAGCTGTTACCAAGGCCCAATCTGGTTGGAGATCAGCTCTTGGCCACGCCATCACTGAAGGTATCCCAACCCCAGCTTTCTCCACCGCTTTGGCTTTCTACGATGGTTTGAGATCCGAACAATTGCCAGCCAACTTGTTGCAAGCTCAAAGAGATTACTTTGGTGCTCACACTTTCGAAGTTGCTAAGGGCAAGGGAACCGAGTTTGTTCCAGAAGACAAATGGGTCCATGTCAACTGGACTGGTAGAGGTGGTGATGTTTCTGCTTCCAACTATGACGTTTAAGGCAAACAAGACTGGGATGGACGTTTTCTTGTATAGTTTGTACTTTTGAATAAAATGATACACTGTTGATGTGAATGTGATAAAAAAGCGTACGTTAATTCAGAACAAGAGGGGCTATTGTTACTTTGACGAAATGGAAGTTGATTAAGAATTGAGAGAAATTTGAGATAGGGGAAACGAGGTATCAAAAACTGTACAATAGACTGAGACGTTGTAGCGCTTAGCACATATTGAGACATGCATTTGAAGTTGTAACTCCGATAAGCAACGTATTTAGATGGTGTCTCCCTTATCTTTCCATTATTATCAAAAGCAATTTATTATTGCTCAGGTTTTTCCGATAAGGGAAGTAAACGCAACTTGGTTTTTGTTTTTTTTTTTCTTTTTTTTTTTAACAATTCCGTGTGTTATTAGATGTTAATGCCGCAATAATAGTTGCTGCAAGAAGGGTTAAATTAGCGGATGGACAGTCCCACAAGTAGAAGTGGGGGGAGGGTGACTTACGGCATCGATAAACTAAACCAGGGCACATTTGTATAAATAGAGCAGAGATTGTCCTGTTTCAGGTGAAACCATGTCCGAAAGTCCATCAGCAACCTTTACATAATGACTGAAGCCCATTTACTATCCACATCAAACAAAATGGACAAGGAAAAATTGCACGAAGTGGTGAGCGCAATACCAGAGGAACACAATGCCGCCGGGTACGAGCTATATGAAAAAGCCCAAGATATCTCCACCGATGAAGACTTGGAGATTTACAAAAGAGTATTGCGCAAAGTGGATTGGAGAATCGTTCCATTACTATGCGTCACTTACACGTTACAGTTCTTGGACAAATTATCTTTAAACTACGCGTCGGCATATAGTTTAAAAGAGGATTTGAATCTCGTTGGACAACGGTATTCGTGGGTGGCTGCCATTTTCAACTTTGGATACTTGTTTTGGGCCATACCGGGCAACTACATCATTCAACGACTCCCCGTTGCAAAATACACTGGGTTTCTCCTATTCACTTGGTCCATAATCTTGATTGGACACGTGGGGCTCCACAACTACGGCGGTGCGTTGGTCATTAGGTTCGTTTTGGGGATGTTTGAAGCCAGCATCAGTCCGTCGTGCATGATCATATGTGGGTCATTCTACACCATTAAGCAACAGCCAATACGCATGTGTTTGTTTTTGTCGTTTAATGGGGTTGCCACTATGGTGGGAGCATTGTTGGGATTTGGATTGGGACATGCGACTCATGCAAGTATCAAGCCTTGGAAATTGATCTTTTTGGTGATTGGATTGTTGAATCTTGTTTGGTCGGTGGTTTTCCTTTGGTTGTGTCCTGACTCGCCAGAACAGGCCAAGTTTTTGACTGAGGAGGAGAAGGCGGTTTTGATTAAACATGTTGCTAGTAATAACCAAGGCATCAAGGCAAAGAAGTTTGAAAAGTACCAAGTTGTCGAAGCGTTGCGGGACAGTTCAGTGTTGATGATTGCTTTGGTGGGGTTGGCCTGTGGGGTGATTAATGGTGGATCGTCAAATTTCATTTCTGCCTTGATTAAAGGATTTGGATTTTCTGGGATCCAAGCCACGGCGTTGCAATTGCCTCTTGGTGCAATTGAGTTGGTGTTTGTTATAGTTGGAGGGATCGTGTCATTCACTATCAAAAACACGAGATGTTACGTCTTGTTTGTGTTTTGCATTGCTCCATTAGTCGGTCTCATTGGCATCCACACCATATCACTTGACCATCGATGGTCATTGGTTGGATGTTCTTTTTTACAGTTTATCATTGGTGGACCGGTGATAATGTGCTGGATACTACTCAATGCCAACGTTTCTGGAACCTCCAAGCGCACAATTGCCAATGGAATTTGGTTCTTGTTGTATGCCGCGGGGAACATTGTTGGTGCCAATATCTTTTACACTAGAGAAGCACCAAAGTACAAGAGTGGTGTCATTGGGTTGATTACGTGTTACTGCGGTATTATGGTATTGGCAATATGTATTAGGTTGGTGTTGATGAGAAGAAATAGGATCAAGAATAAGTTGCAACACGGCCAAACTGAGGAACAAAAGGAACAAGCGATATTGAACGGGTTTATGGGAATGACAGATTTTGAAAATGAGGGGTTTAGATATTCTTTATAGAGATGGAGTTTACAGTTGTCTTTGCAACCTAAACTTTTCGTTTTCTCTAATCTATGCAATAGCAAACACACCTATGTATCGAGGAGCATATTCACGACCAAGTAAATATTCAACAATGTAATAAAACTCCAAATCAAAATTGCAAACACCGAAGTCAATGTCGAATTACTAAAGTCCTTGTATCCCTTGATTCGATAATTTTCCTCATCAAGATAATCGTCTTCTGTATCGGTAAACACAATAGGCAGAGTGGAAGACGATGACACAGCACTTGAATCAGAAAGTGGCTTCTTGGAAATGAAAGCATTAGAATTTGATCTTGGTTTAGTAATACTGTGAGGCTGTGCATGGTTGTCATTCTCAAAACTGGTTTGTGATTCTTCCTCTTGTTCCTCTCCGTCATCATTATCATCACCATTGATCAACCGCCTACTCTCTTCATTATAGTTTCTAGTCAATGGATCGTGACGGTTCCCATTTTCCTCCTCGTCGTCATCCTCATCATCGTCTTCCCAGCCAGCACATGGGTGAGACTTGCGCAAATCTTGAAGCCTAATTGCTGGCTCGGAACTTGTAAATCTTTTTGCATTAATTTGAGTATTGATAGGTGCCGTATTACCAATTTCATCATCAAACAAATTACTTGCAATATCAACATCTTCATCACCATCGCGTACATAAATGGGCACCTTCATTGTATGCTTATTACAAGTGAACCAAATCAAAGGGGCACTAACAATAGGCAAAAGCAACGATAATACAACTTGACTTGCATTCAATGTCTTTGCTAATCCCTCTCTACCAGCAAAAGTGACAACAAATAAACATGGTGCAATGGCCAATCCACGTGTGATTAATCTTCTCGTGATTGGAGGTAAACTCCAATTCAAAAATCCTTCGGAAACCATCTGTCCTGCCAAGGTGCACACAACACCAGCACTTTGACCCGAACACAACAATGCTAAAGCAAACACAAATCCAGCCGTTGGAGACAAGTGTTTAGAAAGCAAGTGATATATTGTGAATAAATCGGCATTTTCGTAATTATCATCTTTATCTGAATCGTAATCAGAGTCATTCCCGTCATCGTGATCATCGCGTGTGTCAACTTTGGAACTATTGAGCGTGGCTCCTGCAACAATCAAAATGGCAGAGTTGACAAATAATGCAACTGTGAAAAGTGAAATCACCAACTCTATGATGGTGTACGACATTGTATCTTTGATAGCGTGGATCGAGGGTCTATAATCTTCCTCTTCATCTTCTCCGAGTGTGGTTGTGTCTGCAGGGTCGAAAGTAGCAACACGAGACACACTTGGCGTGCCCAGATGCACAGGAGTCTGTTCGTGGTCAATGATTTCTTGATCTCCCGGATTGATAGTTATTTCATCACTTGTAGACGTCGCTGATAAAGATGAATGTGGTTTCAGTTTAGGTAATGGCTTATAAAATCCATTCTTGATATCATAATCTTTCAACCTCGATTGGACCAACCCAGAACCAAGATATAAGGAATGAGGCATCACTGTGGCTCCCAATATGGCCAAACTCAAAAATAACCCATTTCCACCTTCTCTTTCCGACATATCAACAACTTTTTCATTTGGAAGAAAGCCCTGCAACACCTCCATGGCGGAAAAATTGATTGACTTGTCATGACTGACTTGATACAATTGAATACCAAAACAAACAACAGTAGCTGCCACCAATATCGAGACAAACGATTCAAATATACGAATAAACAAAAGTGGCCCTTTAGGTCTGTATGCGGCCAACACAATCAAGACATCAATCACGGTAACAATGACTCCCAAAAACAATGGAATCTTGAATAAAATGTTTAATGCAATAGCCGTGCCTACAACTTCAGCCAAGTCAGTTGCAATAATGGCAATTTCTGTCATAATGTATAGCACAAGGTTGGTTCTAAACAGGAAATGTGCTTTGCAATTGGCAGCTAGGTCCAACCCTGTAACAGCACCTAGTTTTGCCGCTAGCGTCTGTAGGAAAATTGCAAGACAATTTGACAATAGTATGGAAAATAGTAAACTATACTTGTATGCGTTTCCTGCTGACACGGCAGTGGAATAATTTCCTGGATCTAGGAAAGCAACACTAACCATGAGGCCGGGGCCTATGAATCTGGAATATTTTTTGATGGTCGCAATAATACTTCGTAGGTTTATTGATCTTGTTATGAACGACATGTTTGAAAAAGGTAGGTGCTTGAGTGAAGGATATAGTTTTAGTGGTGTATGAGGTAGTTAATCGATGAAATACAGAAAGTCGTCTTGGTCTGACGTGAGCGAGTTATGCCTGACTTGAATATGAGTAACCTTTAAGGTGGTAAATGCAAAGGAGAATAATGTCACGAGTGGTGTTTGAACCAGTCGTAATTTTTTTGTTTTATTTTTTTTATTTTTTTTATTTTTTTTCTTTTGCGTGTCTAAACTATTTTTGGTTCCTGTGTGTACTTTTCCGAAGGGCAGAGGATAATGTAAATCCTCTTTTTTTTTTTTTTTCCTTTTTTGGTTGGATGGATTGGACTCAGAAAGAATAGACTATGGTTTGATACACAGGGTGATATGAGCTTGTGGTGCTCAAGAGAGTGTAGACAAGGGTGTAAAATTTAATGGAAAATGTGGTTCAAAAAAATATAAATAAACGGAACGGAACAATCTCCCGGCTTGCTTTTGCTGTGCAGAACCTGTTGTATAAACTTTTTCAAACGACAGGAATAAATAGAATGGTGGCAGTAACTACTAAGTTGACTCTGATGGAATTGGTATCTAGAGGGTAGAAGAGTGAAAATGAAAGTGCTAGGAAGTTGAAGAAGGATATATTCTGCTTGTTGCTGAATGTTTCTGAAAAAAATTGGGGTAAAATAAAAAATAACACCATCCCTCTGCTTCTGTGTGTGTGTGTGTGTGGTTGCTGTAGGAAAGGAATTTTTGTTTCCTATTTCTTCCGAGAAGAGAGATGCTACTAAGCAACGCATCACATGATATACACATGACATGTCTCAACTTGCATATTAGCGACACTGATTCTCTTTTTGTGACAAACGGACTTCTGTGAATCGCAAAGTAAAAGAAGAGAAGGAGAGAGAGAAAGAAAACATCGACCTAAACACTTCGGATATTAAACTCCATTCTAATTGGAAAACAGTACACCTTCTTCACATCCACCAGCTTGACCATTAGGAGTATACAGAATACAAAGGTATAAAACTCACGAGCGAATTCTACCAATTGCACTTCACCTACAGACTCAACTATTCCATATCAACTTTTTTTTTTTTTTTCTTTTTTTTGAAAAAAACATGCTTAGAGCGATATTTGCTAGGACAAGAGTACCCGTACCCTCTGTTCGTTTCTTCCATCAGACTAGCATCAGATATTCTGCGTCGGTATTTAAAATGCCTGCTATGTCACCAACCATGACTGAAGGAGGCATTGTGTCATGGAAAGTGAAACCTGGTGATACTTATAATGCCGGTGATGTGTTGTTGGAAGTTGAGACTGATAAAGCAAACATTGACGTCGAGGCAGCTGATGATGGTAAATTGTGGGAGATCTTGGAGAATGATGGTGCTAAAGGAGTACCAGTAGGGAAAGCAATTGCTTATATTGCTGACGTTGATGACGATTTGAGCTCATTGGAGAAACCAAAGGTGGAAGAGAATAAGGAGGAGGAAAAGAAGAAAGGCGATGAGGAAAAGAAGAGAGAGGAACCAAAGGAGCAAGAGGAAAAGAAAGAAACCAAATCACAAAAGAAGGAAAGTTCACCATCTAAACTGTCCAAATCGAAAGCAACTGAATCAGGCTCGTCAGATATACTTCAAAAGGCTAATCCAAACCAGAAATTTTCGCCAGCTGTTGAATTGCTCTTGCATGAAAACAACATATCCCATGATGATGCTATTGCCAAGATCCAAGCCACTGGACCTAATGGAAGGATATTGAAAGGGGATGTGTTGGCATACCTAGGAACAATACCACTTGAAGCAGTAGTTGATCTTGCCAAGTACATCAGATCAAGAGAACACTTGGACTTGTCCAATATACAAGTTGCAAAGCCAACTGCTGAAGATGCTAAAGAGCAAGAACAGCAACAAAAGCAATCGGGAACAACTGATGCTAAACCAAAACCTACAAATGTACTCTCAGTCGAATTTTCAGCCCCATTGGCGGAACATCTCAACAAGATTGGGTTTAAACAAGCGTTTGAAAGTGCAATTGACTCGGCCATCCATGACACATATGCCCACAGGTTCCCACAATATGCCACTTCCCCATCTCCTTCCATCTATGATCAATACGATGTATTTGAAGAATTAGTTACTGCACCAGTGACCAAAAGGAGATTTGAAGTATACGATCTCAAATACGATTTCCATGGAGATGCTGCCGTAGCTAAATCAAGTAGGAAGTTGAATCAAACATTACCCAGAACTGATTTTGATGATTTGATCGGGTTACCCAATGACAAAACTCCAGTGGTGGAAGTGGGTGCTACTCCAAGAGCAAACGTTTCCTTTAAAGTTAAGTTTGATGAACAGTTATCTGACTCAAGAGAGTTTGTCAAGTATTTCGAAAATGCGTTGTTGGAAGAAGCTGAGTTGTATGATATTCCAGCCAATTTGTTAAGAGTATCAAATTAGAGATGGATTATGACAGTTTGTAGCCACTGTATGATAAAGTAACTCAAACAGTTTTGCTTCTATGACCACTATAAATGTGATTTGGTTGCAAGTAAAGTCCAATGCTAATTGGGTTACATAAAACATTATGTAAAGTAGCTCATGAAGCTTACGTAACATCCGAATCTTTTTTTTTTGTTTTTATTTGTAAAACATAAAGAAAAAAAAAAGAAATAGAAATAATAAAATTTATAAAAAAAAAAAAAATATAAAATTTAAGTCACTTTTTTTTTTTATTCTTTCTCTCTTCCTGCCTTTTTTTGTTTTTTTTTTTATTAATATTTTGTTACTGATACAGATTTCATATACACCATATTTGAACTGGAGATTCAGTCAGTCAGTCAGTTAGCCAGTCAGCCAGTCAGCCAGTCAGTTAAACAAATAGCGAAGAAGAATTATCGCTTCATTTTCCCCCTTTTTTAACTACCATCAACCAATTACTCAAGTCAATAATCAATTTTTTTTTTTAAATTTTTTTTTATTGATTAAAATTTGATTAATTAATTTCTTTGTTTTTTTTTTTTTTTAATTATTTTTTTCTGTTGTTTCTCAAATTCCAATACAGAAGAAAAAGTATAAACAAACAAACCAAGAAGAAGAAGAAGGGATCAATACAGACTTACAAGATACGATTATACAATAGTTTTACACACGAGCTATTTCAAAACTACTACTACTGACACATACACGACCGTCATCACAATTGTACTCGAAAGTCACTGGATTTAACAGCTTTCAAACGGGACCTTAGATAATGTTTAACAATATGTATCCATATCTGGGTTATTCAACCAATTTCACAACAACTCCGTCTTCAGCTTCAAACAAGGGTTCCCAATCATCCAAGAACCAGCTGCTGCTGCAAACATCACCGGGCTCTCAACAACAGCAGTCTACGCCAGGACACTTGACATCTCCTCCTGGAGCAAGACAACAGCCTTTTATTGGAAATACCGCCAACTCCGCGTCATATTTCAATAGAGGCGTTGGAGCCAATTCTACTCCTACAAGCTCTTCAACCAATACGCGTGGTGTTCCACCTTTGGGTCAAATACCAGCAAGGTCAACATACGGTATACAGTCGTTAACTGGCTTAGGAACCCATCCAAGCCAGTACCTGATTTCGCCACAACAACAAGCTCAGCAACAAGCTCAACAATCTCAACAATCTCATCAACACCAACAGGGCCATAACACTAACCTTTACTATGCTCCCCCAACTTCTCACTCGGGCACACCTCAAATCTTTAGTGCCCAATCACAAAACGACCACCCTCAACAAATGGATCCTAAACAGTTGCAAAAGTTTACTCCACAACAGCAACAATATCACCAACAAGCTCAATATTACCAGCAACAGCAATCACCACAACAGCAGGGACATTCTGGACAGCAGCAGCAACAGCAACACCCGCAAAACTACCAACAGCAACAGCAGATACAACACCAACACGATGGCTCTTCACATGTTGCTTCGGGCGTTTCTCATAATTCATCTGGTGTAGCTGCTGCTGCTGTTTCAGCCACTGGAGGAGGTAATACAGCTGCTGGTGATCAAAAGGTTAAGAAGCCAAGAAAACCAAGGGCGACCAAAAAAGAGATGGAAGAGAAGAGAAGGTTGCTTTTGGAAAAAGAAGCCTTGAGAATTCAACAAGGAGGATCTCCTGTATTGAAAGATGACTCAGCCAACACTGGTGGTAAGAAAAAGAGAGGGCGTCCAAAGAAGTTCATTCTTGACCCAGCAACTAATACCATGATTGACTCTACCCATCCAAATTTCAAGCAGTTGAATAAGATCTTGAAGGAGAGAGAAGGTAATGCTACTGCTAATGATGCAGCCGGAACCCAGCCTGAGTATGTGTCCCAATATAATGAGAATGTGACAATCCAGCAGCAGCAGCAGCAACATCTTCACCATCAACAACAACTTCAGCAACAACACCATCAGCAGCAACTCCAACAACAACAACAACAGCAACAGCAAGAACAATTGAAACTCCAAAAGCAGCAACAGAAGCTGAAGCTGAAACAAAAGCGTCAGCAGAAGCAGCAGCAACAAGAGTTGGAACAACAGCAACAGCAACATAATGCTGCTGCTGCTGCTGCTGCTGCTAATGGCTTATCTGAAATGGACTTTCAACAATTGTTGAAAAAGAAGGATAAACGAGGTAGACCCAGGAAATTTCCAGTTGAGCAAACTGGTATCACGATCAAGGGCGTCAAGATTAATGCCAAGAAGTAGGAAACAGGAGCGCGTTTGTGATTTCGAGTTGTTTTGCGTGGATGAGATGACAACAGCATGTGATTGTGTGTTTTTTTTAGAGATGTGAGAGACTGTGGTATTACTATCTGAGAAGGAAGTTTGGGGGTGGTCCACTGACAAGCACCTCCTTTCCACATTTCTACCAAGCTTGGTTGAGGGTCGAACTCCTAATCCAGCTTAATTTTGTATACTAATTCTATTATCTGTATTCTTTTACTATATTTTTTTGTGTGATAAATATACTATTTTATTGACGAGTTTGTAAATACAAAGTGTAAGTGTGTAATGTATGTCAAAGTTGTGTTATTATATAATGTTCTTTTGAACTATTCGTGATTCCATTGTTTAGCGGGATGTTCCCATTTCGCAGCAATACCAAACATGGGCGTTCTGCGCCCTTCAAAAACACCACTACTCTACAAAAGTCCCTTCCCCACATCACTCATCACATGATTTTATTCATAAATCGACCCATGGCAATCATGGGAGAACAAAATGCACGCACCATCATACACAAAGCATCAACCAACCGGCTCAACTCATACAAGATCCACACAAACAACACCAACTCCAACACAATGATGACTGTTTGCAATTGTGGGAAATGGTCCGCTATGAAATCGATGGGGGTGAATATCAACTGCATGATATGGATGCGTTTGATCAAATTGAGCAAATTGCTCACTGTGGCCAACGATGGCGACGATGGTCTATTTTTTGTGGTGGTGGCTGTAGTGGAAGTGGTCAACATTGATTGGGATGATGTTGGGGGTTCAGCTTCGAGCTGTTTTGTTTGGGGATTGTAATATAGTTCTTGCGTCATTGAGTCTTCTTCACTTGAGTCGTATTCGACTATGAATTCACTCGAGGGAGCAGTTGAGACAGATGAATCGTTGCCTCTAGGGTAAATTATTCGAGGTCCCCTTTTTGCCTTGGTTCCATTTCTGAATGTGCGATTGGCAGGTTGGTTCCAGTTGGTAAAGAGTTGCTTTGAACCGTTGGCGAATCGTGCCCTTTTTTTGCCCTTGGGTTTCTGGGAAGTTGCATCATTGACTGATTTCGTTGTAATACCGATGACTTTGTCGTCATTGGAGGTCGACTGCTGTGGTTGGTTATGTGGAGATCTATTTTGGTAAAATTCGTACCATGACCATAGATAATTATAGCTCAGGGCAATTATTGAAGTAATTGCAAACTCATCGCCAGAGGCTTGATTGTTTGCTCCATTTGTCAGATTCTGATTCTGATTCACAATTTCCTCCTTAGTCGAGGATGTCAACAGGTCAGTTGAGGAGACGTCGTGCTCGTAAGCGCCATTGATATGAGAGTCAAAGTCTCTACCCAACTCCTTCTTGGCTCGGTTCATTTTTCTCTTCAACACTGATTTGAATGTCCTTTTCTTTTTGTTTGATTTCGCTCCATTGTTTTCTAAACGACATCCTTTTTCCACTACCGACTCATCTTCAGTTCCCTGATCTTCATAATCATCGTCGTCGTCGTCATCATCATCATCATCACCAGCATCATCAACAAAGATTTCTCTATCTGGTCTTTTCCTTTTCCGATGATCGTAATAGTTATAATCATTATAGTCGTTTTTGATCACTTTGATATTCTTTAAAAAAGCAGATACTTTGGCAATGGGCTTGTTAGGTCCAACAGTGTCCTCACTTGTGGCAAAAACACAATCGATTGGATTGTATCTCTTCATATCCTCTTGCTTATCACTAAAGACCTCGCGAAATGTCTTGTGGGTGTACATTTTCGGCTTCACTTCCTCAGCTTCATCATACCTTTGTTTCTGCTTCAAGTAGTAATCGTCGTTTTTGTTTCCACGTAGAAAATGCTCACCCTTCTTATTCCGATGGTCCTTTTGTGTTTCGACTGGCGTGATTACAATACTTTCTTCGTGAATTTGTTTTAGTTCAGCTGGAGTTGGCTCTTCTTCAAGCTGATCCTCTGGATCCACCTCAACTTGTAGAGACTGTATAGTACTGCTCTTGTTGCTACTTTGGGATGACGTCAGTGAATCCAGGTGTATGTATTGCTTAGGTCGGACATTTCTCATAATGAGGGCTCTTTCCAGACGTTCTGGATTTGGAGCGGATTGAGATTGGAGATTCTCATACGGAGTTCGTGGGGTCCGATACTCTTCCTCATTTGCAGATTGAATATGCTTATTTGGGCGTCTTTGGTGTTGATTTAGATACTGCGTAGTGTAATATCCATTACTTGTGACATTCATTGCGAAATTGGAGTACGGTTCTTGCAAGGTTGAGGGGATGATGTAGGACAGTAGTTGAGTAATGCTTCAAGTTGAAGTGGTCTTGAAACGCGCGGAACTGAGTTGAGTGAATCGAGTTGGGTTTACACTCTTGGTGTCTGGAATTGAGAGATCATTGCAACCAATTGAGGAAGAAAAAGATGGCTGGTTGATCTGATGGTGAAATTATATGGCACAAAATCAAAAAAATGCGTGTGTGTGTATGTGTGTGTGTGTGTGTGTGTGTGTTGTGACATTTCAATTCACAACAATCAATGACAAATCTAAAGCACACCAGACTATTATCTTACAAACCAACCATCTACGAAGGTAATCAAGGAGTGAGCCGTTCAACACATTTGGCATTAATACAGACCCAAAGAAGCTAAACACATTGTGCTCGGAGGCATTATATGTATTGCCACTCCAAATAACGAGAAATCGCAATAAGAAATGTTACTAAGTGACTCTTCTTGGTCATGGAAACTGATAGAAGATATAATATTGGTTGTGTCAGGGTCATTATTGAAACCTTCTCTTTGCATACGATATTCTTCATATTCTTCATACACACACAATTGCCTCTATTCTTTCCAATCCTCGAGATAATTAACTTGACCTTGTAGCAACTACACGACTTTCCCCAACCTCTTCTCTTTTTTTTTTTTTTCTCCCCATCTCCCCGCGTTTTTTTTTGTTTTTTTTTTTTTTCTCTCTTTTCAAAAAACTCGGGTTTGCGTGAATTAATCTTAACATTGAGGGAAGACATTAAATACAAAGAAAATAACTCGGCTTCACAGTATAAAACAGTCAGCATTCTGGAACACAAGAAGGAAGTGTACACACAAAATCCACAATAATTATGTGTCGGTGACTTTTTGTCATATAGTCCCCCAACATCTTTGTTAATCCGAGTTGTTTAAAAATCGCGGGGGTGTGTGTGTGTGTGTGCACTAAATGAATTATGGACTGTTGCAGCTAACTTATTTTTTCTTGCTTGGGTAATTTAATTATATCGCGGAGTTGCAATTTTACACAAGGTGCATATAGGAGGAAATATTCGAAGTGATTCGAAAGGTTTCGGGCTACAGTATTTGTGTATGTACAGTTCCTGAATATATGGATGTTCTTTAATATTTCATTACTGATTCAATTTTGCTATAAATATGGCATCAAATCACCTTGTATGTCAAACTTTTTTCATTGCAGTCTGTATCGGAATCAATTCCTACAAGAAACACTACAAACTAAAATAAACACACACTTTAAACGTCAATCAAAAATGGGCAAGCCAAAGGTTTTATTGGTGCTTTATGCTGGTGGTAAGCATGCTAAAGAGGAGAAGAAGTTGTTAGGTGCTATTGAAAATGAGTTGGGCATTCGTCAATTTATTGAAGACCATGGTTACGACTTGGTTGCAACCACCGACAAAGACAATGTCAATTCGGCATTTGATTCAAACTTGGAAGATGCTGAGATTGTCATCACCACCCCATTTTACCCAGCCTATTTGACTAAGGAAAGAATTGCCAAGGCACCAAAGTTGAAGATCGCTATCACTGCCGGTGTTGGATCTGATCATGTTGATTTGAACGTAGCTAACGAGAGAGGAATCTCAGTTTTGGAAGTCACAGGGTCAAACGTCCAATCGGTTGCGGAACATGCAGTCATGACTATGCTCGTTTTGATTAGGAACTATAACATTGGCCATTTACAAGCTACCTCTGGAGGATGGGACGTTGCTGCTGTTGCAAAACAAGAATACGACTTGGAGGGCAAAGTCGTTGCTACTGTTGGTGCAGGTAGAATTGGTTACCGTATTTTAGAGAGATTGGTTCCATTCAATGTCAAGAAGTTGTTGTATTACGATTATCAACCATTGCCAGCTGAGGCGGAGGAGAAGTTGAACAAAGCTTCCAAATTGTACAATGATGTTGATGTCATTGTTGAAAAAGTGGATGACTTAGAGGCATTGGTTGCTGAAGCCGATATTGTCACCATCAACTGTCCATTGCACGAAAAGACCAAAGGCTTGTTTGACAAAGCATTGATCTCAAAAATGAAGAAAGGTGCTTACTTGGTCGACACTGCCAGAGGAGCTATTTGTGATGCTGATGCAGTTGCTGAAGCTTTGGAGTCTGGTCACCTCGGTGGTTACGGTGGTGATGTTTGGAATGTTCAACCGGCACCAAAGGACCACCCATGGAGAAAGATGCACAACCCATACGGCCCAGAATATGGTAATGCCATGACCATTCACGTCTCTGGTACCTCTTTGGATGCTCAAGCTAGATATGCCGCTGGTGTTAAGCAGATCTTGACCCAATACTTTGACAAGACCTACAACTACAGACCTCAAGATGTCATTTGTATTGATGGCCACTACGCTACTAAAGCCTACGGACAGCGTGATGATGATGCTAAGAAAGTTCCAAAATGAGATGGTCATACGGTAGATACTTTCTAGTGCTCAGCCTCTTAAATTTTACGTTTCTTTGAATTGAACTGACTAAAAGTATGCATGCTAACTCTAAAAATAATACTCTTAACAACCTTTCTTAGCAAAGCCAATTCGTAAGTAAGAATCCCCCAAAAGGAGACGACAGCATGGCTTTAACCCACTTCCAGCGAAACTCTAAGTTAACCGAGCTTTATTACCGGGATACAGCACTCCCGCTTTGCTTTATATTGAAGAAAACATTCCGCATTTTGCGTACACTATATAAATTACTACTTACTCTTTTTGTCCCTATGCCCTGTCAAGTTGTATGATGTTACTATGGTACCCCAATTTCTTTAAAGTTAAGGAAGTGTCACAGCCATAACCCTCCAAGGAGTTCATCTGTAGAGATCCATTCCAGTAATCAGCATAAACAGAACACATTGGCAACCCCATGCCCAACTTGTATTCGTGTGGTCTCGCCATAAGATCCTCTAAAGTTGATTTTTTGTTTCTAGATGCCCAGCCCACTTCATCGTCGTCGTTAGAGCTCGTCGTCTCCTTTGGCCTCACAACCGAGGATCCTGACGCAGAAAACTGCAAGTTGGAATGCAATTGCAACCCTGGTATACGATGAAAAGTGGCCAAACTCTTTCTCGCCAATTCAGGAGACTTGCCAAATGACCAAATCAGTTTCAATTGGTCATGTTGAAGTCCTCCTCCTTGGTCTGATATCCTGAAAATTACATCATGTTTCAGGTCAACGATGGTGATTTTAACAAGAGGTAATAGTGTCTCCTCTTTTGTGGTTTTTAGCGTTGCTTCAAAAGAGTTGCGTAGTATCTCATGTAACATATAATGCAAGTGAGGCACCATAAACTGGAACTCACAGTCCAAATCACCGTCTATTTGCAACTTTGGTAATTCCTTTGCGCGTGGGTATTGATGGCACAACAAATTCTTAACCTTTTCTGCAACTTCATTGAAATGATCAACAGCTTTACAAGTTTGGAATATTTCTCCAAGATAATGCGGTGGCTTTCTAGCGTAGGGCTGCTTGCGATAATTTTCACTCAATGACAAGTGCTCTTCGACAATGAGTCGTCTGCTCAAACGTGACCTCAACATGCTGCTCATGAATGAATCCAATTTCTCCTGCGACAAGCTTTCGGCAATAGATACCTCCAATGCCCCCATCATCAAATGGGGTAAGTTGAAGGTATGATCATCCAATAGGGTCGATAATATGGCACAAAACTTTTCATTCTCCTCGACTGTGTTGATTTTTCCAATCTTTCGGAAAGCGTTGAACAGGTGGTAGTAGCTTTCATATATTTGTGCCATGTGGAAATTGTTCACCACTCCGAAAGGAAGCACTTGTAAGTCACGAATTCTCATGGCTAATCTTATAGGAAGCTCTACTCGAACGAAATTGGCGCTGTTGATGATTTTTTGTTTGGTCAATGTATTGCCATAACCAGCCAACTGCCGTAATGAAACCGGATGAGGGTGTTTTTTGGAATAGTCTAGTAAAACGGTATTTTGATAAAAGTGCTGGGGATTCAAAATGTTGGAGTAGTTTGGGAATGGTCCAAGATCTTGCATGTGCTTTGCAATCTCTTCTTTCTTGATATCAGAAAGTGCATCATCGTGAATGTAGGAGAATGAACTAATCGGTGGCGTGTATTTCGAATTGAAGCGTTTCAGCAGACTGGTAAGTCCATGTTTTGTATGTGCTCTGGTGGTTGCAAACATTCCTTGTTGTAGATGAGAAAGATGGAGCGGGGCATATTTGATCTCGTGATTTTCTCACTTTACGCTGGCGCACACACACACACACAAACACACACACACACACACACACACAAGCACACACACACATATATATATATGAAACAATGAGATGCTCGATAAGATTAGGCTCTCAGTATTTGACAACATCGTCAATGGAGTCATTGGTAATGATGAAGATTTAATCAAGGCTTTGAAGAAAACACGAGCATTTGCCCGCGATCCTGAAGAACTATGTCACTACACCAAAGATGATGCGGGAATTAAGTTTGCCGACACTGGTGGTCTAGAGAAAGTGAAAATTTCATTCAGTCGCAAGGAAACCAAGAAGAAGAACGTCAAAAGTGAAAGGAATCAGCCAATTATTGGGGCCTGTCTCTCAAAAGGTTTCGACAGATATACTTCACCAGATTTGAACAATGTGTACCTGTTACAAGATTTGTTCAAAGCAATAAAATATCTAATTGAGAGCAGGAAGCTATCACGAGACAAGCTCAGAGTTGTTACTACGAGGCGGCATTTGATGAAATTGATGTGCATCCCTTTGAATAAACAACCAGTCGACTTTGATGTCATTTATTGGCGAGGGTTGGTAATTTTCGCGTACAATTGGGATGAAGAAGTAAAGTTGGTTCCTGACAATATTCAAAAAATGCTTCAATATAGTGGCTACCAGTTTGAGAAAGTGGTTACTGGGAAGACATCTCGTGACAATGCGTCTCTGTTTTATACGGTGACCCAACATTCCGTTGATGCAGCCAATGTGATCTACTCGGCCGAAATTGACTGCGCAATAGCAAAGGAACCGGGATTACAAAACTACGTGGAATTGAAGACACATTCTACTCTCCTTGATGACAAGCTCAAGACGGCAAACAAGCTTCAGAGAAAGTTAATGGCATTGTACTGTCAGAACAAGTTTATATCGTGCAATTACTCTGCCATGGGCTTTAGATCACAAGATTTCAGACTAGCGTCGCTTAAAAAGTATACAGAGCATGAGCTAGTTGGACTATTGGACAAGCTACCTATATTCCTCACCCATCTGTGCTCTTTGAAAACAAAGCACATTTTCCAATGGTACAACCTTGTAATTAGTTGGTTGTGTCAAAGACACTTTGATGACAACGAAAAACCACATGTTTTCAAATTACGATTTGAAAGAAAAGATGAGCTAATGGACTCCCATTTGGCAGTGGAGCCTGTCTCAGATGACGAAGCAGTTAAAACTTTCAATAAGCTAGTTCCCGAGTGGTTTCAAAACTTTTATTAGACAAATACTATGTACATGTAAAGCCAAATCCGCCTATTATTTTTCTACTCCTGTATTGAATCCTTGATTGCCAACTTCCTCGAGTGTGAGTCGAAATAGTCTCCCAAGTCAGCAACCGACATGGCACTAGGATCAGCAGCCATTGTATGCTTATCTTTAAAGGACACTTTGATCTCTTGTTTGTCAGATGGGTTGTTCAATAGCTTGAAATCAATTTTGGCTGTGGGGGGCATTCGCGAGAGGAAAATTCTCGCACTTTTGGCACCTGTGCTGAAGGGATTAAACCTCACCAGTACATTTGAAAAGTACTTGGTGATCATCGTGAATAAAAAAAAAAGGGAGTTCAGTTTCGGCTCTAATCTGTGGTTTTACTTGGTGAGATGAAAGAAAGAGAGAACAAAAAAGAAAAAGAAAAAGAAAAAGAAAAAGAATTGTTAGAAGTCGAGAGAGTGCGCCGCACATTACCCAATTGGGAATCTTTGAATATTCCACATTTATTTATGTAGTGTCCTGTCTTCTCGATGTCGAAGACAGTGACACACTGGCTGAGAGCTCAGCGCTTGGTCTCAATTGTTTCTTTTTCATAACCTCTGTGAATTTGATGTCCCTCCTCGACTTAAGATGCCCCCAGGCGAAATAAGCAACTGGAATATATCCCACAAACATTGCCTTAAGCGCCAACTCATGGATCGAGTCCTCTTCCACAAACGACAAACTTAAAAACACCTGAATCATTTCTGCCACTACCGACAAAGGATAAACAATGTAAAAATTGTTGTATTGCAACCAAAACAAGAAAAACGGTGACGTCCTGGTTTTCACTCGAAACCCATGGTAGCTATAATGAATGATATACTGTAAACACCAAGCTGTTATGAGTAGTGAATATGACGTATGTTTAGCTATCTTTGGATGAGGAAATATAACTGCGTAGCAAATACAAACCATTTTGATTCCATTCAATAATGGCCATATTTGTGACTTCCATTTTGTAAGGCCCAAGGATAGGAGTAGTAATGTACCTATCACAGGGGTTACTGCCACAGCATGGAAGAAGTCGGCGATTCCTCCTGGTAAAAAGCGTCTTCCAACCAAAGGTAGTAGGATCAAAAACCTCATAAAACAACAAAGCCATAAGGTCATGGCTGCAACATTGAAAAAAAACAATAATCTCTGCTTAAAAGGGAGTGGATACAATGGCATATTGATGTAAGTGGAGATGACTTGTGTATATGATGTTGGAACATGTGTTGCCGGGAATTTTTCAAAATTTAACACGCGAACGAATGATTTTCAGTACACATCCTTTTTCCTTGTTCTAGGTCTATTGGTTTCTGCACCCTCGCAATGAAGCTTGTATTCTTATTCCTTCTCGTTGTGGTTGGGATTGTGAGTGCCTGGAGCTCCGAAGATTACGAAATATTTAAACTCAATGACAAGGTGCGTCAAGTGTTGGGTCCAGAAGTCAACTTCTACCAGTGGTTCAATTTGACAAAAGGACCAAAATCAACCCCAGTGGAGATCAAAAAGGCGTATAGAAAATTGTCAAAAGCATTGCACCCTGACAAATTCAGCTCCAATGCTGCAAGAAAGAAAGCGGAAGAAAAGTATGCTATTTTGTCGTCGGTTAACAATATCTTACGGGATGCTGCAAGAAAAGAAAGATATGACTACTTTTTAAGCAAAGGCTTCCCAAAGTGGAAAGGGACAGGGTACCTTTATTCCAAGTTCAGACCAGGGTTGGTTTTGACTGTGGTTGTTGTTTATATTCTCGTTGGTGCATTGCACTATTTTGCTTTAAAAATAAACAGAAGGCAGAGTTTCAAAAGGGTTGCTGAGTACAAGAACCAGATCAAAAACCAGGCCTGGAATGGGTCCATAGTACCACCTTCAGATGGATCGGATAGAAGGCTTGTCAATCAGGAAAACAACACTACATTTATCGTTAAAAACACAGGTGATGTCTATGTTGAAGACGACGAAGGACTGCATTTAGTTGATGAGTATGACATCAATGTGCATCCAACTTTTAAAGACACATTGTTTTTCAAAGTGCCTGCAAAGTTGTACAACTTGACATTGGGGAAAGTATTGACACCAATCAGCACAGCAGTCACATACAAGAAACCAGTTGCAAAAGTTAATGACGAAGACCAAGTTGAATTTGTGAAAAAGAAAAAGAGTAAAGGGAAAAAGATGGAATTACCAAACGGAAAAGTAGTATATAGTAGAAAGAAATAGATTTTGTTTTCTAATTTTGCCTATTACTCATTATGCTTAGACACTCTTCGTAATTCGTTGCTGTCATCATCCTCATCTTCATCAGACGAGCTTCCCGATAAATGATCTGCCCCATTTGCATCTAATGCATCTTCTAGTTCTTCGTCATCATCCACGGGGTGTGGAGTTATATCCCTACTCGGAGTCATTTTCCCTACTTCGACGTCAGCCACTTTAGGACCCTCCATGTCCTCGTCCTCGTCCTCATCTTCATTTTCATTTTCATGTTCATTTTCACCGTCATGGACAAACTCTTCATGATTCAAAGTGTCGCCAAGAATGATCTTCTTTGGTTCATTAGGGTCAACATAGTCTTCAGAATTCTCAAATGTGTCCCCTTCGTCTGCACCCAAAACAACGTTGTAAACCTCCCTCGTCTTGGTCAAGATGTCATTGACAAACCAATTCCATTTTTCACTCAGGACAGCTTCAACTATTGTGTGGGATATAAGATCCGGTTTGTACAAAGATGTAAACTTGACAATCTCCTCCCCTATGAGAATCAAATGCCCCATGTATCCCGGGCGAGGGTCAACTTCAGTTTCATACGATCTTACAATCAAATTTGTCAAATCGCACTGATCCTTTTTGAATAGTTCCACAATCAAAAAAGAATTGTATGAGTTGAGTTTGCCATTGAATACCTGTTGTACCAAGTCAAAAACCACATTGTGGAAAAAATTGTTCCACTTGTACTTTGTAAACTTGCTAACAATACTCAACAAAACCTTCAGATCAATGAGTTTGATCTTGAACAAGTCACCTACACAAGGATCCAGTCTAATAGTCTTGTTTCTCTCTTCGCAAACGAATGGATTTTCTGGCGATATGGAAGGCTCCTCATCTTCTGAATCTTCAATTGACTCGATATTTTTGATTAGATTAGAATAGTCATGCTTGTCTTCTTCGGCAAATTGGACGTCATCCAACGACACATCGTCTAACCCAGATGTAACATCGCTGATGTTAGGGGTCTCCACGAATGCAATCTTTTCGTCTAAAGCTCTTCTCAACCGCTTCGACTGTTGTAGCCGAATATGATCTCGAATACTGATGATTTTCCTGATTCTTTTCGAATTCAATAGAGTCATATTTGAGCAATGAAGAAGCTCAGCAATGAGCTCGGATATTTTGAATCTCGTAAATCCCAAAATGTCTGAAGTCACTCCATTTGGTGGAATTGGTTCAATTTCTAGTAATTCCCCAAATTCACGCAAGTTCTCAGAGAAAATTTCCAACATGTCTCCTAAATAAATGGGGTCTCTTGGTCCTGGTGGGTTTTGTTCGAGATCTTTGAGCCATTGAAACATGACATACGAGTTGATTTCCCCAGGTCCTCCATCGTCGCTTTGCAACATGGAACTGTATGAGCCACAGTTTAAGTCATAGTCAGAATTATTCTTTCTGATGAGTTCGATAACTATACTAACGCAATTGTTGATTCCATGCTTATTGGTCTGAGTATTGCCATTTTTCCCCTGCACTCTCTTCAACATTATGTCGTGTATAATGATGTTCACCACTTCAGGAGACACCAATTGTCGCGTTAGCTGATTCGGTCCGATGTTTGTTTCCATTACAACAGCCAAAGCAGCATTGGATGATATAGTGATCAAAGCTTTTAGAAAATCCGTTGCTGAACTCTGGCGAAAATATAGCTGATGATCAGGGATATATGGTGCGTTGTCAAATTGGACAGGCTGAGGTTTCAAAATATCCACCAATTTCATAATAACGCCTTGTTGTGCGATCGTGTCAAGTATCCCAGTGGGCGAATCTGGTTTATCCGTTTGTATTATTCGAAAGAAATAGTCCATTATTGCTGGAACCTCGATTTTAGCCAAGAAGGTATCGACGAGATCATCTTGTCTTCTAACAAAATTCAAAAGCTCAATACTGTTACATTCCAATAGCTGATCCAAAATATGCACAAGGTACGATACACTGGGGTAGTTTTCCTGTAAATGCTCCAATTTCAATATCAGCCATAGCTTGTTTATAAGATTCGGCGTTTCTATTATCCTATTTGGGATGATCCAAATATCGAATGAAAGGATATCAGCTGCTGCTTGAACAGATTTCCGAAATGCTTCATCCTTGTCTTGATCTTTTGCTTCATTTATTTCGTCAACTTCCTCCAAATCAGTTGTTGGAGTATGGTCCATTATTGTCTTCTGAACATTTTCATCTTCCTTAAGTCCTTGCTGATAAAAGAAATCCACACTCTTTTCTAAAATCTCAATAAGGCCCAGTAGTATATGAGGCTGCACTAAGAGTTCGATCAATTTAATCCCCTTTGCTTCTTTGTTTGACCCACTATTATTATTGTTGTCGTTGTTTTGTGAGTTTAATGATGCAGAATCAGATAGGGCGTGAATTGGATCGGGATTGGATTGTGAGAATAGAAAATTGCCTCCCTTGTTGATGGTCCCCTTCACGCTATGCAATTCGTTGAGCAATTCCTGAACTAATGTTTGATCCTGGACAATGTCATCAACACTAACTGTTGAAAAGTCATGTATCGAGTCCAAGAATTTCAGTAAGGTATTATTGCTCAGTGAGGAATTGGTAAACGGCCAAAATGACATTTCTTATTCACAAAAATGGTTCTAAGAGGCTCTAGTTCAAGGCTACCCTCCTATCTGTATTTCTTCAATGGAGGGGAGGGAGGAGTTGGTACTGATATCAAATCAAAATTGCGCCGTTGCTCAATGCAAAAAGTGTATCACAAAAGATTTTGTTCAATCGAATTCTGTGGATATCGAATATTTTTTTTTTTCCTCATTCTTGTAATTTACTACTACACATTGCGCAACTAATTTGATGTATACACGTAGCTTGTAAGGTGGTGTACTATACATTCGGTGGGTATGGCGCCTGTTCGACTTGACTCGAAAGCTACTAGCTTCAACATAGTGAGAGTATAAATTTTGTCAGCTAGATCAACCCTCCTCCATCGACTCCAACATCTTTATCGCACGATCATACTCATCGAGAATATACTGATTCATCTCTCTGATTGACTGTGCTACAATGTCCCTGCAGTTGGTGGCACAATGTTCTACCCATTGCTCAATAGTCATTCGCTCCTCTTCTTCGGGCATTTCAGCAATGAATCTGGTCAACTCACCATCAATATCGTCATGAAGATCATACTTGGAGCTGGCTAGAGTCTTTAGCTCTCTTGAGCTGGTGTCCAAGTTGTGCATTTGTTGTACAAATCTTTGCATAGACTTTGTCTCCCATTTAGATGCCGATATCGGTTGTGTCAATTCTGCTGCAATATTCTCATCGTCGTTCAAAAGCGAATCCATCGCTAGAGGGCCAGAACGGTCCGATGTATCATCTGGTGTTTCGTCTTTGTCAAGTCCAGAATTCTCTTTCGAGCTTGCTCTTGTGCGCTCATTATTGAATTCGTGCGTCTGGGGACTTGGCTCGGCGTCTGCCGTGGCAGTTATTGGTACATCTTTAGGGGAGGCATGTGCGACAACCATGCTACGGTCATCACTTTTAGGTTTAGACTCACCTTGTGCAATGCTTTCACGCAATCCACCACTATCCACGTTGTTGTCTCGTAGGTGGGTTGAGATATGAGTGCCATCATGTATATTGCTGACCTCCGTGCTCTTGTTTGGGAGAGAAGTGTGTGGGCTGAGTATAGTACGAGACTTTTGTTCAACAGCCTCACCTGACACGCCGTTCGGAGCCACCAGCTCGATGTCATCTGCATCTGCCAGTTGGATCAACCCATGGTCGCCATTAACATGGCTTCCCACAATAGAACTCTGCATCTCTTTACGTCTCTCAGTTGCTGCTTGTTGTTTGAAATCATCTCCCAAATCATCTTCCTCGACTTTGTCATCAACCTCAAAATGCTTGTCAATGTCATTAATCTCGTTGAGATATTCTGAGTAATCCAGTTCAGAGTCACTACTTATAGGTGAAGCCTCAGGATGAGAGGCGGCTATTTGTGATTGATTGCTGGAGTTATCCTCCTGCGCGACATGTTTGCCTTCATGTGCGGGTCCTGAGCTCTTGTGTGTGTCCGCTTGCTGTTGATTAGTGTTAGCACATGTGGAGCCCTTTGGTGTGTTAGCCTCAACGTCTTTTTCCTCAAGCCCATGATGTACGTCCACCTTTGCCGATACCTCATCACCAACTTCCTTATCATTTGAATCTAACATTGAATTATTGGCCGTGCTGTGTCCTTGAATTGTTTCTGCACCCAAAGTACCAGCTTCAGGTTTATTTATCAGATCTTCCTTCTGTGCTTTGATCACGTCGTGAGACTCCATAACGGGGTGAGTGTCTCGTGATATACTTCCATTGTTTGAATTTCCTGCGTTAGCCACATCCTTCTTTTCGACACCACTAAGATGCATGTCCCCACCTCCATTATGTACTGGCTTGGCATTACTTGACCTCTTCTTCACTTCACCCTCAATACTTTCACTGGTGATATCCCACGACACATCGAAAATGCTTCGTTTTGCAGAATCAAGTTTCTTAGGCAGTTCTGACAATTTAGTAGGAGACATGCGAACTGGAGGAGTGAATGATTCCAGCTGTTCAAAGCTTTTGTCCTCCATAGCCAAAACGGTGTTTGATTGTATTACTCGTTTCTCTAATTTCACAATATGAGCTTCGTTGTAATCTTGGTCAGTTGAACTGTCTTCAAAAGCAGGTGCTGGCGTGGTCCGCTTAATGATTTTTTTGCGACGTATGGGCGATAAGCTGTCCCCAGCCCGTTTATTGGACTTTGGCTCCTCGTTGGGGACTATCGCCTTTTTCTCAGTTTTGTTTGTCTTAAATGACTTTTTCTTAGTCTGCTTTGGTACAATTTCGGCAACAGACTCTGAGTCGTTTGTCGGTTGAAATGAGTCAGAAGTGGGATCGTATTCGTCACTGGAGCTGGCTTCTATACTATCGTGCCCGTGCCCATCACCGTGCGGTCTTTCATCAAAAGATTGATCAATCGAATCATCTTGTTCAACGTCATTCATCTCTATGTCATTCACAACATGCATCGGCGTGTCACTGTAAACATCAACACCACCACCTAGTGCTTCCCTCCCACCAAGAGTAGTCCCCTTCTCTCCTCCGTTGACATTCTCGCCGTACACTGTACCATTTCTATCTCCCATGTCTTGCTTGTCATTGACTGCATCAGCACCTGCATCAGCACCTGCATCAGCACCTGCATCAGCACCTGCAAAATCAGTCACTCGCTTATTCTCTCTAGTTTCTCCATTAGTATGCTTTGACACTTGAATAAACTCTTGTAGCAAATCTTGGTCAGGCAATTTTTTCCAATACTTCAAATTTGGATCCTCCTTGATAGTTGCCCTTGCAGGACGACTCCTTGTCCTTGGCGTGGATTCGTCGTCTTGTTTCGCACCTTCGTTCGTGAGATTCTGCATTGTGTGACCTGCGGTGGTTTTTTCTCGAACCCCATTTGGAATTTCATAATCGAAATCGTCTAAATGTAAAGATTCATCAAATGGCGACTTTTCTTGTCTCTTGCTCCCACCTTGTTTCCTCTCCACATATTTAACCAAAAAATAACAATAACTTGATGTGTTGTTCAAATGCTCCTCAACTGGATCATCTTGTTCATCCCAGGAATCTAGTGCACAATGACAATAAGGACATACTACTCTGTCATCCCCTGCGAAACGTGGCTGATAAATAAACCCAGCGTCTTCTAATGATTTAGAGTTCGGTCGATAGCCTGTGCCATCCAATGGGAAATTTTTGAAAAACCTAGCTCGAAGTTTGGTCGATAGTTGATTGAAAGGATCTCGAAATTTAGATTTGGACCAGTGTTTCTTTATTTCATCGTCTAGTAAGTCACGGCATGAGTGGTATGTGTTTAGAAACCCGGCCATCGGGCAACTTATACTGCGCTTAGCATGATCGGATATAACCTCTGCAATAGTCAGGTATCTCTCAACAGTAGTTGCTTTTTGACAATAGGCGCATGTAATACGATTTGCGGTCTTCCTGATGGGTGAATAGTAAAAACCTGCTTCGACCAATTCATTTGTGTGGGCAAAGTCAATTACATCAGACCAAGTGTACTTCTTGCCATCCTTGGCAACAGGATGCTTGAATGTGTTGACCCTGTTGTCTATGTAGATCATAGAGTCATCATTCATTGATGAATAATGTGAATGTTGTGGTACATCCGGTTATAACGCGTTATTTTCTATCTTTTAATTTTTTTTTTTCTCTTCGTTTTTCGTTTTTCGTTTGTCGTTTTTCTAAACTACACAGTCTATACAATCATTTCTCTTCAATTCGAAGTCTATTCAAAAGCTTTGACCAACGAGTAATTGAATGGTTTTTAATGCCTCATATCTGAGCTCATTGTTTCCTTGATTGTTTTCCAAAAACGACATAATCATCACCTTGTACAGACCCCCCTTTTCAGTATTGATGAAATGGATCAAATCCTGACCGAGATTTTTGATCAAGTATTGCAAATCGTTCAACAATACCACGCAAATGGTTGTGTCATTAGAATTGGCACCCAAGATATCAAATATTCTCTTTACCAATTTATAGTTTGAGTCCTTAAATTTGCCTGAGTTTTCCAACCAGAAATCGGTAGATTTGTGTATTGGCGAAGCCCAACTTAATAACTTGGGGTTTTCCAAAGCAGTGAGGTACTCGTCAAATGAGGTTAATTTAGTTTTGACTGTTTCTTCCAAGGTATCTGACAAATAAGCAAGATCACTGCACAATTCTTCATCGCTTCCATTCTGAGCAAACTTCCTTTCCTTTAATGTTTTTATTGTGGTCAAGGCATCATGAAACAACAACAACTTGACAACTTTGAATTGCTCTTGAGAAGACACACAACAGCTAACGTAATTTTTTAACACGGCAACTGAAATACGTACAATTTTCAACTTAATTGACTCTTTGGCAATTGATAAAAGTGAGCCGGCAATTTGTGGGAAATTGTGAATAATTGACTTGTTAATCTCGGCATTAAAAGATAATATCCAAGTTGCCAACAACACATTATATGACAATTGCAAACCAGTTGCATTGGGGTGGGTGGACAGTTTGGTGACCAATGCATTTATTGGTTTGAAATTGGACAAGAGATTGTTTTCCTGGTAAATTGTCTTGTATTTCCTGTTTGTCACCAATTCTTGAAGCAATTGAATCCCAATGAATTGGAAATTCGAATCACTATTTTCGATAAGCTGGGTGATTGCAGTAAATGCACGGATAATCACTTCCTTATCTGGCGAACCCTTGGCAAGAATAACCAAGTTATACAACGCCAATGATGTAATCAACGGGTCCTTGTCCAAGTGTTTGACAAATGGGTCAAATGGTAGATCCTTATCAATTGAGGATAAATTCAAAAGTGCGTCCTGAAACTCAGGGACCTTAATCAACAAATCATTAATCAATGTCAACACATTCTTAACAACGTCATCTTTATCGACCTTACTCAAAACGTTGAGTAATACTTTGGAGTACAAGTCCAATTGCGACTTTACGGTTTTGTCCCTATTTTCAACGGATTGTTTTTCTAAAATCTTTATATGATTGGCATCATCTTCGGTGACAGCTCTAGATCTCGCAAGACCCTCCCACGGAATAATCCTTTCACTGATTATCTTCTTGGAATCATTCAAATATGTGCTGTCAAGGGTGAATTGAGACATGTCTAAGTGCTGTGGTCAATTTCAAAGTCTTTTATTGCTCAGAGGATTTTTTTTTGATATTATCGTTGATTGAATTTCAAAGCGCACATATAATTTGAGTAGGACACGACTTATGTGGCTGCAAAAGTATGCCACGGAAACAATCAATGGAGGGAGGAGATCTGCCGAGCTCAAGTATTTTTAGTTGGTTAATGGATGGGTGCGTCCATTTAGGAGCATGCCGCGTTTTGTAATTATAGATAACAAGCCCAGTAAGTTCGTCCATTTAACCCATGATTTTGATCCAGATCATGTGTTTATTGGACCATCTTTGACCATGCTGGAAAAGCTTGTAGACAGTTCTAGGTTGTGTATTTATTGTGGACAGATGCCAACACCGAGCCTTCCTCTCAAGACAAGTGTCGTCAACTAGCGTCGGAGGGTGTTCAATTCATTCTTCTTTCCAATAAAGGGCCTTGTCATTGTTGGGCAAATGGCTGGAAGATTTGCACGTTTGACCAATAACAGATTCAACTACAATTAGAGTCGCGCCACATCTGTCCATGAGACACCTACACATCCAAACTCGTATCTTCAATTAGCTACGTGTAACTCACTTTTTTTCATTTATCTCCACGCAGAAAGCTTAGAAGACGGTTGAGTTTGAAGCTTTATAAAATTTTAACTTGTTCCCCGTCTCTCCAGCTAGTTTCATGACATTTTCATGTCTCCAGCTCGGTAAACAGCACCAACATGTTTCCTAAACGTGACCAAATTTTGGCCAACTGTATGAACCTGGCAAAAAAATTTGATACAATTTCAAGCGTGGCGTAGCTGCTCGCAATGTCGGCCGGTGTCGTATAGAGGTTAGTACAAGTCGTTGTGGCTAAGAAGCAATACCGACTAAACCCAGGTTCGATTCCTGGCACCGGCATAAAACCATTTTATGTTTTTTTTTTTATTTTTTTTCTTTTCCTTTTTGCTCAAAGGACCTTGCATCTCCTCCATCTTATAAGCTTTTCGGGATTACTAGAGGTATCTGTCTGATACATAGCACATGCAACTAGAGACCATAAGATAGTGTTCTTTTTTATGTAAGTGTATCCAATTTTTGTTTTAAAATCAATGCAATTTGTTGTGAAAAATATCTTTTTGGATCCCATCATAAAACCAAAAATTTTTTGACAATACACGAGCTACAAAGGAATTACTATTCCAACGTTTGTTCATCATTCCCGCAGCTTTAAAGTCAGTAGATTTCTACTACATAACCAATCTCTATAATCAAAATTAAATTTGTATTTACTAAAATGAAAAAAAAAAAACTATACTTTTTCTTCTCCATGTATCTATCGAATAAAAGACAAAATACTAAACTGGGAGAGGAGGGAAGGGGGGTTGTCGTCTCACACAAAAAAGCATTTCACAATCATAATCTTTCACAAACATTGCTGCTTATTCAGCTTCTCTAAGGTATTCCTTGGCCATATCAGCATCTGGAATTGAGCCACAAATGGTTTCAACCATGATACCAGTGACCAAATAAGGATCAATGTTGGAAGCTGGTCTTCTATCTTCAAAGTAACCATATCCTTCCTTAGCAACAGATCTTGGGATTCTGACAGAGGCACCTCTGTTGGCAACACCAGATGAAAAAGAGTCACCAGAAGCAGTTTCATGACGACCAGTCAATCTTTGTTCATTGTCAGCACCATACAACAACATGTGTTCCTTGTGTCTCTTGGCCAATTTGCTCAATGCAACTTCGATGACCTTCATACCACCAGCTTTTCTCATATCCTTGGTGGAAACATTGGTGTGACATCCAGCACCATTCCAGTCACCCTTCAATGGTTTAGGATGGAATGAGACTTTAACGGCAAACTCTTCAGCGGTTCTTTCCAACAAATACCTTGCAATCCACAATTGATCACCCATATCGATACCTTCACAAGGACCAACTTGGAATTCCCATTGGGAAGGCATAACTTCAGCATTGATACCAGAAATCTCAATACCAGCGTACAAACAAGCTCTGTAGTGGGCTTCGATAACATCTCTAGCAACAACCTTACCAGTACCGACACCACAGTAGTAAGGACCTTGAGGAGCTGGGAAACCACCCTTTGGCCATCCATAAGGATAGTCATATTGGTCAAACAAAGTGTATTCTTGTTCCAAACCAAACCAAACTTCTTCATCAGCGTGTGCCTTCATCAATTTAGCACATTCGTGTCTGTGGTTGAACTTATTTGGGGTACCATCATTGTTGTAACACTCATTCAAAACGATAATATTGTCACCTTTTCTGAATGGATCAGGATAGTAAGCAACAGGACGTAAATATATATCTGAGTCGTGACCTGGGGCTTGACCGGTTGAGGAACCATCGTAGTTCCATTCTGGCAAGTCATCGACACTAGATGGTTTTTTGCTCAATGTCTTACATTTGGATCTGGTTCTACCTTCAGAATCAATCCAGACATATTCAGCAAGAATTTTACCGTTTTGAGGTAAATCAAGATATTTAGATAGTATGGCAGTGTTTTCAGTTAATGAAGTGCTCATGTTGAAGTTGTTGTGATGATGATGATGATGATGTGTTGTCGTAAATGGCTGTTGAAAATTTTCTTTATTTTTCTCTATGTGATCTTTTTTTAGCTACGAAAAAAAAAAAAGAACCAATTATGGAAACGGAAGAAAGTGGATAAAAGTGTAGTTGTTGTTGTTGTTGTAGTAAATGGATGGTTTGGTAACCAGTTCAGTCTTCTATATGTATATATATAGATAGATGGGGAAAAGAAGTAAAGTTGAGTGAAGTAAAGCACAAGCTTTATGGACGATATATTCTTGATTTGAGGGAATTTATCAGTTGGTTTTATATATAACAAGGGACAAACAACTTAGTCATAAGACAAGACAGTGATGAATGCGTTGAAGTAACTTATATGCAGTACTACTTAATATGGACCAAAGGATAATATTAGTAGCTACTACGCCTTTTTTCTTAATTTCTTTTTTTCTTTTGTCTCTCTTAAAACAAAGGAGCTACTGCATACAAGCAAATATTCTCGTGGTATAATACGCAAGCATATATGCGTGATTGCTTAATTTTTCTTTCTTTTCTTTCTCTTTTACCCTTGAAATAATTGCATTTATATTATTATTACGTAACATTCTCTTATCAGCCAATCAGATGACAGAAAGATCCGGTTAGTAAAAAAAAAAAAAGAAAATAAATGAAAAGAGAAAAAAAAAATGTCACAATATTCCCATTTGACTGCAAAAACTACACTACCATAGACTTTCTGGGCTTCCATTGCTCCGCGCTCTCTTCCTCCTCTGTCTCGCTCTTTTTTTTACTATTGTTGGTTAGTCCAGTCGGTTAATTTGTCATGAGATCTCTTTTTACCCCAGATTTCCCATGTTTGTTTATTTTATTGTCTATATATTTTGATCTCTATAATAGAATCTAAGAGCATAACTCACATACATCCTAGCCCTCTCTCAGGGCTCAACATAAAAACTACACGAGGCCATATCAAACTAATTCGAGTTCTCTTTATCTCTGTTGTAAAGATTGACTCAATAAATAATGATAAGGAAAAATTTCACCATCCCACTTTACTTTTTTTTTTTTTTTTGTTTTTTCTTCTTTTCCCAACAGACAAAGTTAATTCATTTAATTTCCAGTCAGCAGCCACATGATAAGAGATAAAGACACTTTCCTTCAAATTACGAAGTGATAATTTACCACACACCTTTGTTCTTCTTCTTGATTTATGTTGTATGCACAATTGAGCTCACTCTAGAGATACATCCTCGTTCTTCTCCATGTCTAGACTTTGCAAGCTTCCTCAAGAGACAGGAGTCAATTAATACCAGCGCAATTAACATTTTTAAATTGAGTTCAGCCTCTGAAACAATACAAAATCGATTCATTTTTTTTTTTTTTTTTTTTTTCCTAATTTTTTATTTTAGTTTTTATTATTTTTTGTTGGGAGGAAGTTTGTGTAACGTGGAGGGAATATTCAAGTTTCTATTCATCAACTTCGGAAAGATAATCAGGCTATTTTTTTGCTCCCTTGATTAGACTGTTGAGATAGGCTAATAATGTCATCATCTCCTCTCTCATTCTCCACGAAAAGATACGACACAAGCTTTAACAGAAAAGGATCTCATACACTCTTTTTTTCGGTCTCTGTTTGTTGGACTGCCTATTGTCAACTCTTTGTGTGTGATGTAGTCGTGTGAGTGTACAATAAAAGAACAGTGATTCTGAAAAACTTTGTGTCGGTGTCGGATTTTTCAAAAATCCCTTTTGGAACAAAGGAAGGATCAATGTGAATTATCCGCTATTACATCGGCTGGGTTGGGTTGCACGAACCGAGGGGAGTGAGCTCATTCCGAGGTCCCAGCGAGAGCAAATACCTTCCTTTATCAAGGAATTTTCATTGACTATGGTTTTTGCCCTATCAAATTGATAGTCGTTTATGAATGCTGCTGCTTCTTCATTTCCATTGCAGTTTCTGTCGGGATAATATTTTTTTTCTTCTCTCTATTCCACCGCGCTTACAGCGCTTCTACTTAATTAGGAAAAGACCCACGGATGTACTGTTCATCTTTCAAAGGACATACAGAGTAACAAAAACGTCAATGACACACACAGACACACACAGACACGTATTTGTTTTATCATTCACATTCCTCCATAGTGAATATCAGAGCTTACAATTCTAACAACAAACTATAAAACACGTAGTATACATTGATCCCTATACGATTAAATGTTCCAACACACAAACTACTCTGACTTCAAACTCAGTATCTCAGTGTCTCTCTGCGCCTCTCTCTCTCTCTCTCTCTCTCTCATTGACCCCACAGATCAACCTCCCCATTAGTCATTTCATAAATCAACTCTTCTCGCGCTTGAAATGCCAAGTTGGCCTTAGCACGAACCAATTGCAAATAATCAGCATTATCTCTAATTAGGAAATTCAAATGAAACTCAACATTCTTCAAATAGTCATTCCAATTCTCCATTCCAATTGCACTCGCAGCATACGTCTTGTTATCTCTCTTGTACAAATTTGCATTTGTTAATAAATCATCTCTAAATTGGAAAAATTGGTCCTTGATTTGGTGAAAGTTTTTCCAAATTGTCCATATCTGCGAATCACCGAGTTGTTCACCTTGTTGTTGGATCAAGTACGAGATCTTGGAGTTGAATTCATTGATTGACGAGTCGGCAAATGATTCCAATATGTCAATTGTCGATTGAACCAAATTGAAGTATTCAACCAACAACTGTTCATGGGTTGATGAAAGCAATTGCTGTACATTGGTTGAGCAGTTTTTAGTTGAAGCATAGCTTTCAGCAATATCATCCCTAATTTCTTGTCTGGTTATAGTTTCCACTCGAATAGTCTTGTTACTAGCTTGAATCTTTTCGACATCTTTGTTAATCTGAGAGATTTTTGCATGAATGTCTTTATACTGTTTATAATTGACTTGTTGCAAATCTTGAAATTCTTGACTAACCAATGGCTTCAATGCTTCAATCAGTCGATTTAAAATTGGTTGCAAATCAGATTCAAGATTGATTCTGGCCAAATTCAATGTCTTGTTGATTTTCGTTTGCCAGTGCTCAATTTCTCGATATATTTCAACCAACTCAGGCTCAGGATTTTCAGTAACCAATGCACCATCTTCGTAAACAGATACAGTCGAAGTGAGTACTATAGTCTCAACTTCTCCTTCTTGTTCTTCTTCTTCTTCGGAGTCCCAACCATCTTCAGCTTCCTCCTGCTCGTATTTATGCCCCATCAAGTCCTTGACAACATGTATCAAACTTGACTTGAATTCACGAGGTGAAAATTCGTCAAACTTGATCAAATTCTTGACTTCCTTCTGGATGAACAAACTACGTTGGTGCAACTTGGCAGCACCGGGGGAATTTATCAACTGTGCATAAACGTCTTGGATTTGGGTCAATACTTGGCCCACGATCGGTATAGATGCAACATTGTGCAATATTTGACCAACAAACGTCCAAATTGGTTGCAAAGCGTGGTCGGCATTGACTCGTGCCACATTAATCCAATACCAAGCTTTAAGTAGTCCAAGTCTCAGCCATAATTGTACATAACGTAGCACTGAATGTTCAAACCAATTGTAAAATCTTGTCAATCCATCAAATACCAAATCCAATGCGGCTTTGACACCGTATTTCTCATCAAATGCATCACAGATATCCAACGCACGACTCAATCGGCCGCTAAGCTGCCACTGATCATCCAATTCGATAAGTATTGGCTTGATTTGCGCGTCATAGACTGGCTGTACATATGGCCGTATATACCCATCACTGACTTTGCATACATGGAAATTGATAGGTGATAGTTGCACTTCATCAGTTGCGGTTAGTAGACTTATTGGAGGACACACGAATGTCCAAGCGTATAGAAAATAAGCAACTATGCCGAAAGTGATAAGTCTATAAGATGTCATCTTCGTGGTGTGTGACAGTGAAATGAGCGTGAGTAGATGAGGCCAGTCGCTGTTTTGTTTCAAACTGGAGAATTGTGTAATACTAGCAAAAGGCCCACAAATTACAAACTAAGGAGCGACGTTTATTGTTCTGCGCCGTTGGAGTTTTCTGTTTCTTTCCTTCGATGAGATATAGTGATATTGAAAATGTTATGATTCGTAAACATATGGAAACCACGCACGCACAACCAAACTTGTTTTCTTTTTCTTTTTCCTTTTCTTTTTCTTTTTTTTTTAATTAATTTATTTTTTAATTTATTTTTTTTCTTCTCTTTTCGTGATTTACGATTTTGCGACTTTGAAAATTGCCAACGTGTGTCCAAAGTTTTGCAACCAAATAAAAACAAAAGGTACTTTGAGACAAGCATGCTATTTCACTCTATTTTCTATTTCAATGCGGTTGCTGATTGACTTGTAAAAATATCAATTTTTTCAACTGGCATCAACACAGACTCTTGCCACTTATAACTGCAATACAACACACCAACAATAACGACAATCAGAGTCAAGTAACAACTAGCAAATGAGTCCCAACTAAACTGCCAAATATTAGTTACCCCGTTGCTAAGGATAATGAAGATGATGCTCATTATACTCACCCAAGCACTCTTTTCCATTGGCAAGATAAACCGCGAAGTATATGCTAGATCATGGTAGGCAATGTTGTTGTATTCCAAAGCTTGTCGGAAACGTAGATAACTGATTGAAACGAAAAGCCACATAAGCAAACCGGAAGTAGCTGACAAGTTGATCAACAAGGTTAGGAATGTGCCCATGTTTTTCAAGTTCGAAAGTAGAGAGACCACCAATCCGAGTGATGAAGTGAGTAGGATGGCGTATACCGGAACACCGCCACGGCTTGTCGTCCTGGCAAACGTGCGCCAGAAATATCCTTCTTCCACCATGGATAATAAGCAGCGTGAACCGAAATATATGTTTGAGTTGGCGGCTGATATCATTGATGTCAAAATGACGAAATTAACAACGTGGATCAAGATGGAATTGTTACCGATTCCACAATTCACCAATGCAATTACAAATGGGGAAGACATAACCAGGTTTTCATTTCCATCACTACTACTGCTGCCGTTGTTGTTAATAATGCTTGGATCGTTGCTTGGAATCATCAATGTGAGTAATGTTAACGATCCAATGTAAAAAACACAAATTCTCACAACAATATACCTGATAGCTTTGGGCAAATTGCGGCCTATATCTTCAATCTCTCCTGAACATATCCCCACCGATTCAATTGACTGGAAAGTGAAACACGAAGATACAATCGATGAAGAAAGGCTATTTACCACCTTATTCATCACTCGGTTGTCGACAACTTCAATTGCATTGACTCCCCATATCAAATCAAGATTTGTCCAATTAGCAAATCCCAATCGAGTAGTGACTAAGACCATGCTAAGCCCAACCCAAGCAAACATGAACGCAATTTTGATAATCGTTACTAAAAACTCGATTTCTCCATAGTAATTCACTGGAAACAAATTAGCTGCCGTCAATAGTGTCCACGCAGACAAAATCACCAATGTCTTATGACCAAGCATAACTTGTGACGAATAAAATATCTCCTCCCCCAGTGGAGACGCAAACTGACAAAGCAATTCATAAATCAAACCTAGTTCCAACCCAAGGGTGATTGACCAACTCATCCAATACACAAAATTATTCATCACGCCAACTGGGTTCGATATGAATCGGAACTGGAACTGACATAGAGACCCATTGAGTGGCATATAACATGACATTTCCCCCACTGCGGTGATTATAAAGTAACAAAGGCCACTAATGTAAAAGTAGGACACTATACTGATGATGGGACCATTGGTGAGTGTTTGTCTAATACCCATAAACAAACCCGTGCCTATTATACCACCAATGGAGATCATTGATATGTGCCGACTATTCAATAGTCGTTTTGTGTGGGCTGAGATGTATTGGTTGTGATGTCGCGGGTCGTGATCGTGATCATAATTATGATCGTGATCTCGATGATGGTTGTGTCTTGATTGTTCAGTGAAGACAGGATTCAAAGATTCACCAGTACCTGTTAGTCGCGTATTCTCATTAGACATGTTCCTCCCTTAGGTATACCAGTGCTGAGCTTGTGTTGGAGATTATCAATGTGTCCAAGATCCTCTTTGGCCCTCTCCACCCCCACACCTCGGATGCGGTTTTTACTCCACGGCACGTGAATTTTCAGTGTTTTTTTTTTTTTTTCTTTTTTTATTCTAAATAAACGCCGCAATTCCATACATAAAGAGGGTCTCTCTTACACAGTAATTTCAATTATACGTATATTCACAACAAAACAAACGCAACAAAAACTATACACTAGGGAATTATTGGAAAACCAAGAGCAAAGAGTTCTATACTTGAACCTTTGTTAATCATTTCCTCTGTAGAAACTATCCTCTTTAATCTTGTTTCAATTTACCATGAACAAACTCTTCAGCTTGCTTGTAGTAAGCACTGACTTCATCATAAACACGTGTTTCAGTAACATCAGTGAATTGGTACAATTGTTGAACCAATGGATAAACATAAGTAGACCATCTGTTTTGAGCACATTGGATATATTCTTCAACCTTGTATTCAATAAATAATGGATGAGAATGAACATTATTGTCCAAAAAGGTGTGGACCTTGTTGACATAAGGTTGAGCTTTGTCGATTCCACCATTGACCAATTCACACAAGGTGGAGTGTTGGTTGCTCAATGGGTGCAAGATTTTCTGTTCCAACTCAACGATTGGGGTCAATGATGGACATTTGTAGTAGTGCAAGTAGGTTGTGTAGTAGATGACGAAACCTAAGATAAAAGTCTTGAAGTTGAATAAGAGCGCCATATTGTCAGAAGATGTATCCGATTGCAAGTAATAAGATTCAGCGTATAGGGGATTGGAAGAAAGAAAAGGAAGGATTATATCAAAAAAAAAAAAAAAAATCCTGGATTTAGTTTTGGAGATCGTTTTTATTTCTTCTTCTGTTTCTTCTGTTTGTTATTTTGTTACTTGAAATTTGGGTTTTGACGCACTAAAGAGTATATGAACGGATAAATGCAATTCTTTCAACGGCCTTAACAGAAGTGTATCCAATCATTAGGAATACCACACTAAGTGGGCTCACAGGCAATACCAAACGCCCACTCTTGCAACCTTAATTGCTCAAGAAAGTAAACACCATTTGCTAAACCGTTCCCCTACAAATTCTGTCAAGACTGAATATACAAAAGGATGCGCGGATGGCAAAAAAAAAAAAAAAAAAAAAAAGTTGGAAGACAACCGTATAGGAAGTAGTGCACAACTGCTCAATTTGCACTATGTTTTGCATACTCATTCTTCATGTTTCCAAAGATAACCTCCAAGTGTGCAAACCTGCAATGAGTTTTTTAAGCTTATTTGTAAAAGCATGAAGCTGAGCAGACTAACTCAACTACGCCATCCCTTTTTCAAAGGAGCGTTGGTGGCAGATAGAGTACACAGGAGGTGAGGCGGATATAGTGGAAGCCGCATTCTGCGTCCAGATTTGTATGCAGTACATTTAAAGCTCTTTAAGGTTGTTGCACAATGAGTGATATTTATTTACAATCTGTCCCAATCGGGGCATGTAAATGTACACTTTTCACTTGTTACTGGAATCAGTTAGTTGCAAAAAAAAAAAAAAAAGGGAAGGGGAAAATGTATCACCTTCACAACTGGGCAATATTATCTTCAATTCAGACAGCAATTGTGAAGAGCAAAAGAGGGTCCTTTGTTTTAATTTTCTTTTCCTTTCTTCCAAGTGGCAATAACTTGAGTGGATAGCATGTCGTTAATCCAGTCCAACCCTAGTAGTCCAAGGAGGCATGATCTACATGCCAACGTACAAACTCAGAGCGGTCGAAGAGGTACCGGAACAGGAGGAGTTTTAGGCGCCACTTCACCTAACAAAATCAACCTGGAAACATTACCATTCCATTCAGTTAAACTCAAACCAGTTTTGTCACCTTTGAAACCAAAAAGACCAGCACCATCTCAACAGCCTTCACCCACCCCCATTGGAAAAAATTCCAGTCCAGTGAAACCAATCACCAACACCAATAACAATACCGGCACCACCTCTGTGAATGTCAAGACTACTACTACTACCACAACAGCCAAACAAGACCAGAGACATGTCAATTCATCCCCTGATAAAAATGCGTTGCAGTTTCAACAACGAAGGGATACCCTCGTGAGCCAATACAACGCCAAACAAGAGCAAATTAAACACTACCAACAAAAACTAAGCCATAAGCAATTACAACTTCTTGAAATAGAATCTCAACTACAACAACTCAATGCTTCGCATCTACTCCAAACATCATCACGAAATCACAGCAAGACGCAACTTGATATATACAAACAAGCATCAATTGAAACCGAACGACAGTTGGCGGCAGCAAGAAATAGTAACAGCCCATTGAAAATGATAGACTTGAACAAGACGCCAAGTCCTTTGAAGAACCTCACACCTTTGAAACATGCATTGCTCAGTCAAACTTCATTCATCACTTCTGCTATTGATGAATGTCGCACTACGATGGGCACCATGGGTAAGAAGGCATCAATGATGTTCAATAATGGGTCTAGTGACGGTGTAACTGATGACAGAAACGTCTTTATGAAGCCCCAATTCAACTCCGATAAATTTGAATCCTTGACTAGACAAACGAGTCAGTTTTTTGATAATTTGCTATCGGTTAGAGATAAGAGAGTGACAAACACATTTGAAGAGGAAGAGCAAGGTACCAAACACACACATGACTCCTTTGACATTGACAATCTAGAAACTGATTTGGTTTATGAACAAGTTGACATCGATGATTACGATTCCTCCTTTGATTAGTACACAAAAGAAAAACCTATATTAGCAGTTTTTGTCTATTCTATCATCTATACAAGCTTTTTTGTTTCTAATAATATCCATTTCAATCATCTCATTCATAGTCTCTAACTCATCTATTCTCCCCTCAGTCATCCTCATCCAACCATCCTTGGGCTCTTTCGATTGCCTTTTCCCAACGTCTCCAATTCTTTCTTCTATCAGCATCAGGCAACTCCGCTTTAAAAGTGTTGCTAGCCTCATCATAGTTACCAGTGATCTTAGCCACAACATCATCAAAGTCCTTCCATATACGATCCTCCTCATTCTTGAACGAGACACCAGCGGCAATCGCAGCACCTAAAGCAGTGCATTCAGCGGTTTGTGCACGTTTAACAGTGACACAAGGTCCCAAAATATCAGCTTGGATTTGCAACACCTCATCTGCTTTCGACATACCTCCATCAGTAGCCAATTGCGATAAAGGTTGAGAATCTTCTTGTGATGTGCGTGCTTCCTCCATGAAATCCTCCGACGAACCAGCATCACTTCCCATGGCTTTCAAAATTGCACGCACTTGATAACAGACACCTTCCAACGCTGCTCTTGCAATATGCGACGAGGATGTATACTGCGTCATACCAAAAATCGTACCTCTGGCACCTCTGTCCCAATATGGCGCATACAACCCACTGAATGCGGGAATGAAAACGACACCTCCGGAATTTGCCACCTGTGACGCCAATGGTCCAATATCCTTGGCATTACTAATCATCTTCAAGTTATCTCTCAACCACTGAATAATGGAACCAGCAACGGCAACCGAACCTTCCAAAGCATAATGTGGTTTTCCATCAGCACCATCAAGTGACGGGAACCAGAACCCAAAGGTTGTCAATGCACCATGAGAACTAATCAATTTACGAGTACCTGTATTGTACAACAAGAAACAACCAGTACCATAAGTACATTTGGCCGAGCCGGGCTTCAATGCCAATTGTCCCACCAATGACGCACTCTGGTCACCCAAACAACCACAGATTGGAACACCAGTGATTGTTTTCAAAATATCATAAGCTTCCTGGGTGATTTTATTATGGAATCCTAAATTGGATAAATTGGGAGGAGCAAACGCACCATAATGCTCCGACGAGGATACAATCTTGGGTAATTGGATTCTTGTTGGATCTATACCCCAGAAATCCAATAAATCATCATCATAATCGTGAGTTTCCAAATCCATGAAATAGGTTCTTGATGCATTGGTGATATCAGTAACAAATGATTTTTCCTTGGTCAAGTTGTAAATCAACCATGTGTCAACAGTACCAAACATTAAATTTCCATCGCCCTTTTCATACTCTTCTCTGATCACATCGTCATTATCCAACAACCATCTCAATTTTGCCGCTGAGAAATACGTGGATAATGGCAATCCAGTTTTCTCCTTCAATTCGGCTTTTCTATCTTCATCAATCATCTTTTCCAAATGCTGAACAATTTCAGCGGTTCTAGTGTCAGTCCAAGTGATACCCCCACTCAACGGTTTACCAGTCTTTCTCGACCACACAATTGTAGTCTCTCTCATATTGGCAATACCAATACATTTAACCTTGTACTTGACTTTCAAATTGGGGTTTTGGTTGATTTTCCTCAAGGTGATCAAACATGCAATTAAACACTGAACAGCATTGGCCAATATGTGCACCGGCATACATTCCACCCATCCAGGCTGCGGGAATCTCAAAGTTGGCCCTACTGACGACTTGTTATTTTCAATTTCAACATTGTCCGTTATGGAAATGGCAATACCTTCAGCTGAGAAAATAGGTTCATCGTGTCTTAGCAAAGACGATCTTCTTCTAAACTGTTCGGTGTTTTGCGAGTTTTCTGGTGCTTCTGATGCGGTTGTGGAGTATTCAATTTGATGTTTGGCGATTTCTTGCCCTTCTTGCGAAAATAAAATTGCCCTGGCTGACGTTGTACCAATGTCAATGGTGGCGATTAATGGAACCGATGGGAAATTACTGTTACGACGTGGCATGTTTAAAGTAAAGTTGTCAGTGTCGTCGTAAAGAGGAACAGTGGGTATGCGTTTAAAGAGAAAAGAAAGAGGGAAAAGTGAATGGCTTTTATTGATTTATTTCTCTATGTAGCTATTGGTTTGACATTAATTTTTTTTTCTCTTCGTTTTTCTGTTTTGTCTGGTTTGTTTTATTTTGTTTTATTTTGTTTCTTGTTTGTCGTAGCTTAATTTTTTTTTTTTTTTTTGACTTTCCTCGGCAAAAAGACATAACATTATATACATACAACATGTAAGAAGCGCCGCATAATTTATTAGTCACTTCCGCATGCTAGGTTGTAACAGAGAAGATCCAAAAACCAAATCAATGTAATACCTTTTTGTCAAAGCTGTCCCTGATGACATTACAGATAACCTCATCGATCTTCTTTGCCATTTTCTAGAGATCTAAAACCAAAAAAAAAAGAAAAAAAGAAAGAAAGTTACGTAATAGCAAACGAACAAAAATTTTTAGTGATGCAGTGTTTTGTGTAAGTTCGTGGAGTATATGTATTGTGTAACATGATTGAGTTCACAACGGACTTCACGAGGCGAAGTAATATGGAGCCAAACTGGAGGTGTATGTCAGTTTCTCAGCTTTGACCATTCTAATACTTGCACTGTTCGTGATTTTTCTCAAAACAACGTGGTACCTTGTCATACCAGATTACCAGTTAAAACACCGTTATGCACCCCACACCTCAGTAGAATACGGCGGGGTAGACACTACAGAACTTGCCAACACGCACCACCTCTTAGTTTTAACATTTATTAAAGCATCCTCTATTCAGATATATTTTTATCATTTTCATCAATTGTAAAATCAACATTAAATGGGTCATTAAGTTCAATATTATTTACACCACCATCAATCTCACCTTCAACTTCAGCATAATCATCCAACCAGGGACAATTTGCGTCCAATTCGTGCTTATGGTTCATTATCCAATTGTTCATCCCTCCAACGTCACCAATGTTTGTCTTTGTCAAGATCTGGAAAATCTTTGAAAAATAATAGATTAATGAATGAATTCCTCGTAAATAGCCATAATCCACTAAATTCGGATGCGATGGTGGGATGTTGACATGCTCTTTTTCTTCTTCAGATATAACTGACTGAGCAAAATCGATAATCTTGACACTGACTGGTTGTTCTTGTTTCTGAGTAGTAGTAGTAGTAGTAGTAGCAGCAGCTCCACCTTCGTACATCAAAAGAATCAGGGACCCGTACATGCGATATCCAGGTAAGTTCTTGAATATCAGATACAATGCCTGCAACTGGTCGATCAACAGCGGGATGCGGAGTAAAATGGAGTAGACGTCTCTGCCATTGTATAAAAATTTCGCAAGCACTTTGCAAAACTGAACTCCAATTTTGATTCTTCTGCCGAAATATTTATCTCTAACCAACCTCTGGTCATTATACTTGAAAATTTGGAGCCCACATAATCTCACACCTAATTTTCGTGACGTTGTTGTCAAACATTTTTGTCTTTGCGACTGTTGCTTTTTGACAGATGCATCAACACCATACTGCCTTGTACCCATCTTCAAATCTAAAACACAAGGTCTCTTCATGTGGGATGTTAAATCTTCAAGCAAGATAAAGCGTTCAAATCGAGTGTGCTTGCGTAGCAACACTTGGTCTTCACTTGGTTGAGAAAAAGTGCGTTGATGATGCACACCCACCTCTCTATCCTCATCCATCTCAAAAAACTCATCATGGAGTCTCAATGGTTGGAAGACTTCTTGTAAAACTTGACATTGCAATTCCGTATTGACCAACGTTGATCCCGGATTTGGCCGCTGTGAAGGGGAATTGGTTAAACTTGGAATTGGACTTTGTTTGGGACTGTTTATAAGCGACGATTTAGGCGATGGCATGGACTCTGAATAATGTTTCCACAAGGTCTCCGGTATGATGTGTATATTGTCGTCTAAAACAACTTCAGGGGGTATATCCTCTCCTGATTTGCGGCGTAGTTTTTGCGCTTCATTAAAATTCAGATCTTGTTGCTCGACATTGTCGTCCAATGTAACCTCCACAATGTCGTCATTCTCCTTGATTAAACTAGAATATCGCACATTTAAAACGCCAATATACCTTGGCATAAATTTCAAAAGTTCGGGGTGATGGATTTCAATACTTTCGTAGAAAATATCTTCTCTATTTACGAGTGCTTTGCAAACGGCTTCCTTGGAAAATGAGAAAATGGCAGTGTGCCCACCCACTTTATTCTTAAATGGTCGCAACTCCACAGCTAATGGAAATTCCGTCTCTGCTGGTGACGAGCCTGAGCCACTTAAATCTTTGTCATCGGCTAGCTTCCGGTACTCATTGACTAAGTCCGCTTCGTAAAGTTCCTTACTGGGACTGCACACGCGCGAAACAGTGGGCGAAGCAAAACCATTATTCTCAGCATCACTCTCAGAAGCTTTATTTTGATCCAATATGGAGATTATCTTGGTGATGTCGCCGTTGAGGCCGTGATCAAATTCCAAATTAGCAGTCAAGTGTTGAGGCCGCACAGCCAACACTGGTGCGACAGATGAAGGAATTTCATGAGGCACAACTTCATCCAAATTGGCACGATTGTGTTCCAATGTTGCTGGAGTATGAGGAATATAAGTTGCAGATGATACCGGCTCGAGTTCAGTCTCCGTTGCACCTAGTTGTTCTGCCAATGATGATGACTTTACTTGATTGTTACCCTCGTTGGGTACTTCTTCCTCCATAGTCGCTCCATCTTGACCTATGTTTCTGAATATTCGTAAAGATCGAGCTGCTTTTCTTCCCGTGAGCTGATTTGTCGTTGTGGAAGATTCAGTTGGCATCACGTCATTTGTAAGTGATGTTATTGGTGGATGATTCGGGGCGCAATCTTGTTCCTTGTTTACATCAGCCTTTGTGAGGGGTTTCCCAGAGTCAAGGAAAGTCACTCTGTGAAGTGTATTTGTGGACAGATGGGGTTCAAAGAGTGGATTTTGCAGTGACTGATGTGTATCAGCACTAGCGTTATTTGGCGGAAGCTGGGCGTTAGACATGTCCTTTGAAAGATGATGTAATTGGTGATGTGAATGAGTTTGCTGTTGCTGTTGCTGTACTTGTTGTTGTTGCTGCTGCTGCTGCTGTTGTTGTTGTTGTTGTTGTTGTTGTTGCCACTTGTGATGGTCGTGATGAGTAAGTTCTGGGCCACTACTCACCACATGTGCTGTAGATGAATTATTGACCTCCATATTGATGAATCTATTTTCTTCATGTATGATAGTGATGAGTGTAACCTTTGAAGTTGCAAATGTGCCGTTGCTTAGAACTGAGGTCTGAAAGATAGGGTTAAGATAAGATGAAAAGGAAAAAGAAATCAGGAATGTATGATATAACTGTTTTAGTTTTTTGTTTTTTGTTTTTCGTTTTTTGTTTTTTGTTTTTTTGTAAAAAGGAAAAATTACTTTTCTGTTCAACTTCTGAACATGGTTCTTACAATAGAATACGATTTTCTTGTCTTTGTAGAGTGGTTCCAATCTATCTTTTCCCCCCAGAGGGACAGGATAAGCAAAGATCACTGGTTTAGGACTATTGAATAGTGAGTGTACAATCCATTTGACTGCGAAGTAGAGTAGCGATGCCATAGGGCATGGCATACCCCAGTAGTAATGATGAGAAATGAGCTTAATCTACTAGCGTTGCGAATAGCACAATTAATGCTATACACAACTCTGCAACACTCCTACCTTTGCTGAGATAATGGTAAGCAACTTGGTGGCTGATCTGCCTCGAGTAATGTGTTGCACGATGACTTCAGCCACTCTGTGAAACGCAAAGACAAAAAAAAAAAAAAAAAAATAAAATAAAACAATAAGAAAGCGTAAACAAACTCCGTTCCTTTCTCCTACACACCCACGCACTCACTCACGCACGCACGCACGCACGCACGCACGCACGCACGCACGCACGCACCCACCCCTCGTGTGTTTTTCTCTCATCTCTGACCCCTCGTTCCCTTTTTTTTTTTTTTTGTTTTGCCATTTCTCTTTACTACACCCGAATTTCCTAGGTAAAACGTGCCTTCTTTGTAATGGTAATGACTGCTTGCACGCGGAACCGTCAAAATCCGACTTTTCTTTCACTTCTCTTGCGGTTTAACCCACGTGGCGACGTGTGGCTAAGTGTCAACCATTTTGGAAAAGTCTCAACTCTTGCCGAGCAGCAACTGTATATGGTGCATCTTTACTAGTTCTAAGCAAAGACCTCAATAAGATTCGAAAAGATTACGTGGATGTGCAAAACACCGCAACGATCAAATCGTTTTGAAATATAATAGAGTTGAAGTCAAGCACGGCAACGATTCCACGGGTGAGTTGAGCTATCCCAAAGCGACGACACACTCCATTCACACGCCGTGCAAACAAAATGCAACCAATCATGACGTCTTTCCTGCTCCTCCTTTATCCTGAGTGTAGATTTTGGGCATGTCCCATGTATTTCTCGATTACAATAAGGCTTTTATCTCGGCCCATCTATTCTTTTCGACCCGATTTAGCTCTGTGCGATTTTTCTTCTAAGGGGTGCACAACAGTCACGTGCAAGTGTCAATCGTAAATTGCAGACACAAAATGTGTCAACAATTGACAAATTAGATTGCAAAATTGAAATTTAATTTGAGACACTCTGACGCCACAGCTACAAAAATGGTCGTAGAATTGCATTAACCGGGCTAGCTATGCGGAAACCTTACATATACGTATATATATATATATATATACGTAACAAATTCACCTAAAAAAGGTGGCTGCATGAATCAGCTTTAAGAATTTATTATACCTGTAATGGCTGCCGTGATTACCCCTTTACAAAGGCTCAAGTGGGGTATTCTACCCGTGAGAAGAATCGTCGATGAAGACGAAAATGGGAACTTCATCGACCCCACCGATCAAGAAACTGTGCTCACAAATGAGGACGACAGTACTGCGAAAGTACTCACTGGACTGGAAGTGCACTCAGTCTCCAGGAAGGAAGAGGAGGAGGAGGAGCCGGAAATTGAGTATCGTGACGAGAAAGACCGTCCGTGGTGGAAGTTCTTTGATGAGTACGAGTATCGTGTGACTACTCAGGAGAAAAGGAAGAGGAAGTGGTTCAAATGGTTCCATGACGACGATACCCCCGAGGAGAAAAAGTTGATTACGAAAATTGACATCTTGTTGACATTCTACTCGCTTATGGCGTATTGGGTAAAATACCTCGACCAGACAAATTTGACAAACGCATACATCGGGGGTATCAAAGAGGCAATTGGAATGGAAGGGAACGATTTTATCAATACTCAAGTGATGTTTACAGTGGGTAATATCGTTTTCCAAATTCCCTGCATGTATATCTTTTATGCCCTTCCATTGAATTATGTGCTCCCAGTCTTGGACTTTAGTTGGTCAGTATTGACTATTTGCACAGCCAAAGTGACGAATGTCCCCAGCCTCAAAGCAATCCGTTTCTTTATTGGAGCGTTTGAAGCACCCACTTACATTGCCTACCACTCATTATTCGCTTCTTGGTTCAAGGCAAGCACAGGTGAAGTAGCTCGCAGAGCTGGGTTCTTTTATATGGGGCAATTCTTGGGAATCTTGACTTCGGGGGTTCTTTCGGGAGCAATAAAAAGACACTTGGGAGGGGTCAATGGATATGACGCGTGGCAATGGATTTTCATAGTGGATGGAATCATCAGCTTTGCTGTGGGTGTTATTGGACTCTATATGATTCCTGGTACCCCACAAGATTGTTACAGCATCTTTTTATCCGATGATGACATTAGAATTGCCAGAAGACGAATGAGAAAGGACCAGAAGGATGCCAAACCTAGAGAAAATGCGTTTTATTATTTCTTTCAATGGAATTTATGGAAAAGAATTGCCACCTCTTGGCATGTCTACATATTGACTTTGTGGACTGCATTTTGTTGGAACAATTCCAACGGGACTTCTGGTGCGTACCCATTGTGGTTGCAATCTTTGAAAAAAGATGATGGTAAAACCCCTCGATTCACTGGAGGCACGTTGCAGGACTACACGTCCTTAACCCCAGCATTGGGCCTTTTGTGGTTGATATTGACCTGTTCATTTGCCGATTTTCTCGAGAGCCGGTATGGAGCAATCATCTTTTCGCAGGTGTTCAATGTGATTGGTAATGTTTTGCTTGCAATTTGGGATGTTCCCGAGGGTGCCAAATGGTTTGCCTTTTGCATGCAATATTGGGGTTGGAGTTCCTCGCCCGTGCTTTACTCGTTCTTGGGGGATATTTGTCGAAGAGATGTACGCGAGCGACAGATCATTTTGGTTTGTTGCAGTATGTTTGGGCAAATGACATCTGCATGGATCTCAGTGTTGGTGTGGAAGACGGTTGAGGCGCCAAGATTCTTGAAGGGTTACAGTTTCACTGCCGCGTCCGGGCTTGCATTGGCAGTTTGGTCTATTCCCGTTTTGTACTTGTACAGGAGACAAGAAAGAGCGGGAGCACTTGACAATAATATTGTGCTTTACAACTCAAGCAAAGATAAAGAGAAGCCTGATATTGAGCAAGTCGATGAGAAATAGAGAATAGAATATGTAGAGTAAATTCATTTTGCAGTTAGGCTTTGTTTAAAACAGTGCTACCAAATTTGTCTGCACATTCATCGATTTTTTTCCTCTTTGCCGATGGATATGCTTCGACGAATCTATCTCGTCTCATTGGTGTTAATTGCAGCATCGCTTGTTTTCCGGCCCTCTGTATTGCTCAGACAGAGACCGGATGGTGCCCCAAAGTGCCACCGCTACAAAAATGATGCTGGTTTCAAGTCATTCTTGCGAGATCATCACCCGAATTATCAATCCGAAAATTTAACTGTATTCAAATCATCAGTTTACAACCATCGTTTAGGTATATAAAGCTCGAATCATTATTATGATTCAACAATCGGGCGAAGAAACCTTGATAATGTTTACATGAAACTATTAAAAGACCTCATTCTAAAAACCGTGTTATCCACCTTGAGCCGAATGATTGCAAAAATGAATTCTGTGTAGCAAAGAAACTCCGAAAAATGAAGTTCCTCGTTAAACCGACGGACATAGAACACACTTTTGCCTCTAGCGACAACCGAAAGCAATTTTGATGCCGTGCCTAATCATGCCATTCTGCAGAAGTGCTCCACAGGGATGATCGACACTCGGCCACTCTGTCGTCCAAGCTTTCCCCGCTACATCACTATGCCCAATACACTCTTCCAGTGCTGCAACGCCAATGAATGACATTACCTACACGAGGTCACTCATGTGGAAATATCCTGCATCCTATGCAACGGAAAGCCCTGACAGACGTTGGAGCATGAAAGGAGGGGAACTTGTAGAGCAATTCATTTTTTTTTTTTTTCGGATTTCTGGGGTAATGCAAGAAAAAATAAACCGTCGATTACCGAGAACAATACTAGCCGAAATCAAGAGACAACTTCGCCTAGTTCGGCTTGTTGTTGCAAAGTTTCAGCAACACTCGAGCAAATGCGTAGGTAGCCAAGCTACATATACATACATATACATATATATATATATATATATATGTATTTGCTCTTGTAATCCTACCGCTATGTCTCAATCAATATCTCTTTAAAACCAACTACAAAACATGGCTCCGGTTAGAGAAACAACAACAGTCACGCCACCTGTCACAGAAGACAATGAGATCCCAATTCTTTTACCTCAACACATCACACTTGGGGAATACATCTTTCTCAGAATAGCGCAAGCAAACCCCAAACTCAAGACGGTGTTTGAAATTCCCGGTGACTTTAACCTCAACTTGCTTGAGCACGCCTATTCCCCATTGGTTACGCACAAGGGCATCAAATTGATTAACACATGTAACGAGTTGAATGGTGCGTACGCCGCAGACGCTTATTCGAAAGCCATTGACGGTTTGAGTGTTTTCATTTCAACTTATGGCGTAGGTGAATTATCGGCTATCAATGGTATTGCCAATGCTTACACTGAATATGGCGCGGTTTTGCACATTGTGGGGACAACTTCCTTGAGACAACGCGAGGAGGCAAAGAACAAAATTGTGAATATGCACCACTTGACTCCTAACCACGACCCACTTTCTCCTCCTGACCACGATGTTTACAAAAAGATGGTTGATGGTGTGTCATGTATCCAAGAGTCATTAGATAAAAACATTTCCAACAATATAACCAAAATTGATAAAGTTTTGAGAACAATTATTCAAGAAAGGAGACCAGGATATCTTTTCATTCCTTGCGATGTTCCTGACATGATCACAGCTTCGAATGTGTTGTATGAATATCCATTTTCACCATTGTCACAATACCAAGGAACCGACCAGGCACATACAGTATTGAATGAAATTACAGACTCGATCTTGTCATTATTGTACCAATCCAGAGATCCAACTTTATTTGCTGACTGTCTTGTCAACAGATTTGGAGCACAAAAAGAGCTCAACAGCTTGGTTGAAAAGTTGCCCGACTGCGTCAAGTTATTCTCTTCCAACTTTGGAAGAAACATTGATGAAACAAAGTCAAACTTTGTTGGCGTGTACATGGGAGCAGGCTCCTCCGATGACAAAGTAAGATTGTTGTTTGAAAACTCCGATTTGTTGCTCCTCTTGGGATTGTATGACACAGAGATGAATAATGGTGGTTATACTCGGGATTTTTCGAAAGCCGCCAACACAGTAATTGTTCACCCCGATTACATTCAAATTAATAACGCAATACATCACATTAAGCAATTCACCGGTGAGAAATTGTTTTCCATGAATGAATTTTTGCAAAATTTGACTGAAAAATTGGACACATCAAAGATAACTGCCGTCAAGCAGTCAACTTATCAGTACGTTCCTCAAAACGTGCATGTACCTTCCAAAACAGACAGCTCTTACTGTCCACAATCAATGATTAACAGCTTCTTCACCACATACATGCAACCAAATGACTTTTTCATTGTTGACACAATGTCATTTAGCTTTGGTGTAACCGATATCAAGTTTGCACCAAACGTACAGCTTCTTTCCGGTTGGTGTTATGGATCAATTGGGTATGCTGTGCCGGCAACATTTGGTGCCACAATGGCAATCAATGATTTGGGTCTGAACCGACGTATAATCTTGGTGCAAGGAGATGGTGGCGCTCAAATGACTGCGCAGGAATTTTCCAGTTTTATCAGATATCATAAGATTTTGCACAATTTTCCCAAGGTGTTTTTGTTGAACAATGATGGATACACCATTGAGAGGAAACTCCTAGGCCCAACAAGGTCATATAATGATATAAATGGGTTATGGAAATGGACGAAATTGTTGCTGGTGTTTGGCGGTGTTGAAGGTGAAACCCATGATGCGTACAAGATTCACAATGTGAAGGAGTTTGAAGAGCAGTTGGGCAGTGGTAATTTGGGTGATAGTTCAAGATTGCAATTCTATGAAATCATTGCTGGTAAGTTTGATGTTCCTGCTCGTGTTGATAGAATGATGACGGCTAAGTAGAAAAGAAAAGGTTTGTATAATAGAATAGAAAATTGTATGGTTTCGGTAGCGTTTCGGAAAAAGAAAGAAAAAAAAAAAAAATGTTTGTAAAGAAAATTATTGTTCATTGCTTTGCTTACACGTTTCTTTGATTCACCAACAATGGTATGTCAACGTTCAACATGATATCGTGTTCCCAACTACTAACCCCGCTCCATAGTCTGCATTATTCAACTTCCAATCACTTTTGCAAGTACTTCTTCTCCTTATTTGCACTTGTACATATGTTCACAGCGTTGCACCAGCACTTCTAGATAACAGGAAAACAGGAATGTTGAGTGTTTTTTACAAATTTGCAAGAATCGGAGAGAGATTGAGCCCCTACGTTGCTATTGGCTGCTTTGTCATGGCTTTCAACACTTTGAGCACTTGATTTATAACAAACAGACGTATACGTATTATCTAAACTCATACATTTCATTTCTTGAATGACAAAGAATTGGTGCACGTTCATTACCCACAATCCGATCCAAGGCAGTTGCGTCCCATTTCGAATAGAGGATCTTGACAGTGACCAAATTCAAATCACATTCGTCTTTGAATACTGACTTGGCGATGAACCGAATCAATTCTTTATAGAATATAGGATTTGTTGGTGGTGCATACATGATTATATTTTTAACTCCACCGATTTCATATCTTCTGAAATAATGTAATCTCTCTGTGTACAACATGATTTTGATTTTGCTATTGGCAAATTCGTGTCTGGTTCTTGTCAATCTGGATTGAGAACTGTACTCATCAATAGCCCCAAAATTGAACTTTGTTGATGTTTTGAAGTAGTCTTTGATACGAAGGTAGTCAAAGTAGGACGGTATATAGATCATGATACCATCTTCATAAGACGTAGTTTTCAACAAGTTGGGAAGTATTGCATTGATGAAAAACTTGAATCTACTATCTGGGTCAGAGGTTGGAGATTCACTTGGAAATCTTTGAAATACCTGTTTGATTTTGATACCAATGGAGTTCATGATGCTTGTTTCAGAAGTTATAATCGGCTTAAATTTAGTCTTGCCCAGTAGGTTGAAAGATTTTGATGATACAAGGTTGTTGATAGATGGAGTCAAGTACTCACAAAACACCAACGTTTGTCTCAAAAGCTTTGCTTGATCGTTGATACTCCACATTCTGATTCTGCTAAAATCAGCATCATGGAAATCTTTGGGAACTTTGTTAATATACCTCATGATTGTATTTACATGATCCCAGTTTTGCATCTCAATTTGGTTGGCTCTATCAACAATCAACACCTCTATCGATGAGATGAAGTCGTATTGACGCTTCTTCTTGTCCGGATTTTCCAATATCATCGACAACCCAAGTGGCGAGGCAATGACGATATCCGATGAATAAAAAGAGGAGTACAATTTCAAAGACTTACGGGTCAATTTCAACCCAATGCAAAAGTAATCGTTATTGTTCCCCTTGAATGCGTCTTGGAAATCTTGTGGTTTGTTATTTCTAGGAACATCTTTGGCATGAAATTGAGCAGTGAATCTTTTTTTGTTTTCCTGTTGTGTAGTACCTGACAACTTGATCAACAATTCAACCAAAGTGTGACATGACTCTCTCGATGGTAAAAGAATCAATATTTTTGGACGTGTAAAACCTTGGTCTCTCAATTCTAAATCTTGGTTGTTTTCTTGGGCTTGGTGCAATTTGGCTGTGTTTTTAATAATCCGATCTCTGGTTTTGTAGATGTGATTCAACGCGTGCATGGCATAGAGCTTTCTGTATGATTTGTTTGTATACGTCTTGTACTGATAGTTGACGTCTTCGTAGTTTAAAATCGGCTGCAAAAGTACCGAATCTAACGTGGTGAGATCATTTCCATACTCACTTGTGTATGCATCCAAGACTCTCATTTTTAATGACTTGAAATCTTCAATGCTGGTTGGATGTTTGAATTTTACATGTGTGATGCCTTCACCGGGTGGAGATAATGTAGTTGAGCTCAATGACAAGTCATTGTACGTCTCTTTCGACAGAGCAGTCCACTTGTTGTGTTCTATCAACACCAACTTCTCTTCCTTCTCTAAATACTCATCGCTTGGTTGATTAAAGTGAACTTCGAAAGGGTCAGTCGCCACCTCATCTGGCAAGTCTTCTTCGTCATTCTCCAATTCATTCTCCGATTCATTCTCCGACTCCACTTGGTCTTCGTCAAAGTTTTCACCAGCAAGTTCGTCATCATCTTCTGTGTTTGGATGTTGTTCGTGTTGGTCTTGCTGAATGGTCTCTGGCTTTTCCTCCAGCTCAGATTTTGCCTTGTCGTTTGACTTTAGTAGAGTCAACAACGCGGAGTATGATTTTCCACTAAGATCTTCCTCGCCAGATTCCTCCTCCTCTTCCTCGCTATGATCAATGTCCTGTGAGGCATCTCTATCCTCGGTTGTCTGAATCAGATGACTCTCTTTTGATTCACCTTTTCTTGGTCTTTGAGCAGTTCTAGTCACCGTTCTCAATTCAGTCCTTCCACGCTTGGCATTCCTGTCTCTGACAGAAGCAGCACGACCGCTATCATGCCCCCTCTTTGTCCCTGCAGCCATGTTGTGTTTACCTGTGATTTGATTGAAGTTATGGAAAAAAAAAAAAAAACATCTCGAGAAGAGGTTTGGCACTCGATGTGTCAAAAATATTCATGACATTGATAAACACGACATTTAATTCCTTTTTCTGGCCAATGTTACACTACTGAGAGGAGTCTAGAAGCCGAATTTAAATTTTTTTTCTCTTACATATTGATAAAAGGGACAAATTACCAAACATCATTGACTGCAAAGCGTATCATTAGATAACACACTTCATTAAATCCATAAAGTATACTTTCGCAGTATAATTCAACCTAAAAAGCCTGCTATAAACCAAGAGGTTAAGCTACGACAGATATAAGGAAGGCAGGAAATTAACAGCTGCCGAGATCCACATCACCACTAAGCACAGGCTCTTCCAAACTGCATGACTGAAAATGCTTACAGTCCATTTCAGATGGACGAAGACATACCCGGCCTACCGAGTGAGGGTCCGAAAGGTGATATAGAATACAATGTACATGCAGAAGATGAGATAACAAACCTTGCAACTGCATCCGATGCTAAAAGCACGCTATTGCGATCCAAGTTGGCTGAGTTGAAGTTGCAGAAGATGAAAAATAATGCAGCCACAACGGAAGAAGAGGAAGAAGCGAAAAAGTATGATGAAGACGTGGACGACAAGTTGGATATCAATATGCAAAAGAGACTCCAACTGGAATACGAAGAAAAGCACCGCAAAAAGACAAATCAAACTGCAGGTGCTGTGGCTGAGGAGGATACATCATTCGAATTTGATGTCGATGATGAACCGTTGACCCCACCCGAAAACTTTTCGTTGGTGATTGGATCAATTTACAGAAGTTCTTTTCCTCAACCTGCAAACTTTTCATTCTTGAAGCAACTCAAACTAAAGTCAGTGTTATGTCTTATACCAGAAGACTACCCCGATCTTCATCAAAAGTTTTTCGAAAGTAACAATGTCAAGTTGTTCCAATTGGGGATGTCAGGAAACAAAGAGCCATTTGTTAAAATCTCACTGGATTTGATCACCCAGGCGATCAAAATTGTCCTTGACCCGGAGAACCAGCCCATACTCATACATTGCAATCGAGGTAAGCACCGAACTGGGTGCTTAATTGGAGTTTTACGACGTTTGCAAAACTGGTCCAAGACTATAATCTTTGATGAGTATAGGAAATTTGCAGCCCCCAAAGAACGACCCATGGACCAACAGTTTATTGAGTTGTATGACGATCGACATATAAAGGAGTACTGTAATGAGCGAGGGTTGTTACCGTTGAAATGGGGGTGAGCAAGCGAGAAAGATACTACACATACTATGTAAAGATTAAAATAGTCTATTGTTAAATGGATAACTTGTACACAACAGAGGTGCTACTGTTGGAAAGGACTTCTTTTGCTCCAGAAAAACTCTCTTCCATACAAGGCCGCATCAAAGAGTGCTATACCCGACAATGCAACTGGAGTTACTCTTCCTTTGAAAATAGACAGGATTGATGATTTACCATTCACAATCAAGTACAAAGTCAGCCAAGCGAAATTGAAACCAGAGGCATTCAATGGGTCTCCATCAACCATCATATAAGTACCCAAGGCCATAGCTGAGCCAAACAAGGTACAGGACAATCGCGTGGGTCTTGACGCTGCCAATGTCTTGTGGAATGCAAACGATGAGCCAGATGTGCCAGAGTTGGGTATGGATACAGCTGAGGATGTCTTGGTTAATGCTTTCAAGAATAAAGCTCCAGACAATACTCCTGAGGGGATAGGTGAAACGGACAATGCATCGAGTTGCTCGTAAAGTGATGGTGGTGGTTTAACGGATGAGTCGGACATGATTGGAAAATACAAGGTGATAGGACTTTTCTTCCTTTGAGTGAAATGTGGAGTTTCAAAGTATCATGTGTGAAAAAAAAAAATAAAAAAAAATAAAAAATTAAAAATAAAAATCAAAAAATCTTTTGAGATTGCTATTTAGACTTCACGCGATTGTTAAGTAAAACAAAAAAAAAAAACAAAAAACAAAAAAATAGAGAGAGAAAAAGAGACAGATTTACAGATGGCGACGCAAAAAAGTTCTCAAAGCAAGTTCTACCCCAATTTTAGAAAAAAAATATCTAACACTTCATTAATATACACGTAAACTACCAAAATGATAAGAAAAGAAACAAACCAATACGAACTGAAAATCAATAAGCCATCAAGGTCATTACCAATTCTCTAATCTGTCATCAAAGCTAAGAGGTCACAGTTGTGGACCGCTTAAGCTCTTTCACCTCTTAATCTTCTGGCCAATTGGATATCCTTCTTTTGGATGGTGACTCTCTTGGCGTGGATGGCACACAAGTTAGTGTCTTCAAACAAACCAACCAAGTAAGCTTCAACAGCTTCTTGCAAAGCACCAATAGCAGAGGATTGGAATCTCAAGTCAGTCTTGAAATCTTGAGCAATTTCTCTAACCAATCTTTGGAAAGGCAACTTTCTAATCAACAATTCAGTGGATTTTTGGAATCTCCTAATTTCTCTCAAAGCAACGGTACCTGGCTTATATCTGTGTGGTTTCTTGACACCACCGGTAGATGGGGCGGATTTTCTAGCGGCTTTAGAGGCCAATTGTTTTCTTGGGGCTTTACCACCAGTGGATTTTCTTGCTGTTTGTTTAGTTCTAGCCATTTTTGTAAGTAATGAGCAATAATATGAAAAAAAGGAAAAAAAAAATTTGACTTAAACTGGAATGCGATAAGAGTGGGCCTGATGAAGTTTATATATTAGGTTTTGTTAATATGATGTCGCTGATGCATCGCTGTGTTTGTTTACAGTTTCACTAGTGGGAACGCAACACCGCAGATGAAGAGTTGTTTTTGCGAGGTGTAGTTGCAATTTCTCTTTTGTGACTTCTTCTGTCGCTTCTGCAGCTATCAGAAAGAGAATGGTAGCTCCCAACTTATCCTCACAACAAAAGAAAAATGATAATACGTGAGCACGAGTAAAACTTAGACTAGTGCGAAAATATGGTACCAGTGCGTCTTGCACATTAAACAAAAGACACATAGCCCTCCTTTGTTGTGCAAAGAAGTTGCCTTTCCCTATAACAACAAGAGTAGCGAAGACTATCAAGGGAAGAGAAGGCAAAGACAGAACACAGAGTCACGAGAGTATTACGTATCACACACAAGACACGGTTTGGGTTGAAGAGTCTTTCTGCTACAACTTTTGTATTATGTCCAAGTCAAACACATACACATACACATACACACACACACTCTCTCTCTCTCCTCATTCATTGACTCTTGTGTCGCGCTACACACAAACACATCCTCTCTTGCACCAATTCCCCTTCTCTCTCTCTCTCTCTCTCTCTCTCTCTCTCTCTCTCTCTCTCTCTCTCTCTCTTTCTATTTCTCCCTATTCCATCAATTTCAATCCATCAACAAATTTTTACTATTTAAATATCACAACAATTTCCCATTTTTATCATCAACCATTTTTATTCTTCTTTTTCTATCTTATCTCAATAGATATATTCCCACACATATCAAATAACTATAATAATCAACAATGTCTGGTAGAGGAAAAGGAGGAAAAGGATTAGGAAAGGGTGGTGCTAAGAGACACAGAAAGATCTTGAGAGACAACATCCAAGGTATAACAAAGCCAGCTATCAGAAGATTGGCAAGAAGAGGTGGTGTCAAGCGTATTTCCGCATTGATTTACGAAGAAGTCAGAACTGTTTTGAAACAATTCTTGGAAAACGTTATCAGAGATGCTGTCACTTATACTGAACACGCCAAGAGAAAGACTGTTACTTCATTGGATGTTGTTTACGCTTTGAAGAGACAAGGTAGAACCTTGTATGGTTTCGGAGGTTAAATATCGCTAAACCAAATCAAGAGTGTTTTTCACATTATTTTCTCCTTCATTTCGTATTATTTGTATAGCATACATATATATTTTTGATTTCAAAATTTGATGACCAATTTTATCTAGATAAGTTTCAACAGGGATTGTTGAAGAGGTTGGCTCTCTTGATTGTTCTGCTGGTACGCAGATAGCTTTTTCCCATCTATAAACTGATTTTTTTTATTTTTATTTTTTTTTTTTTCTTTGTAATATCGCCTACACGATATCCTCCTCCATACTGCCACCAGCATTCAAGTGAAACTTAATCTTTCTAGCCAACCGATTCTTCCAAGTCTCAAGATCAATTGACTGTTCTTCTTTGTAATCGTCCAGAGTAAACCTCTGCCATTTCTTCATACAATCGGTATTTTCAATATCCTTATATCCCAGAGGACATGTACATCTGCACCCAACACCGTTATACCTGGGCTTATCAGGATAAATAACGCCACCGCGTGAGTCCTCAGTGAATGCAAGGTAACTCTGATTCGGTGAGTATTCTAATTGATGTTCTGGTGCATTGGCTGGACAATGAACAAATATTTCATGTCGATACCCAATGTCTCTGAAATAATGAACTTCATCGAGGTCCAAAAACATGCCAATAGCTAATGAATGGACTGGTGCATCTCCCCATCGCTCCTTGTAGAACCCACCCGCGGATTCAAGGTGTTGGAAAAACTGCTGGTATTCAGATGACGTGAAAAGATCCACTCTTGCAATTTCAAAATTGGACCAAAAATGGCACAAGTTGTAATCCTCTTTATCTATTCTATCCTCATGCAAGGTCGGCATCTTCTTACTCTTTTCAAGTATTCGACGTGTCAAATACGGATTCTTGGAAAACACATCCTCAGTTTTGTCCTTGACTTCATGAATGAATTTTTGCAAGTAGATTTGATCTTGAATTTCAACCAATATGTCGTGCTTATCATGTATGCCGTCGTAATCGCCAAGTTTATCCTCGCCAACTAACCATTTTGAGCTCAACACAAACAACTTCCAGCTACTCTTCACCTTGACGCCATTTTTCTTGATAAATGTTTGAACTTCACGGAATAAACCAGGGATGGAATAATACAAATCAAACAACATCACATTAAACCCATATTTCTTTCCCCTTTTTTCCATTTCAACAAATGGGTCATACGTCAAATCGCAGTAAAACTCAACGTTTGGTTCTACTCGCCAATACCAATCCAATTGGTTAACTAGTGGATGTAGATAAAACTTGCCCGAATAGAAACGACACATCTTGTGATAACTTTTCAAATTACCATAAAGCAATTCACGATCACCTTGAGACTCAATCCATTCATTCAATTCAACATCAGGGATATCTTTGGGGAACTCCCAATCTTCCATGGCTATTTGCCCAAATGAAACTTTAGCATTGGTTTGTTTGGAAACTGCATCTTTAAACTCGGGGGAAAACTCTTCATTGTTGAGAAGGACCCAGGGGTAGTTGAACCACTGATTGAAATGTCGCTCCATTGACTTTATGCTTGCTAAAACTCCCTTTATTTCCAGATTTCGACATAGCATAATGAATGCGGCATTGGCTCGAGGTTGGTCAATGTTTGGAACAGCACAACCGTATTGGAACGGTGAATCAATCTTTGTGTGCAATTTTTGATCACTGAGGTCTTTCATTGAGCTTTCCTTGGGAGGTTTGGTGATCTTGTATTTTATCCAATGTGGGTCATTGTTCGGTAGTAGAACATCTTTGAAACTTAGAAATAGAGATAGCACCAAGACTGTTGATAGTAGACCAATGACACTCTTTTTCGATCGGGGTAGAAGTGACTGGATTTTATTTACAAGCATGCCCAATTGGATGCACACGTAGCTCTTATGTACGCGTTAACTTTTCGAGTATCTTTACGATTATCGCCCTCGTGCACAGCAGTACAAGAGAACCTAAGAAGAAGAAAAAAAAAAAATAAAGATTCAAATTAAATGCCGCGATCTTCAAGTACAAGATTACACAAAATATAAAAATACAGAATACGTCAATCGATACTCATCATCTAAGCACAATTCACAACCACATGTCCAAACTTCACCCAATCATTCGTTATTTCTCCTTCTTCACACTTGCGGTTCGTAGTAGTACCAAATCCTCATTCAATTCTTCCGGTTTCAATCCTTGGGGCCCCACAAATTGTTTATGCGAACCGCGTGTTTGCACCTTATAAGTGCTATGGCTTCCCTCCTCACCATTCAACCCATTTCCATCATAAATCAACGATTTAACTCCATCTTCATTTTCCATTATGAACGAGTTTAATGCATCATAATCTTTGTCGCTGAAATTCGACTCGTATCCACTATTGACCCCTCCATTGGTTTTACTGTGCGCATATGCTGAGCTATGTTGAGCAGCAGAACTTGCATGTCCATTGTGCCAAGGCTTTGCACTTGCGGTGCTGCTTGATACCTCATCATTTGATGAATACCTCGTTGTGTGAAGTCGTCTTCTCTTGCCCAGTGATATATACCCCGACCCGTTTGGAGCCGATGAAATACTGCCATTCAAACCACCACTTCCTCCACCACCACCATCGGATAAATCATCCATTTCCCCAGTTGCAAATCTTCCAAAGTATTCACCTCGTTTTCTCAAAGATCTCCGGTCATGAAGGTTCAACCCCATGGCGGCCGCTAGTGTTTCATTGTCTCTGGTTGATCCTCCTTCATTATAGCTATTGCTGTTCAAAAGATTCAACAAGTACTTGTCCTCTTTCAAAGTCTTTATTTGTTTTTGTAGTTTGTCGTATAGTTTCTCCTTGATCAACTTGATCATCTTGTCATGGTTCTCCTTTGCCTTCTGCAACGCTTGGTTGTACTCCATCTCAATACTCTTGACTTGGTACTCTTCCCAAAGACGCAATTTGGTCAACTCGTAGTCTCGCACTTCTTCTAGTTCAATTTGCTTTGTCACGTACTCTTCATTCGTGCCTTGTTGTAGACTTGCCAATTTGTTCTGTAGTTCATGTAAACTATTGCGGTAGAATATATCTCGATCATTCTTGAATGTCAGCTCGAGCTTTTGTAATCGAGTGGCGATATTGTTTCTCCGTTTATCTCGTTTGCTGAGAGCTAGATTGGTGAGAATGGTTAGTAAGTGTGCTCGCGAAGCTTTCACTTTTAAAAGCGAGTGTGGGATGTGCATAGTTACATACTGTCCGTCGTCGCGGTCCCATTCCTTTTGTAGTCCTCCATGATCTTTAACTAATGTTCTCTGTGAGGTATGTGCAGTTGAAGCGAACCATAAAATAGGTAATACAGCTACTTGTTGGATGTAATACAAGTGAAAGTCTGTAGTGAAGATGAATTTTTCCTGGATGGAGGTTGGGTTGTACCAAAAATTTGAGTTTCCGTTGAAGTAGAATTCCATCAACAGAAAAACCCACAAGAAGAGAAGAAAAAGAAAACACAGATAATATGCAGGACATGTCACGGTCTAATCACGTGAGCGTCTAAATTCGAGCAGAAATAGGTGAAGTAAAGAGATAATAAATGGGCAGAAATATCCAACCTACCACATACTACTGAACCAATTGATTGTATATTTGCATGTAACAGAATGATTCAGTGAATGTAATTTTTTTCAAAGCGATGGTATACTTATTTTACACAATTTTGAAGCAAAATCTCAAGCTACGGTGGTACTCGAATTAACTCCTTTTAGAAAGCTGACACAACCATGTCTAAGACTCTAACGTGATCAATTCTGAAGCAGGTTGTTCATTTCCAGGCGTTATGTTGCTACTGGCCCTTAATCCGGTATCTTAGCGTGAGCCGCTACCAGTTTTGACGCGAAATTCCGGAATTAAATATTTGGCGGCTTTGGTTGAGACCCATTGAGTCATGGTTGAGAAAACAAAAAAAAAGAAAAAGAGTCGATTCCTTTTGGTCAACAACATCCACGAGTCCCCTCATGACATCTGGCGATGCGATCTACGAATCTGTGAAAGATCTTCCATTTGCAAATGGCAAATTTGACTCCACCCCGAAGGTGAAAGATCCTGTCATCAACTTCAAATTGAAAAAAGATCAAAGACAAGTTACCTTGTTCAATGTTCATGATGTGTCTACTGTTCCCGAGAACTTGGTGATATCTCTTCAAAAAGAGTTCAATTTTGTTGTTGAAGAGGGCCTAACCTATCCGTACCATGAAACGAAATCACTTGATGATTTCAAGAGTTATTGGTTTCACCACTTTGCGGCCATTTTGATTGATGGGAGCTACAGCTCATTTAATGATACCCAATTACAAAATCTATCAGTACAGCAATGGAATGAGTTATTTCTCGGCACATTTTATGTCAAGCCAAATTACATAGGGCGCTGCTCGCACGCTTGCAATGCAGGTTTTATCATCAATCATGTGAAACGAGGTTTAGGCTTGGGAAAAGAGTTGGGAGCAAAATATTTGGAAATTGCACCGCAGTTGGGGTACGTGTATTCTGTTTTCAACTTGGTGTTTGAGACTAATGTGGCAAGTTTAAAGATTTGGGATTCCTTAGGGTTTGAAAGAATTGGGTATGTAAAGAATGTGGCTGTATTGAAAGGTCATGATAAATTAGTGGGTGCATACATGTTTGGAAAAGATTTACAGGAGGCATAGCGGCATTTAACATGTACATAAATAGATATTGTAGATAGAAGGAACAATCACTCCATTGCAATCGACGTCCAGACAATTAGCTTAGAAAAACTGGTAGCACTTAGCTAGCTCTCACGAGTCGGTCGATCACAAGTTAGACAAAAGAGTGAAATGGGTCCAGATGATGCAGTAACCGCCCTCCGCCAACTGAGACTTGCAAGTAGACCAACTAGAAAAAGACATTACAGTGAAACTGAAGGTCAACATGTCCCAACCACTGATGCCGATCCCCAGCCAAACAAAATCAACGAAAGGTATACAATTCTTCTTAAAGATGGAGTAACAACAGCAACAATATATCCCATTTTGTCCCCACTCGAAATTCCAATAGGCCTACTACATTTCTTATGCGACGAATACAATATGGAGATTGAAAGGGGAGAGTCGCTCCCCTTTTTCGACCCACTTACACTCGAACAATTTGTTGAACATTGGTTCGCCTCCTTTGTCGGCATTATGTGTCTCGGAGATGACACACACTTGAATAAAGCTCCCGATGATAGGCCATGGGAGAATGAATGTTTGGGAATGTTTTCCATCCAGCCCCAGTACCCTGGCAAAAGATGTTCACACATATGCACTGCTGAATTTCTTGTCAATGCTGGTATCAGAGGTAAAGGTATTGGACGAACTTTAACCGATTGCTTTTTGCAGTGGGCCCCAAAACTAGGATACACTTATGCCATGTTCAACCTTGTTTTTGAGAGTAACTCAGCGGCCCGAAAATTGTGGGAGTCGATGAATTTTAAAAGAGCAGGAAAGATCAAGAGTGCTGCGTACGTGAAAAACTTTGACCAGCCGGTGGATGCTATCATATACGGTCGCGAACTTGCCGATAAATCGATAGCAGAGTCGAGTGCTTACAGATTTGACAAAATAAAGTACTATCTAGAAACCGGCAAGTATCCAGCGACGGCGGATCGTCAAGAAAAAGCGAGATTGAGAGCTGGAGCAATGCATTATAGTCTATCCAATGGAAAGCTCATGTTGAAAGGGAAGGAGGTTGTGGCCGAACCAGATCAACAGATGCGCATTTGTTACGACTTGCATGTAAATAATGGCCATCTTGGGATTAACAAGACTACCACCCAAGTGGCTGAGAAATATCATTGGCCGAGGATTAAGGAAACTGTTGGGATAGTGATAAAGGAATGCGAAAAATGCAATAAGCTACACAGAGAAGACGACAATGACGAGGGAAAGCGTGGATACGAGTCGGCACACCACGAGCTTAACAATGGCCCACAAATCAGTGAACAGATTCAAGCTGTCGTGTCGGAAGTGCAACAGGCACATAGGGATGGGTTGAGACACACATACGCAGAAGTGGCTGCTTCCTCTGGTCCAATCTTTCCAATCATTGATCGATATTTGTCTGATGAAGATACGGAATCTGACGTAATACGACCAAGAGTTCGAACTTACCAGAGAAGAGAGCGATAACAATAAAAACGTAATATATGTAAATTTCAAGTACGATATATACAAAAACCATAAAAGTAACTTAGAAAGAAATCTCCCCCAAGATCTCTATCCAATCATCTTCTGGACCATACTTTTTTTCTTTCTTATTTAAAAAGGAAAAAAAAAATCCTTTGTATCTAAAAATCAACACCAATAACCATTGCCAATAATGCCATTCTAATAAACAAACCATGTCTCATTTGTCTAAAGTATGCAGCCCTTTGATCGAAATCAACTTCTTCTCTAATTTCATTAGTTCTTGGTAATGGGTGCATGACACACATGTGTTGTTTGGCATTACTCAAAATCTTGTTATCCACGATATAAGTATCCTTCAATTTCTCATATTGTTGCTTGTCTTCAAATCTTTCCTCTTGTACTCTAGTACAGTACAATACATCTGATCTAGCAATGAGATCATCGGTCAAAACTTCAGATTCGGCAACCAACATATTGTTTTCAACCAACAAGTCTCTGATTTCTTTTGGAATTTGCAATTCCTTTGGTGCAACCAATTGAACTCTAACATGATAGTGGCGTAACAAGTGTACCAATGAATGTACTGGTCTGCCATACTTCAAGTCACCCATAAAGGTAACAGTGATACCATTGACAGTACCCAATTCTTCTCTGATTGTGAACAAGTCCAACAAAGCTTGAGTTGGATGCTCTTTTGTACCATTGCCTGCATTGATGATTGGAACTGGAGAGTACTTGGCGGCAATGTCGGCACTTTCTTCCTTTGGATGTCTCAAAACAATTGCATCTGAGTAACAAGATAAAGTTCTAATGGTGTCTTGCAAAGTTTCTCCTTTCTTGACAGAAGATGCACCTGAGTTGATGGCAACAACTCTACCACCCAATCTTTGCATGGCTGCATCGAATGAGGCTGATGTTCTAGTTGAAGGTTCGTAAAACATGGTGGCCAACACTCTTCCTTTCAAAATATCCAATACGCCTTGTCTTTCAACAGCCAATCTCATTTCTTGAGCAACAGTAAATAACGAATGCAAATCAGATCTGGTGATATCCTTCACCGACAAGATTGAGTTTCTCAAAAAGGTATTGTTCTTTCTGATGTAATCGCTCAAAGCTGCAATTTCGCCTAATGAGCCAGCAACAGGTTGTGAAACCAATTCTGATCCCAACTTTTCAAATTCAGCTTGCTGAGGCTCTGGCGCGCTTGGAGCAAGTGATGGACGACGCAAACCTGAGAATGAAACTCTCTTTTGGCCCAATACTGGTGATTGTGGCATAGAGGTAACTGAGTTAAATCTTGATCTCGATCCAACTTCATTCTTGCCCAAGGCTGCATCAGCCAAGACACCACCATCGAGAACAACCGTTTCGTTATGGAATGAAACCCTTTCGATAGCACCTCTCAATTTCAATTTGGCAAATTCAGGGTATGCAGGTTCAGCTTCGTAGTACCTATCCAAGTCGAGAATCACTTGAGCATCTTGTTTTGGAATGTTGAATATTTTGGCTGGCTTGTCGTGGAATTTCTCAACAATGTCACCAATAGTGAGTTTACCTTCGTTTACGGCAGATAATAACAATGGAATTGTTTCACTGATTCCCAAACCAGGAACAATCTTTTGATTGGTTGCTTTAGCAATCAAGTAGGGCAAGACTCCAGTTGAGAAACAGTCAACATCTTTCAAGTTCTTCCACAAGTACTCTTGATCGCTCTTTGTTGGTAAGAATGGGTAATCCAAATCATCCCTTGAAATGAACAAGGTGAAAACTGCAACATCGCAAGTGACTGAGAGTCCCTTGTTCTTTGCCATCAAGATTAAATCCAAGTCTTCTTTGGAAGAAACACCAGTAATGTGGATTGATCTGTTGTACAATGATGCCAACAAAAGAACAGATGCCAAATCAGTAGCTTTAGCATCAGTAACAATTGATTTGCTCTGTGGCCATGCAGTAAACTGCGCATTGATTGCAGAAACTTTAGATCCATCAATGTCATTAAATGGGATAAACAAAGAACCTGCATTATCAGCAGCATCTGCTACACTTTGCGAGTTGGTTTCAGAAGCAGCAATTGCAAATGAGAAATCAGTATAAGCGTCAGCTCCAGCCGTATCAATAGCGTCAACCAAGGATCTGTAATCCGTGACGGCAGCACCAGTTTGAGTATGAGGCAAAAAGGCATTGAATGTAAAACCAGCAGCCAATGATTTCTTGGTGGTCTTTTCAAAGTCATTGAACGAGGTGACAAATGATGAAATGTTGATGAGACCGGGCATAGTGGCAGTACCATGTGAGGTTTGAGCATCTCTGTTAGAAACGTCCATAGAAATGTTCCTAGCAATAGCCTCAACCAACAATTTAGCATTCTTGACATTGGTAACCAAAGGAATGGCAAAATCAACAGCCATACGACGAGATTCGTAACCCTTGGACATGTAAGAAGCAGGACGACGGAATCTGTTTGCTGATGGCAAATTAACATACAAATCAATCAAGTTGTTGGCCAAATGCTGAGTCAATGAGTATTCAGATTTCTGATCCTCTTCCTTGCTCAAAACTTCCAAGTAGTGGACCTTGATGCCATGCTCCTTGATGAAATCTGCAGTACCAGCAGTGGCAAAGATCTTGTATCCCAATTCACTCAACTTGGCAATACTTGGCAACAACTCTTGCTTTTCCTTATATGAACCAATGGAGAACAAGATATTCTTTTTTGGTAGTTTGAAACCAGTGGACAACAAAGATTTCAAGTATGCCTCGTATTTGTTTCTACCAAAAGTGGCAACTTCACCAGTGGAAGCCATTTCAACACCAAGAACTGGATCGGCACCAGCCAACCTTGAGAATGAAAATTGAGGAACCTTAACAGCACAGTAATCATCTGGCAATCTCTCACCTGGGTATGGAGTAACCGGCAAGTCCATGATGGCTTTAGTAGCCATTTCTACCAAATCAACTCCAACAACCTTGGAAACAAATGGACAAGATCTTGAAGCTCTAACATTACATTCAATAACCTTAATGTCGTTATCCTTGGCAATGAATTGAATATTGTACGGTCCAGTGATATCCAAAGCTTTACCAATCTTTGCGGTTGCTTCAACAATTCTTCTAACAGTTTCTGGGTCCAAATCTTGAGGTGGAACAATCAAAGTAGCGTCACCAGAGTGAACACCAGCATTCTCAACGTGTTCTGAAACAACATGCATAATCATTTGACCATCCTTGGCAACAGCATCCATTTCAATTTCTTTGGCATTTTCAATGTACTTGGTGATGACGACAGGGTAATCTGGAGAAACATCAACTGCTTGGGTCAAGTATGAAGCTAAATCGTCCTTGGAATAAACGGTGTTCATAGCAGCACCAGACAAGACATAAGATGGACGAACCAAGACTGGGTATCCGACCTTGTTGGCAAAGTCTTCAGCCTCTTCAATCGAAGTCAATTCTTTCCATGCTGGTTGATCAACACCAATCTTGTCCAACATTCTTGAAAACTTGTATCTGTTTTCGGCTGAGTCAATCATTTCGGGTGAGGTACCCAAGATCTTGACATTTTGTCTATACAATGGCAAGGCAATGTTGTTTGAAGTTTGACCACCCATGGAGATAATAACACCTGCGGATTGTTCCAACTCGTAAATATCCAATACTCTTTCCAAGTTGATGGTCTCAAAGTACAATCTGTCTGCTTCGTCGTAATCGGTAGACACTGTTTCAGGATTGTAGTTGATCATAACAGTCTTGACCTTGTTTTCGCGCAAGGTTCTAATAGCTCTAACAGCACACCAATCAAATTCAACCGAGGAACCAATTCTGTAGACACCTGAACCCAAAACAATAACACCATTGTCGTCGAAAGTAACATCAGAAGAATCAGCATTGTAAGTGACATACAAATAGTTTGTGAAAGCCGGGAATTCAGCGGCAACTGTATCAATTTGTTTGACGAATGGAACGACACCAGCATCTTTTCTCAATCTTCTAATAGCAACTTCGTTACTATCAACAAACTTGGCAATTTGTCTATCTTCAAATCCCAATTGTTTAGCTTGTCTAATGATTGACACTGGCAAGTTTTCCTTTTTACCATAGCCAGCGATCTTGTTTCCAAACTTGATCAATCCATCCAACTTGTTCAAGAACCATTTGTCAATGTTGGTCAACTTCCAAACCTTGTCAACTGAGTAGCCATCTGACAAAGCATTAGCAATAGCAAACAAACGTTGATCGGAAGGCGTTTGCAATTCTTGATCGATATCAATTGACATCAATGCGGCGGTCTTGTTGAAACCCAAATTGTGATAGTCTGTGGATCTGATAGCTTTTTGAATAGCTTCTTCGAAAGTTCTACCGATGGACATGACTTCACCAACGGACTTCATAGCCGATGACAATAAAGAAGAAACACGAGTAAATTTCTTCAAGTCCCATCTGGGAATCTTGACAACAACATAATCCAAAGAAGGTTCAAAACAAGCACATGTGGATCTAGTGACGTTGTTTCTGACTTCATTCAATGGGATGTTCAAACCCAACTTGGCAGCAGTATATGCTAATGGATACCCAGTTGCTTTTGAGGCCAAAGCTGATGAACGAGACAATCTGGCATTCACTTCAATGATACAGTATTCTTTTGAGAATGGATTCAAAGCGTATTGGATGTTACATTCACCAACAACACCCAAATGTCTAATGACATTCACGGCAGTAGTTCTCAACATATTGTAATCTTCATCAGACAAAGTTTGAGATGGTGCAACAACAATGGAATCACCAGTGTGAATACCCAAAGGATCAAAGTTTTCCATATTACAAACTGTGATACAGTTGTCGAACGCATCACGAACAACTTCATATTCAACTTCTTTCCAACCCTTCATCGATCTTTCAACCAACACTTGTGGGGAAGTAGCAAAAGCTTTGTTACACAAGGCAACCAATTCTTGTTCGTTATCAGCAAAACCAGATCCCAAACCACCCAATGCATAAGCAGCCCTTACAATCAACGGGTAGCCAATAGCATTGGCAGCATCAATCGCTTCCTGGACATTGTTACAAGCTTCCGATCTAGCACATTTCTCACCAATCTCCGACATGGCACTGGCAAACAATTCTCTATCTTCTGTGGTGATAACAGTGTCGATTGGCGTACCCAAGACTTTGACACCCAAACCTTCAAACTCATCCTTCAACGCAATACCGACACTCAATGCAGTTTGACCACCAAAAGTACAGTAAATACCATCTGGACGTTCGTGTTCAATAACTTTTCTCACAAATTCAGGATTGACAGGAAGGAAGTAGACTTTATCAGCTAAACCTTTAGAGGTTTGGATAGTGGCGATATTTGGGTTGATCAAAATGGTGTAGATACCTTCTTCTTTCAAGGCTTTGATAGCTTGAGAACCTGAGTAATCGAACTCACCTGCTTGTCCAATTGACAAACCACCTGAACCCAAGACCAACACCTTTTTAACATCGACTTTTGGATGAGCAGCCAAGTTATCTGCCAATTTTCCACCTGGAAACTCAACTTGCTTGTAAACTCCAGTCTTGTTGTAGTCAACAACGGCATTGATGAACACGTCAAACAAAAACTCGGTATCTCTTGGACCTGGGGTTGATTCTGGGTGGAACTGTACTGAAAAGAATGGTTTTGTTTCATGGTAAATACCTTCATTTGAACCGTCGTTTGCATTAACAAACAATTCCTTCCAACCATCGGTCAATGTGTTGGTATCAACTGCATAACCGTGATTTTGGGAAGTGATGTAACATCTTCCTGAAATGGTTGAAGTACATGGGATATTGTGGCCACGATTACCAAACTTCAACTTCAAAGTCGAGGCACCACTAGCTCTTGCCATTAATTGATGACCAAGACAGATACCAAAAATAGGAGTCTTTGCCTCTCTCAAGGCTTTTTGCAACCTGGCTACAGTTTCATCCATGACGGCTGGATCACCAGGACCGTTGGAGATGAACAAACCGTCGTATTCCTCCTTTGTAAAGTCGTAGTCCCATGGAACAACCAACAATTCAACTCCTCTTCTAACAAAACATCTAATTTGGTTGTACTTCATACCAACGTCAATGACAACAATTCTGATTGGTTTCCCGTTCTTACCCAACTTGATGTTTTCTTTAGGAGCATACAAAACTGGCTCTTTGATGGACACTTTATCAACCAAGTTTTTCACATTTGGATCATCAAATTCAGGAATTTCAAAATATTGTTGCCATTTACCTGACTTGTCAGCAATGACATCTTCAGATTTGACACTTGGTTTTTGTAAAGCCAATCTACCCAAAGTTGAACCCTTTTCTCTCAATCTCTTGGTTAAAGCTCTAGTATCAACACCATAAATGGCTGGAATGTTTTGCTCTTTCAACCATTGACCCAAAGACGATTTAGCCAAAAAATGAGAGAACTCCTCAGTGTAATGAGCAACAACCAAACCAGCGATATGGACTCTGTTTGACTCAAAGTACTTTGGCAATGCTGGAGTGTAGTCGTCGTCCAACAATTTTCTATCCGGAACACCGTAATTACCAACCAATGGGTAAGTGATGACCAAAATTTGTCCCTCATAAGAAGGGTCAGTGATGGATTCTGGGTAACCAACCATACCAGTTTGGAAAACCACTTCACCAGCAGCTGGGACCTCAGCACCAAAAGAATAACCTTGCAAGGCAATTCCATCATGGGTTTCCAAGGTCATCAACCTATCACCCGTTGACTCCATAGGTGGGGAAATTGGAACAGATAATTTAGCCATGGTTGCTGATCTTTCAAAATAAAAAAAAACTTTTCAATGGGGGGAAGGGGAATAATGTATAGTACGTGGTTATTATAAAGTCGTTATAGTTGGGGGGATACTTTGATTTTATAATATAACCAGTCAATTAGCAATGTGTGATTGAAAGGGTCTTAAGATCAGCTAAGACTAAGTTAGTATTAGGGTTCCTTCAACCAGTTTGAGAAGAAAAAGTCACGATGAGATTGAGTCTAGATTTTGTGGGATAAGCTGAGACTTTCTTTTTTTTTTTTTTTTTTTTTTTTTTTCCTTTTTGGGTCTTCTTCACTCATCGCAACATAGTGTAGTTTTTGCAACACGCTTAACTGGAGTTATGTCAGCTTTTGGGTTATGATGTCAACATCATCTCTCAAATAAGAAATCTTCTATTCACGGAAAGTCAACACTGTGCCTAAACTCTTCTCAATAACGCGTCTTTTCTTTTTTGCTCTTCTTCAGTGGCAACATTTTGCGGTGAAGTCACATACCAATGAAAAAATTTATTGATCTGCACTCAATTCACGAAGGAGGACGGTGAGTTACTGAGAAGAGAAGAGAAGAGAAGAGGAGAGAGAGGAAGGAAGAAAGAAAGGAAGAAAGAAAGAAAGAAGGGGAAATGAAAAATGAGAAATACATAAAAATAATGATATAAAATTTGATGAAGTAAAATTGTAGGAAATATTGCAAACTATTTATACTGTTCTCTACACTAACTACATCATACATACACTGATGCATTTACATACTGAAAATTTTAATCATGATGAGATGAGTAAACGCTACCTGAAATTAACAACAAACAACAAACAAAACAAAAAAAATTTTTTTCTTCTTCTTTTGTCTTTTGTGCAGTTTAACTTTGTATAATTTCACACCTGTTAAGAAGTACCTACACATCAACAATTACAAATTCCCAAATCTTCCATCAAAGGTAGATCTAATAGCAGAGAGTACCTTGTACAGACCATATTACAGAAACGAAGGCCGTCTTTTGGCAAACTTCCTTCATGCCCCCAAGCGTCACACCACCGGTATACCACGAAACGCCACTGGAAAACTAAGTTTGTGTAGAGTCTTTAACTGTATGTTTCTTTATTTTGTGTTGATTACGTATGCATACACGTCATTTTGGTTGCATATATGTATATATATAATCACCATCCGACATCTCATCTAAGTATTCATTTCTCTCTCTTTCTTTCGCATCTTTTAATTTTTCACCATACGCCACAAAGAAGAGAAGTTTTGCAGCTAGCAGTAGCATGCCCGATTTCTCTCTCATCTTGCACTACTTTTGTGGACGATTAGTAATACGGAGCTATTCAGGAGAGAGAAACCATATTGACTGTTTTGAAAGTGAACCCCGATGTATTTAATTTTTACAGCATTCTTTCGAAACATTCTCTGATGTAGTTTAAGCTGGTATCAAGCAACCTGTGTGGTAGACAGCTTTTCCTATCTATTAACTTTCAATCTTTGCAACTTACCCACCTTTACACACTTTATCAACAAGATCGACCTCAGCTCCATGGTAATCTCTCTAAGCCCGTTTTATACAACAAAGGATAGACAAGTACCAAACGCCTTTGACTTTGGAGAAAGTGTATGATGGGATCTTTGTTGCCATCTATTGTTTCAAAACGTGATTATACTACTCGATCGTGACTATATCCTTTTTCCCTCCATAGCAGTGCCAATTTTCACAAGTCAAAACCTTTCCGACTCGCACAACGCAGCAATTGCCAAACGATTTCTAACAAGTTTTAACCTCGCTTCCTTGTCAACCGTCCTGTTGATCAATCTTTCGGACGCGATTTGACAATATGGTTCTTTTGGTGGAAGCATAGATGTGAAACTACAGCACCACAAAAAGGATATCCCCAAAATCAACGATGCTTCTCCAAGAGTTTCTACAAAAATGAGGGGGAACATCCATGGGAAGGAAGAAGACACATTCTTACTCTGGCGAATCTGCCTTTCTTTGTGGTCAAAACTTGACCGTATTGTATCATCAAATCCGTCCAAGAAAATAAAGTCGTGCATTGTATTCTTATCGATTACAACCAGTGCATCAAGCACATCCCCCAAAAAAAGCATTTTCTCTCACCTTGCAAGTAGTATATCTCCCTACGTCGCAATGATTGCTCTTGATGTAAGATTAGGGTTATTCATGACTTCCTAACAGGCCGTGTGGAGTTTAATGGGGGGAACGCACGTGAGCTCGTCAACGGATAAATTAATCAATTTTCAAAATTTTCCTACCATACATAAAGCAACCTGAAAAAGCCGCATCCGCATATTCAGCCAATTTCGATCCATCCATCACTACAATCACTACTGTTGTGCTTTCGACTCAACGATAGCACTTATCCAGCTGCTTTAGCTCACCCTCCTGTGCCATTAGGCATACAATTTTTAACATCATGCCTTCGGTATCTAACTTGCCTGAGCGTTACAAGCACGCACGCTTCAAGCACGATGTTGGGTTCAAAATTAGAAATTTTATGCAGAGGGTTATCTCTGCAATGTACCCTTATACAAAGGTGATACTACCGAACTTTAGGGCAGTTCATTATTTCTACATCATTACCTTTTGCTTCCTTGGTTCGATATTGATTTATCCTGTGAAGACCATACCGTACATTGATGCATTGTTCTTTGCAAGTGGGGCATCGACTCAAGCAGGACTCAACACCGTAGACGTCAACAACGTCTCCCTTTATCAACAAATTATCTTTTACATTATTCCAACGCTTACGAATCCAATCTTTATCCACGGTTCACTACTTTTAGTTCGGTTGTACTACTTTGAACGTCACTTTGACAACATAAAAGAAAACTCAAAGTTGAACTTCCAGATGCGGAAATCGGCAACACTAGCTCGAATGAACTCAGCCGTGTCGGGAAATTCTACAAGATTGAATACGGCGAATAATAAAGAATTGGGGTACAACCAAGAGCACAATGAGGTTGATAGTTCGCAATCATCACCACTGCTTCAAGGAAACGATTTTCATCGTCATCATCAAAATGGTGGGGCAGACCACACGTCTGAGCCATCTGACGACGAAAACGACTTAGGCGTCAATGTCAACGAAAACCACTCAAATCAAGAAACGATTAACCACGCAATCAAGTTTGGAGCTCTACCGCACCCCAAAAGGAAAAAGTCAATCGATCCAGAGGATATGTATCGTTCTATCAATATGCTACGGGAAAAGCAAAAATCAAAGGGCAGCGAGGGCGGTGGAAACCGTGGTGGTGACCACGATGATGCTTCTGAGAGTCGCCCTCCGCAAAGCCCTACTATCCATTTTGCTGATTTTGCTTCACCCAGGCGAAATAAAAAAGCCCACGCATATGCAAGCGATTCCTCCCAACACTATGACGACTACAACGACGATGACAACAACAACGATAATGATAATGACGACGATGATGATGTTCTTGTGATCAAACCACCCAATGAGGTTGAAAATGCTACCAGCCACAATGCAATCTTCACCAAGAAGAAACTCGCTCGACCTCGACGGTCACTGTGGATACCATTATCTTCACGGAAGTCGCGCGGCCCTTGGAGAAACAGATTGAGAAAAACCCTTTCAAACTCGAGTCGAAAAAGGCGCTCGCAGGCATCTAGTGAGGCAGAAGATGAAGTAGATGATGATGCTTCTATAGACTCGGAAATTGATGAGAGTAACGTTTCTGGTGATGATACCACTCGTATTGGAAGCCGCAGTGGCGCAGAAAACAGCGATGCTATTGAGGATGACGACGATGACGTGGATTATGATGGGGAGGTTGATGATGGCGCTTTTACTGATGGTGACGAGCAAGATGACGGTGAAATCTCTCCAACGCATCTGAAACCACCCAAATCACGCCGCAAGTCTGCAAGCGACCTCACTGAAGAGCAGCACCCACAACGTGCAATCAAGTTTGATAATGTAATTCCCAATAAAGGTGGAAGAAATAGGAGACAAGGACGGCCTCGTGGATTAAGGAAGGTCAAAACTCCAGCATTGTCAGGTTTATCCAGCAGTGCTACTGCAGCAAACGAATACAATGATGCGGATGACAGTGACGAGTCAGCCAATAGCTTCCATCCTGGACTTTCACGGACAATGAGTGGAAACTATTTGTCTTTTGCTCCAACCGTTGGTAGAAACTCCACTTTCATGAAGATGACTGCCGAGCAAAAAGATGAGTTGGGTGGTATTGAATATAGAGCAGTCAAGTTGCTCATTAAAATCATTGTCTGCTATTACCTCGGATTCTTGATCGTTTCCTCCTTCATGCTACTAATTTGGGTGTATTGCATGCCAAATTACAAGAAAATGCTTCATGATAACGCCATCAACCCTGGATGGTGGGCATTCTTTACAGCACAATCGTCCTTCAACGACTTGGGATTCACCTTGACTGCGGACTCTATGAATTCGTTTCATGAAAATGCATTTGTACAGATATTGTGTGGCTTTTTGATTGTTATCGGAAACACTGGATTCCCAGTATTTTTACGCTTCATTATCTGGGTGATGTTTAAAACAGCACCTGAATTGTCGTTGTACAAAGAGTCATTGGGATTTTTGTTGGATCACCCACGTCGGTGTTTCACTTTACTTTTCCCCCTGCTTCCTACATGGTGGTTACTTTTCACACTTATTGCCCTAAACGGGTTTGATCTAGTGGTATTTTGTATTCTAGATGTCAACAGTGACATGTTTGATGGGGTACCCAAAGGATATCGTGTTTTGAATGGATTGTTTCAGGCATTTTGTACCAGAACTGTTGGGTTTTCCATTGTTGATTTATCGTCGCTACATTCTGCTACTCAGGTGAGTTACATGCTCATGATGTATGTATCAGTCTTGCCTATTGCCATATCGGTAAGAAGAACAAACGTGTACGAGGAACAGAGTTTAGGGGTGTATACAAAGGATGAAGAGGGAGACGAAAACACTCCGACAAACTTTGTTGGCGCGCATTTGCGGAACCAATTATCTTATGATTTATGGTACATCTTTTTGGGTTTGTTTATCATTTGTATTGCTGAGGGTAAAAAGTTGCAACAGATGGAGTTTAGGTTTTCTGAATTTGCCATTTTGTTTGAAATTATTAGTGCTTATGGTACTGTTGGAATGTCACTCGGATATCCTGGCGTAAACACATCTTTGTCTGGTGAGTTCAATGTGGTCTCGAAGTTGGTGATCATTGCGATGATGATTAGAGGAAGACACAGAGGATTGCCTTATGCTATCGATAGAGCCATTTTATTGCCTAATGCACAAATGAACCGTCACGATGAAGTTCAAGAACGACACGCTATGAACAGACTGTATAGTGACGAACGAGGCACTGCATTGGAAAGAGTGGCAACGTTTGCGAGAGGTGGACCTATTGATGGGGGCAATAATATTATCAGTCGAGTATTGACAAATGTCGAGCATTTCAGGACCAAGAGAAGGAAGAGGAGGGAGTCTGTTAATAGCAACGTCAATGCCGATGCCGATGCCGATGCCGACACTAGTGACGTTGAACAATCTATTCATTCAAACAATCCCCATTATCTCGTCACTACAGTAAGCCATGTATAGAGTCAACTAGGTAACGTGTTTATTTAATTCTTGCATATCCTACAAGTAGTTTTTTCTATTTGCAGTACGTATGAATCTTCTAACTTGCCATTCAACATCAGCATCGGTATTATCAGCCAAGCCCAATCTAATTTCGTACAACTTCATCTCAAACCTTGGCCCAATTTCACTAATCTCAATACTGTCCCTGGTTCTAACGTACACATGATGCCTCACACTTATATAGTCGTCATTATTTACAAACGTAATCACCCTTGACGAATCCCGTTTGACTCCCGGTGGAAACAAATGTTGCAAAATTTTAACCACCCTTTTACCCAATGGCGTGTTGAAGTTTTCAAATATCAAATGAGGATAAGATTCACTTATATTACCCAAATTTGGCAAATCATGCCTCAATTTGACATTGTGTAAAGTGAATATGGCAGTGGGGCCGTGTGGGAAATGACTCACGGTTAGCGATGTAGGAACACCTCTATGTTCATGCAATATGATCAAATCTGAAACTTGAACCCTTGTACATGTCTTGACCAAATCATTGATGATGTAATTACCACGATTCAATTTCAAGCTATTGGGAAACATCAATTTAATCTCCTTGGAAAACTGCAACAATCGAACGCTTGGATCTCTAGATGTGGTGATTACCACTTTTGGGTCTGATATTCCTGAAAGAGCACTATACTCATCATCAATATCTAGCTGGTCCTGTTCACTTTGGTCGTATATGAAATCACGTTGTAGTTGTGAGTCTTCTGCTAGCTCCTTTGATAATGGCTTTCCCAGTGCCAAAGCCGCCTTGAGTTGTTGACGCTTTTCAGTGCGCGAAGCTTCTTGGAGTTGCAAGGCCTTTCTATAAAGATACTCTCTTCTCTCTCTTGCTTGTTTTCTGATCATTGCTTGGAGGTGATGTGTTGAGATGAGGTTTTTGGAAATTTTATAATGGCATCGAAAATAAATTTTTAGTAGCGCGCTACCTTCCCACCACTTCAAAAGATGTTGCTGTTTTAGAAGTACCAAGTTGTGGTGAAGTCTTCCAAGAAGTGGGGTTACAGCCTACAAGTTTGGATGTGGGATATTCAACCTGAAGTGTAAAGACAAGATAGAGCTTCTGACTTGATTCCTTCGTTAATTCGATAAAAGTTATACAAATGTGGAACAATGTATTTGCACTTCAAGTATGTACCAAACACCTATCCCTCAAGATCTCACACTCACTCATTGCATAACTCAAACGAGAACTCTTTCAAATTCATCCATATTTTCCAATTCATCTTGTTGGGTAACACGTTTCAACACCTCCTTTTTCGAACTCTCTTGTATATACCCATCTAGTAACAATTCATCCAAAACATGGTACGCCTTTTCAAAGCCAAATATTATATCTAGTTCACAAACATTGCCATACATCTTGTCCATCTGTTCAACGAATCGATGAATCACCTCTAGTCCAATTAGCTCATTATCGTCATTGTCAATCCCAATGACAAAGAATAACGAGGCATATCTTCGGTATATAATCTTCAAGTCTTTGTATTCCAACACGTTACACATCTTGGCCCTCCTTGATAAAATTATAGTGGACAAATCACGAATGATTTTGGCTTTTTGTTTCTGGGGTATAGTTTGGTACCATTTGGACAATCTGGTTTTGCCTTGTCTCGAAATGAGGAAGAGGAACTGAATTGCCATTGTATTTCGTGATGAAGTAGGGACAGCAGTGTTACTAGATGTGGTATTGGTTGGCAGGAACTAGTTACGGTTACAAGCTTGTGTTGCAATAAGGGATAATTTTGTTGACACTTTTTTTTTTCTCTTTTGTTTCTGGCTGTGTACCACAATGAGAAACGTCTGGCGATACATAAAACACTATTTACGCAACACACCCTAGCTATCTAAAAACTGTAGAAAATGTCTATTGCAACCGTTCTCGTCGTTTAATGTAATGTCCTCATCCGGATTGCAAACACATCTGTTTTTTACATAAATGTTGCGGTCCTGGGGACATTGCACATATGGTGGATGGGTGTACCCAATCTGTTCAAACCAATGAAGGTCTGTTTTCGACAACATTATCATCATTGCCATTGTATGCACAGGAGCGTCACCCCATCTTTCATAAAAGAATCCTCCAACAGAATCCAAGTACTGGAAAAAGTCCTCATATTGAGCATCATTGAAGACATCCAAATTTGCAATTTCAAAATTCGACCAAAAATGACACAAATTGTACCATCCGAACTCGTTGGTGAACATTGGCAAAAGCTCGGGTTGCAAGCGCCGTTCTTGGATGTATTTGATTACATGGGACCATAATGTTGGTATAGTTTCGGAATACTCGAAAAGAGCAATAGCAAATCCATATTTTTTGTTCTTTTCCCTCATAATACGAAATAAGTCCTCATTGACGTCACAATACAACTTGATATCAGGCTCAATTCTCCAATAGTACTGGTATTGCCTCACCATCTCATGCTTGTAGAAGAACCCAGAATAAAAGCGACACATGTGTCTGTAGCTCTCGGAATCTCCATACGGAATATCGGCAAAGTTCTTCCGTACTTCAGCACAAGCAGTAATGTTTATATGACCAGGATATGACCAGTGTTCTTTTGGAATAACGCCAAAGTTTATTTTCCCACGCGGGATGTAAGAACTGAGAAGGTAGATAAAGTCCGAGGAAAAAGGTTCATCATTGAGAAAAGTGTAGTCGTAGTTGAATTTGTCGTTGAAACGGTCTTGCACCACCTGTATTGTTTCCAAAACCAGATACAAATCGTGGTTTTGAGTCAACATTAGAAAAGTTGCATTTTCACGATGGTTGTAAACTGATGATTTGAATACAGTTAAATTTTCGGATTGATAATTCGGGTGATGATCTCGCAAGAATGACTTGAAACCAGCATCATTTTTGTAGCGGTGGCACTTTGGGGCACCATCCGGTCTCTGTCTGAGCAATACAGAGGGCCGGAAAACAAGCGATGCTGCAATTAACACCAATGAGACGAGATAGATTCGTCGAAGCATATCCATCGGCAAAGAGGAAAAAAATCGATGAATGTGCAGACAAATTTGGTAGCACTGTTTTAAACAAAGCCTAACTGCAAAATGAATTTACTCTACATATTCTATTCTCTATTTCTCATCGACTTGCTCAATATCAGGCTTCTCTTTATCTTTGCTTGAGTTGTAAAGCACAATATTATTGTCAAGTGCTCCCGCTCTTTCTTGTCTCCTGTACAAGTACAAAACGGGAATAGACCAAACTGCCAATGCAAGCCCGGACGCGGCAGTGAAACTGTAACCCTTCAAGAATCTTGGCGCCTCAACCGTCTTCCACACCAATGTTGCTATCCAAGCCGTACTCTGCTGTGCAAGAATATTACAGGAAACCAAAATGATTTGACGCTCACGAAGATCTCTTCGACATATATCCCCCAAGAACGAGTAGAGAGCCGGTGCCGAACTCCAACCCCAATATTGCATGCAAAAGGCGAACCATTTCGCACGTTCGGGAATGTCCCAAACTGCAAGTAATACGTTCCCGAGAACATTGAACACCTGCGAAAAGACAATAGCACCGTAACGAGTATTGAACAAATCTGCCATGGTACTTGTAATAATCAACCATATAATTCCCAAGGCTGGCGTCAATGCAGTATAGTCTTGTAGCTGTCCGTCACTGAAACGACGGGTGACGCCGTCACTTTTTTTCAAGGAGTTAAGCCACAATGCGTATGCACCAGAAGTCCCATTTGAATTATTCCAACAAAAAATGTTCCACAATCCCAAGATGTAAATGTGCCAAGACGTGAGAACTTTCCGCCACGTTTCCCAACTAAAGAAATGGTAAAACGCATTTTCTCTAGGCTTGGCATCCTTCTGGTCCTTTCTCATTCGTCTTCTGGCAATTCTAATGTCATCATCGGATAAAAAGATGCTGTAACAGTCTTCGGGCGTGCCTGGAATCATATATATTCCAATTATACCCACAGCAAAACTAATTATTCCATCCACTATGAAAATCCATTGCCATGCCTCGTAACCTCCGACGCCACCCAAAGTTCTCACAATTGCACCCGAAAGCAAGCCCGAAGTCAAAATTCCCAAATACTGTCCAATGTAGTAGAAGCCTGCTCTACGCGTAACCTCGCCTGTGCTGCCTTTGAACCAAGATGCAAATAACGCATGGTAGGCAATGTATGACGGAGCTTCAAACGCTCCGATAAAGAAACGGATTGCTTTGAGACCGGGGACATTGACCACTTGCGAGGTGCAAATTGTTAATACCGACCAACTAATATCCAACGCTGGGAGCACATAGGTTAATGGGAAGGCGTACAAAACGTACATGAAGGGGATTTGGAAAATGATATTGCCAACTGAGAACAACACCTGTGTATTGACAAAGTCATTACCCTTCATGCCAATCCCTTGCTTGATGTTTCCCAGTGCTCCCACGTAGGCGTTTGTCAAATTTGTCTGGTCGAGGTATTTTACCCAATACGCCATGAGCGAGTAGAATGTCAACAAGATGTCAATTTTCGTAATCAACTTTTTCTCCTCGGGGGTATCGTCGTCATGGAACCATTTGAACCACTTCCTCTTCCTTTTCTCCTGAGTAGTCACACGATACTCGTACTCATCAAAGAACTTCCACCACGGACGGTCTTTCTCGTCACGATACTCAATTTCCGGCTCCTCTTCCTTCTTGGTGACAGACTGTGCCGTTTCGAGTTTGGAATCCCTCTTCTCAATACTAGCTCCTCCTTCAGTGGAGCTGCTTGCATCAGTCACGTCTTCGTCAAGATTGATAAAGTTCCCATTTTCGTCTTCATCGACGATTCTTCTCACGGGGAAAACACCCCACTTGAGCCTTTGGAAAGGGGTAATCACGGCAGCCATGGTTGATAATGTAGGTATTGCGAACTAAAAAAAAAAAAACAAAAAAGAAAGCAGGTCTCTTGGGATATATATAGCTCTGGAAAAAAATTCAAGTTTTGATCTTTACTATGCTAAAATTATGCGACCGGCATTTCCGAATTGTGGCTCGAAATCCAGTGCGGTTATGTGGTTTTGAGTTGGCACTGACGGTGGTGTGTCTGTAGACTAGATGGCCTGCCATTAAATCATTTCAGACAATCAACCCAATGTATTCTTTGTCCCTGTCGAGATCCGTGAATTACATCTTGAGTAGCAGGAGAGGCTGTATGAAGACTACAGACTTACCGAATTGTGGCAACGGCTCTAGCATCGAGGCGCGATGATTCCTATTGTTCCACACTTTTGTGAATCTACCGGATTAACCTATTGTTTAATTTTCTCTTTTTTTTTTTTTCATACGATGATTGCAAAATTGGATTTTGTTGCAATTGCACGTGCAATATTAATTTTAGTGAAGTGTGTAACTTAAAGGTGTAGAGAGAGGAACCGGACCAGAAATGTTTACGACTTTGCATGAAAGTAGTATTTGGCTTCTGTCACAATGTTCAGAGTATTCCAATTTAGTTTAAATGCAAATGTGTAATGGTTTTATGGCCCGTCGTAAAATGTAAGATTTGGCCGTTTCATGCAATACAAGAAGAAAGCAAAAGATCAAGACTTGATCATGCCTTCATTGGTATGGTGCTATACTTTCTATTTGAACATGCTAACCTTACTGCCGTTAGAATTTGTAAGGCTATAGCTATACTTATAGCACAAACCGTTTCATATTACTGTGAACATTGGTGATCAATCATTGATTCGAATGATTTCAAAAACGACGTCAAATTTAGGGATTTAATGCATTGGGGTTCACGACAAAAAAACTGAAGTTTTACCGTTAGCTTTTCTGGTGCAGCCTTGGAAAGGTAGTTCACAGTTCAGGTATTCTCTGAACAGAATATCATCTCTGTGGCATTTTGCAGTAGAGAGATGGATATATTATGAACTCAGATGTTGTGCTGTATAACGACTGAGACTGTATTTGACACACTCCCACCTATTCTTTAAATATTCAAACCACAGTACACGACCTGTGATTTTTGCCATCTTTTCAAAAGGGAAGAAAATTTTTTCTTCTTCTTAAACTCCTCTGCTTTCCTCTCTTTTCCTCTTTACGTCCATAAACTAAGAATTGTCATCGAGGCTTACAAAAGGACATGTTTTGCCATGTCATGTACTATGACTAGTATATATTGCTTCGGGGAAAGTCTCCTGTCACAACAGCGGAAACGCAATAGAATATCATCGATTCTATTCATCATCATCCCTAAGGTTGCCAACGAACCATTTTCATATTCGCGTCCGGTCAATGTTCAACGCTTGCACTCAGTGTGTTCAAAGCGGAAGAACATAAAGCAGTGTCTTTGTGGGGTGAAAATACCCCTCTGACCGTAGACGAGCCCAATGAGGCAATACAGGATCCGCCATCGTAATGGTGTTGAAAGGCTCGCACGCGCGATTAGCTGTGGGAAAAAGGCGAAAAGGCCCCTCCTTCCAGCAAGCGGAATTCCCAAAAGTGGAATTTTTTATCGAAATCAGAATCGTGTGAGAGTACGCTGGCGATATGGATGCTGAGACCTCTGGTAGGGCATGTCAATTTTGGTTGTGATTCAGTTTGGTGGAGATCATCGGTCGGTCTTTGGTTTGATCCTGGTTGTGGTTGGAGATTCTGTGTCTACGGCTCTGGACGTGGTACTAGCTCATCTTGGGCCTATGTCGCATAATGTGTGATTGTGTCTGGCCATTCGCCCGCCTTCGGGATTGGATGGTTCAGCTCTGGTACGTGTCTATTTATTCCATTTAGTCCAGATATCTGTTCCCATAGCCATGGAGTCAGCCACACTGAATCGGTTCCGCCGAGTTCACACTGATTGCAGCCTCTGGCGTGTTCGTGACTGGTTCTGTCTCTTCGAGCCGAAATCCCAGGTAACTCAGTAAATGACAAGATTGAATGAACGTGCAAAGCACATATGTTTTGAATTGAATTGGGAAATCGTGGCACTTTGCGGTTTGATGATGATGATTGGTTCCTGGTTGGGTATTTAATCCCCAGCTGGATGTTTTGCCCCCTTTTTCAGAAGGGGGTAGCCATTCTTTGACAATGGGACTTTGTGTCCTAGACGAAAGTCATGACGATTGGTTGTCATGGACAATCAACCCAATGGAGCTTACTCTTGCTTTATGGACGTCACCCCCATATTTTTTTTTTTTTTCAAACCTGTTATTTTGATAATTTTCAGCACTGTCGAAGGTGCCAGGTTTCCTTTATTTTACTAATTTTTCAGTTTAGGCATGCATCTCAGAGAAAGAAATGGTTCCCATGTCTGTGGAGAAATTCTCAGATCTCTTCAATATGATGAAACATCCAAGCAAACATAGAGTCAAGCTCTGAGCATTTACTTTAATTTTCATTGTCTGGAAAGATGACAAGTTGATTGAAGGTGAAGAGATTTGCAAATATTTCTGATACGAATAGTTTAAAGAGAATGGGGACAAATTTCCGAGTTTGAGATGTATTTCAATTGGATGTGTATGTACATTAATATATGAAAGAATTGCATAGAGGACTTTTCTTGTAACTACTCTATCTTCCAATGACTTGTTAAGCTGTTGCCGCCGCCCGATGAGCTCTCATTATTCAGTAGTTCTGCAACATAAAGAATCAATGTTGTTCCCATATTGACCCAGTTCCAAAATTTCCACGGATGAACCACTATTTTCGTACCGGAACTTCCGTACAAGGGCCACACTTGTAATTCAACACCCAACTCTCCAATGTATGACAACATTAAATGTGTGTAAACAGCAATTATCAAACATGGGGAATAGGCATAAATGAGCCGTATAATCGCTGAGGGTGGTTGGTGATGTGGAGGTTTGAGATGGAATGATTTTCTTGATTTCAAAGGGGCACGTTCACCTGAGCTTAAAGAAGATAAACGCGTGCTGGAAGATTGTCTTGATCTTTGCTGCAATGGTGTTGTTGATGGATAAGAAGCAGATTTGTACAATGATGGGATGATTTTGGTTGCTGCGTAAAAGACGCCTATGCGATAAGCCAAATTGAGCAACAATGACAAGGGCAACTTCTGCGAAGCTTCAACCAAGTATTCCCATACCCCCTTGAACGAAAGCGGGAAAGTCTTTGTTAAAAAGGGGACAAGTTCCGAGATTGGATTCATAATCGACGGAGGGATTTTGGGTATTTCGTTACGGACATTTTGCGAAGCCAGTGACAACAAATTTGTCAAAGCTTGAGAAGCACTTTCCGACAAGAAGGGGAATGTTTCATATATACATCTGACGATGTATGCAAACAACAATGATGATTCAATCATTGATCCCTTACCACTAACAATTCCAAATAAGCACAAGCCAAATGTCAATGTCAATAACGAGCCCAATAGCGATGACTCCAGTATGGCAATTGTGATGGGAAGAACATAAATCCTGTACAAGCAGTAAAATGCACCAGTGTCAACCACGGCACTTCCAATCAAAGAAATAATCAACCACGAGTCGGACTTGTATAAAGTTAACCAGTTGACAGTTTGACCCACGGCCTGAATCAACAACAACGAGCAAAACCCTTCCAATATCGTGATTATTGGTGTAGCATTAATCAAAAGAAACTTCCATACCAATACTGGATTAAACTTGGACTCAATGTTGGTACCATTTTTGTTACTATAATAACTGAGAAAATAAGTTAATAAACTAGGAATAAGGAAATGTTGGCCATAATAAACAAGGGAAACCCATTTGAAATATCTAGTCTGCCGTGCTAGTAGTTGGATAGTTGTGAGTACAAAGTATGTGACTAGTAATGTCAATGAAAATGCTAATCCACAATTAACTCCACCAACATCAAAAGCAAGTGGGATGGTAAGGATAACCCATACTAGATATAAGGTTGCAAATAGGGCCCTGATGACTCTGTGTATGGTTTTCGATGGGAAAGACATTCAAGAGTGTGGTGGCATTTACGTGTAAAAAAATAAGCAAAAAAGTGGTAAAAAAAAACAAAAACAGCAATAACAAGTACGATGTGGTGAGTAAAAACAGATGACTTTGGAAAACTATGATAATAGCTATGCGACGGAGGTAAGTAACAGGTTGGTGTACTTCTGAGCAGGGTAGAATTGGGGAGGATGTAATTGATTGAATATATGGGTATCTTTCTCTTCACCTATCTTTTGTTTTTTTGGTCTCTCTCTCTCTCTCTCACTATCTCCCAATTTTTATTTTTTTTTTTCTTTTCTTCATTTTCGTTTCGTCTGAGTTTCAATATTTAGAATTTATTCTTTTTTATCTCTCTGTTTCTCTCTGTTTCTGTCTCTATGCTGTATTTTCTGCACGCGACAGGATACATACAGGCAAACTCTCCATGCACACCCGTATATACACTTGCTTCCCTCTTGATTGGGTCTATAAATTTCCTTTAGCAATACAGCGAACTCACCAGCTCACAACATAGTCACTATGTGGGAAGTGCATCAAATTTGTGTGTGTATGTGTGTGTATTTGTGTGTGTTTGTGTGTGTGTATGTGTTTGTGTGTGTATGTGTTTGTGCGTGTGTGGGTTAGAAATCTGTTTCATGTGGAATCACGTGACCTTACCCCTACCTTTTTCTTTTAATCCTGTTCAGGTGTGAGCGTGTCGTTTCTGGTTGGGAGTTAATAATGTCACGGCCTCAGTCAGGTATTCTAATGGCAGATGGTTTTACAGATGCGTAAGGTTTGGAGATTGTAATATCACGAGATAATAAATGGCAGGATCTTACTACGGTGTATCTCGAAAAGTGTGGCAAAACACTGACACCAACTACTACCAAGCATTGCGTTAGGAGGCTGTAAAAGTTTTGCTCCAAATGTACTAAAGAATTAACGTTTATTGAATGACCACCCATGAAACTAGCGTCACATATACGTATTAAAGTCTATATGGATACACTTAGCGTCTCTTTTAAAACTCTTCGTAACTCGTGCTCTTTTAGCTTATCAGTATGAGATACATTGAATGCTTCCAAGTATCGTATCACCTCAAACCTTTGCAAAGAATCAACATCGGTGGCTTTATCAATTGGCGGTAGTCCGTACTCTTCGGGAACAGTTCCATCGGGGAAAGTTACCGAAGAGCTCCTGGAGTGGGCTTGTTTTCGTAGTGTTGTTAGAAAATTCTTTCTATTAGGCGGTGGGGGCGACGGTGATCTCGTTAGCCTCTGGCTATTTATGGTACTACTCGCATGTGGGGATGTATTGCCCTCGCTCTGCTGAGTCGATGCATTTCTCCTTGGTCTGAGATTTTTAACCTTGGGCCATATCAGGTTCAACATTTCAACAAGGAAAAGATACTGTGAAAGACCATGGATGAGAAGCTTGTCAAGGAATTAAAGAGATGGGAATTTGTTTAAATTGCGAGATGATGACGCATAATATATACAAATATGTAATTATGCGAAAGTTAAATTTTTTTGTATTTTGTTTTATTACCGCAATTCGGAGATAACCAAAGTGTGTTTTAAAACGAGTAAACCTCGCTTAAACAAAGAGTGCATGAGACAATAACGGAAATAGAAGGTAATGGGAGAAAGAGAAAAACAGAGTTATCAATAGTTTACGTCATGCACCGAAGGTAATTTGAACTGTAGAGCAACAACAACAACAACAACAAGAAGAAGATGACGAAGAAGATGATGAACGCCATAAGAAAGTCCTTTGGTAAAGAACTAAAATTGCTGCAACGCATCCTAAATTTATTTCTTCTTCTTCTATTGTTCTTTTGTACACTTTTTGTGCTCTTTGGGAAACTTTTGTTCCGTGTTCTAGATTCGCGCGTAACACTTGTGGCGAGCAAGAGGGGTGCAAACCAAACTGTGGGAATACCACTACCGGGACCCACTTGCTGCACCCTCGTAGACACACACTTCTTTTGCCAAGGAGAACAATGACGTACACTGGACTTCAACAAAAGCATTTGCGTTGTTCAGAGAAACAAACTTCTACAATGATCAAGATTTTCACACAACGTTTAACACACATATTAAAAAGTTTCAACAAAGATAACCACCACTGAAGCATACCACGAAAGTTTTAACCCACCCCAGGTCCCCTAGTGGAGAGACGCTCCAACACTCCATTTGATTCCTTGCCAATTTCTCTCAGATGACTATAACTGATCAAAGCTCAAACTTGATCAGAAAGCTCACTCAATTTGCAGATCCTCTCCAGTTGTAAATCATCAATCATGAAAAAACAGTTTTAAGTTACAAGAACTCAAGAGCAAATCACAATGCGCCTATGAGCCCAAGGCACACTTCTATTGGGAATCAACAAAAAAACACCCAGGTGTTTCCGAAGTCTGATGAAGCTTCTCCATGATGCTCGATTTATCTGGGTATATAAATTCACACTGTTGCATGCTTTTACCACTTGCAATACCATCGAAGCCAAGATGACGGCAATACTTTTGCAAGCCAATAATACAACCGAGCGCCTTTGCCACAGAATTCTACCGGTGTACTGTGCTTGGCATATATGACGTCAAATATCAAATGAAACAAATCTTTAATTGGGGTGCCGTCGCCACCACTTCCCCTTATTGTGCTACTTTTAAGTTGGATTTTTGCAAAATCTGAACCATACAAGTCTCTCATTTCGGACGTCCACGCTCTTGTCTCGGTGTTGACCAAGCTCTCTACTCTAGTAACCGAGTTGATTTTCTGATTCGAAACTCTGAGATTACCCACTATGATCTGAGTAGCTGACATCCCATATTGTTGCAACTCACGATCTAAAATTGTAAACAAATGACCAAGTGTATTTTGGAATATAGATTCCGGTGCATGATATGGAAGATCCAATGAACCAATACTACTATTTAATAGAATAAATTTGGAACTCTGGTTTCTTGCAATATGCAACAACCCACTGGTGAGTACTTCCATAACCATCAGAATACGGGTAGTTAGTTTCTTCCAAGTACCAATACTAGTATTTTCTATTGGACCCACGGGAAAATGCCAACTAGGTGCAAAAATGATTGATTGAAGACAAAGAAAATGCGGCTCGGCGCCAGAAAATGGCACGACTGCAGTTTTCAAAATGTCATTGAGCTCACTAACGGCATTCTCGATGGATTGTATAGTGAAGTCCACGAATCTGATCTCCTCGCTAACCTTATTTGATTTGATGTATTGCACATCAGTGGAATCCAAGATGGCGCAAAAGACTGTAAATCCCCTCTTTTCTAAATCGTACGCGAGGAGTCTCGTAAGGTGATCTGTAAAGGACCCAAATATAAACACTGCATCTGTTCGTGCACCATTGGGTAGTTTCGGTACTCTCCGATTGACTCGTTCAAGACTATGTTTTTGAAGTTTATTTTGAACATGATACCAGGCATACCCAAGCCCCACCCCTATCACCGATAAATAAGCGACCTTGTTTCTGGTGATATTATCCGTAGCACGATTGAAAAGTGACTCAATGTGTGATGGTGGGGGTGAAGGCGGTGGCGGTACATCCAAGCCAGATTCGTGATGAAAAATTTTGCTCAACAGATCTGAGTTTTGGAGCTTCTCCAGCTGTTTGTTGATAAAAGCACTAGTGTCATTGATCACTCTATTTAGGACTTGAACAGTTGCCTGGACTGGTTCAGCAACCATGTCGATTGTGTGATGTTGCTGTACTTCCAAGTATACTCAGAGAGAGAGAGAGAGAGAGGGAGAGAGAGAGAGAGAGAGAGAGAGATGAGATTTGCAAGCAATTTAAAATATCTTCAACGTAGATAAACCCCCCCCCCCCCAAAAAAAAAAAATAAGAGAAAACAGCGCTAACGAAATCATGTACACTTCCTAAGCTATTGATTGGTATTATGCGTCTTCAACATTGTAATCTCCCTAGCAATCATCCCGTCATCACCTTCATTGAAACCATTGTTTAAAAACTTTTCCAAGTCCTTGGGTAATCCAGTATCAACTTTATCTTGCACAGCGACAGATCTGTCCAATATGAACGATGAATCATCTTTCAACGTTCCCGGTGTGGAATTGACTGTATTTGACGTGTTGAACTTTGATATTCTCACTCCACTATGCAAAGTCTCTTTGCCGCTTCTATTGGATGACTCTCTTGAGATGAAGGACATACTTGGTGATGTATCGATACGTCTCACGTTGTTTGCTGTTTGGGCCCACAATGAACTCAATGGCAATGAGATAACCACCAAGAGAAGTGAAATATTGACTAAAGTTGTATGCGAGTCGTCCTTGTCAAAGTAGTGAACAAAAAGAATAATCGATGGGATAATCATTGTTTGAGTCGACATGATGAATAAGATATGGAACGCATCAAACTGCTTCAATCCCAAGTACCTTCTGGTTCTAATTGCCAATCCCAATTTCAACATCAAAAACAATGAAAGAACATTGACGCTGACTGAAAAAAGAATGGTTGGCATGTCCATCCATGCTGTGGTGATTTGCAGCGGTGATCCAGTTGTACCGTTGACAAAGTTTATATGTGACATCACAGTTGTGTAGATTTGAGTAGCAATCGTGGCCAACCCCAATGCGCCAGCTAACAATGAAGCAATCACACCCCAAATCTTGAATGTAGGTGTTTTGAACATGACATAGATCTGATATGTCAATGAAAATTCAATAAGTGCAACCAAGATAACCTTGAATGTATTGGCAGCATCTGAACTCAGAAATGAAGCGCCATTAACAACACCAGTAAAAAAGAAACTGATACTTGACAAGCCATTCATCAAGTAGTTGATATAACATGCTGATCTCATGATGAGCATCAACAAGATTGCAAAATTCAAATTGAAAAGTAATGATCTCTTCAACTTGTGGAAATTTTTAAACCAAATACCGGCCAACATGATTAACAACATGGATGAAGCACCAATCGTGGCACCAAGGATAATCCCATTTTCCATTTTGGAATTGTGGAAGCCATCAATGGCACTGAATGGGACTTGATACGTGCCGTCTTCCTCATTAGGAACAGTGTATGTGACGAGGATGTCGCCTGAGCTTATGTTGGAAACTATTTGATCCATGCTTTAACTGTAGGGGACGGGGAGTGGAAGAAGAGGATAGTTTCTGGAACTTGAAAAGAAGAAAATGTCGATATGGAATAGAAACTGAATTGGGGGGCGGGGAAACTGCATCAGTTTATATGTCGTGTTAAAAATTATCTCATGTTTCAGATTAAAGGGTTGGCTCGTTGCCAGGGAAGCTATTCTGTAGTCTAAAGGAGGTCAAATTCTGAAACAATCCATCACTTTGGAAAATCCTAAATTGGATATTCGTAATTTGAAAGCATTACGTTTTGCGCTCTTTAAGTGAATAAAGAAAAGGAAAAGTTTTATATTTTTTATGTTGCAAAAAAAATTACCGCAAGTGGACTTGACAATGACTGCGAAGGAAGGTGAAGGAAAAAAAAAAAAATAAAAAAAGGCATTGAACTCAAACTTGATAATGAAGGTATGTGGTGAAGTTTAGTGTACGCCAAGGTCATAGTAGGGACTCAAATCCGTTGAAATGGGGAGGAGAAGGGGTTCATGTAGAAGATATAGCAATGGTAGGTGTGCGGTAACTTACGGACCGGCGAGAGCTCTTGGCTAAGGCTTGCTGTGCATTTGCAGCATGTATCAACTCAACTATAAAGTTCAACTTTGAAACAAAAAAAAAATTGTAGCTATATAACTCTTGACTCGGAGGAGAGTATCATTGCAGGGATTTCTTACTACAATGAAATATATGCAATGATATTTCGGCACGTGCAAGCCCCTATAGTTTTATTTTTTTTTGTGAAATTGGCACTTCACAGTCTCGAGAGCTGTTTGACTACACTCGGGGTTTATAAGTTTCGGTTTTAAATCTTATCCACGAGATTGTAATGTCCGAAAAAGACAATTTTAATTGATGGCATTGTTCTTTAAAAACGTTTCCAAATGGAGGTTGTTTTTATTTGCACTCAGCGGAAAGTTAAACCCGATGATTTTAGCGATAAGTATTAGAAACAGATTTTTATCGGATGGCGTATAGAAAGACAGGAGCATTTACACCTCGATTGGCATACGGCACTAGCGACATCCAAGAATTCGTATTTGATTAACCTTTTTCTAGTTCCGGTCATTTCCCAGCTCTTTCAAGCAATCACAAATGTAAGCCAACAATTTGACACATGCGCACATTCCGTTAGCCTCTGGTTTTCTTCTTCCTCACTAGAAAAAGCTAAACAAGGGTTTCTACTTAGTTCGCCACTGCTGTAACAATTCATATCTATTGTCAATAAAAAAAAAAGTATCCGAAAGTGCTCTCAGCGATGATGTCATTCATATAAACCCAGACGAAAAGTATAAACTAATACGAACGCGCTTAGTGGTTGAGTATGTGAGAAGTGTACAAAAAAAAAAGGAGTAGGGTTCATAACCGGTAAGTCGGGGTGAGTTACGGTGTGCTGACATTTGCCGCTCCCGCGCTCATGAGCACAGTCTCTGTTTCGAAGCACCCTCAGCCTTCATGTCAGCTTGGACCTACTTTTCAAATACTGGCTTAGCCGAAACAGGGTATAACAAAGAAAAGCGTTGCGACTGCCACTGGCCTCGATCCGAGAGATTGCACAGAATAAATTCACAGAGTGAGTTTTGTGTACTCTCGATCCGGTTCATATTGTTGAAAAACAAAAACAAAAGAGATTAAAGGAAAACGTAACAAAAAAAAAAAATGCATTGCATCATACCCTAAATTGAGTCCATTCTTTCTTTTTTTTTTTAGTCATACAAGACGTGTAAGCCCCAATATGTCACGATAGTAACGAGCCCTTAGAGATGTCCTCTGAATGGTTTTACCTGAATAGCACACGTGAGAAATACACCTATAGCGAAGATAAGTTGTCAAAAAGTTTAGTACTGGTCTCCGTAACTTATTTCTGAAAATTCACTGTATGTGTGTGTGTGTGTGATGAAGAAGATACCGTAAAAGAAGAGAAAAAAAAAAAAAGATATGAAACGACACAAACTGAAGGACAAAAAAAAAAAGAATTCACTAACTTTCTCACACACACACACATGCTCCAACACTGAAATCCAACAAATATTATGTGTAATTTTTTTAAAGATATTTCATGTAAATGGCTTCGCCCCCGTAAATATTCTAGACCACTGTCAATCTGGCCGATGCATCCTTTTCTTAGCTCAGCCTCTTGCGGGGTATGATGGCAAGGCTTTTGCTTTCGGTGTTTGAAGTGGGAATTGAACAAAGAGGAATTGGTGGCTTTCTGTATACTAAGCCTAGTTTGCCAAGAAATCCGGTGTTTAAAAAACATACGCGCACACAGCATAAATAATAATAACAACTATAATAATATACAACCCTTTCAGGAAATTATTATAATTTATATTTTTTATTTTTTATTTTTTATTTTTTATTTTTTATTTTCTTTTGGCTCAGTACTACGAGTATTATGCACGAGAGGTAGTTAGTAGTTACATACAAACGTACGTATAATGGTTAACCAAGTAAATCGAATAACTGAATCACTGTAGGTGAAACGTAATGCAATAGTGTTTGAACAATTTAACAGTAGTGCAGTGTATAGTATTCACAATTTGGTCGTCATGAATCATATAGCAACAATAAGTTTAGTGCTGAGGATGCAGCTTGTGCGGAATTTGATTGGTTGAGATAAGCAGTTGACCGCGACTATTGTTACCGGAAAAAAAAATACACAACAATAAATTTCACATATGCTCGTAAATGAATACAAATTCTAGTAAAAGAATGTCAAGTTCTCTACAAGTTTCCAGTAGAAGCTGCAATCGGGACAACAATTGTGCGTGCCTATTCTCTCTTGTATTGAGTCTTTCAGTTCCTAGGGTATACCTACTGTCATTCATAAATCAAAAAGCAAAAGACGAAAAAAATCAAATGCACTTGCAATAAAAATAGAAAATGAAAAAAAAAAAAAAAATACAGAGTCTCTTACCTACAAAAATATCGTAAAATGGTAAAACAGCAACGGGGCTATGCGGCAAAAGTAATATTAACTCAGCTAGAAACTTGCATCCCTTCCTCTTAGCGAGCCTCAACCATCTTCTAGGGTTCTTCTTCAATTTTCCTTTTTTGTTTTTTTTTTTTTTTCTCAATCTTCATCAAGCCTTGCATTGCGGACACTAAGAAAGACTTTGATCAAAATCCAATCACCGGAATTATTGTTTATACGTACGGGGAGTACTGGGTTTTTCGAAATGGATCACGAAATTTTTTTCTTGGCGATTTCTATGTTATTGTCTAGTTGTACTGTGTGGATTTTTATACTTGTGTAATCTGTGAATTGTTTGAGTACTCCCACCATAGTGTACAAGTCCTGCATATGCGGTGTATGTAAGTCTAAAATCTGCTCACCTTTTGTAACTTTTGTCTCTTTCTCGGACAATTTTGCATGCTTTGTGCCTCTCTGTATTGTAGCAGAAGAAGTAATTACATTCGTATAAGGATTAGCTGTAGAGTCGTGTAGTTTGTATGCTTTTAGCTACTTTACACTACTTTTCTTTTAATTATCAATCTTATTTTGTAACTACTTTTTTAGGTTATTATTTAATTTTTTATTTTTTTTCTTTTTTATATATTTTTTTTATTTTCTACTTTATTCACCGGAGCAATGCATACCTCCGATTTTTTTTGTACACAGAAGAGTATAATCACTTGTTGTTAATTATCAAAAAAAAACAAACCGGCACAAAGTCCTTTAAGAACCCACATTCAGATATAGAGGCACACTGTTTATAAATATAATTTCAATTTCCCTCTCTTTTTCACAGTTTTAGGGTTTTTCTTGTACGATTTTATCAATTGCCGTCGGTATATGGAAAACCAGCTTGGGTTACACAGACTATTCAAACAAGCACAACCTTATTGCAGCATAAATCCACCATCTTTGTGCTTTGCCAAGACTTATCATACAGGTACACACTCAGTAACACAGTGGTTAGCGATACAGTTACTAGATTATGACCCTTTTTGAACAACAAACGGGCGCTATGGATAACCTTCATTTACCTCATACAACCATGACATCACATTACTCTCAAGATACTGGAGCCAGAAACGGATGCACTGATAACACTCCTATTCCCAGCACAACAGAATCTGCTCCATATCTAGCTGGTACAAACTACAATTTCATTCCTGAATACAAACCATATTTGCAATCACAACCATATAATCAACCACAATCCAATAGTTACTGGCAAGCGCCACAGCACACAAAGCAACAACAGCAACTACCTTCAATAAATGTCTTGCAAGCACAAACTATACAACAAGTTCAACAAGAAATGGCATACTCTCATGCCACCATACCAGCTCAAAATATGGGGTACCCATACTTTACACAACAGGACTACACGACAGGACAGCCATATATTACCATTCCTAACTATACTCCAAGTGCCAACTACTATGGAAAATATACAAATGCTCCACAGCAACGATTCCCGCTAAGTCCTGTGTCCTTGCCGGATAAAAGTACATCGTGTCCAACTACAGGTTCATCGACTTCTTCTGCCTCTTCGTCTCATTATAGCAACTCCTTGCCGCAAGTAAACCACTCAATCCACGCAAACCACGCAAACCACGCATACACGCTGCATCATTATCAACAACTACAACAGCAACAACAGCAACAGCTGAGCTCTGTTCTACCCGCTCCCGTATCAGAAGACAAGATCGACTACTCTTCACTCGTATCCTACACAATATCGCCATCACTCAAACGCAAAAGGAGAAAAAGAAACGAAAGCCATGCACTACTGTCATCGTCGTCTTCTTCTTCTTCAGCAATGCCCACAATTCCGGCAGAAGAAGAGGAATCGTACCCATGTCCAGCATGCGACAAAGTTTTCCAAAAACCATACAATTTGAAATCACACATGCGGTCACATTCAAATGAAAAACCATACGCTTGTGCTCATTGTAGTAAACGCTTTTGTCGATCACATGATAGGAAAAGACACGAACAGTTGCATAAAGGAGCTAGAAATTTTAGGTGTGAGGGGTACTTGAAAGATGGTGTTACGAAATGGGGGTGTGGTAAAAAGTTTGCTAGGAGTGATGCGTTGGCACGTCATTTTAGAACTGAAACTGGCTGGTTGTGCATTAGGCCATTGATGGATGAAGCAAGGAAGTTGGACGAAGGTGGTGCTACTAGTGGCGGTGGCGCGTCTGGGGCTCTACTACAGGTTGTGGATGGAACTGCTGGTGCAAATTCGACCTCAGACAACAAAAGCTCTGCGGAGGAAGATTTGGAGAATTCAAATATGATTAGGCGAATGATACATAATAGGTAGATTATTAAAGCAATAGAGCATTACAACTAATAGTTTCATCTCTTTTATACAGTTTTTTGAACTTATTTTGTATTATACTATAGACAGGAAAAAATTGTTATTCATTGTATTGTGTGCACATACTCAAAACATTGGTGGAGCTCCTCCAGCAGCAGGTACTTCGTCCTTTCCAGCATTGGCAATAACACATTCGGTAGTGGCCAAAAGAGATGCAACACCAACAGCGTCGGTTAATCCACTCTTGACAACTCTGAATGGATCAATAATACCTTGCTGAATCAAGTTACCGTATTCATTTGTGGCGGCATTGTAACCCCAGGTGAAGTCAGAATTTTCTTCAACTTTAGAAACGATAACTTCTGATTGGACACCACTGTTGTCCATGATTTGTTTGCATGGTTGGGTGATTGCTCTTTGGATAATTTGGATTCCCAATTTTTGATCAAATACTTGACTCTTGGATTTTAAATCTTCCAATACTGGAACTGCTTTGATTAATGCGGTACCTCCACCTGGCAAGATACCCTCTTCGACAGCAGCTCTAGTAGCGTTGAGAGCATCATCGTATCTATCTTTCTTCTCACCAACTTCAACCTCAGAAGAACCACCAACTCTAATAACGGCGACACCACCAGACAATTTGGCCAAACGCTCTTGTAATTTTTCTTTCTCATACTCGGTAGTTTGTGCATCAGCAATGACAGATTTGATTTGTTCCACTCTTTGTTCAATGTTTTCTTTGGCACCTTCGCCATTGAGAACAACAGTGTCCTCCTTAGTAACAGTGATAGAACCAGCCTTACCGAGCAAGTCAATGGTTGCATTTTCTGGCTTGATGTCCAATTCCTCGGTGAAGACAGTACCACCAGTGAGGATGGCAATATCGCCCAATGTGTTTTTCCTATTGTCACCAAATCCTGGGGCTTTAACAGCACAGACTTGGACTTGACCTCTCAATTTGTTCAAGATACAAGCGGCCAAAGCTTCTCCATCAATGTCCTCGGCAATAATCAACAAAGGTCTTCTAGTTTGGTTGGAGAGTTCCAAAGATGGCAAGATGTCCTGTATACTTGAAATCTTCTTTTCCGATAACAAAACCAATGGGTTTTCAAATTCAACTTTTCCTGTTTTGGTGTTGGTGATGAAATATGGTGAAATGTACCCACGATCAAACTTCATACCTTCAGTTACCTCCAACTCATCTTCCAAAGTCTTTCCTTCCTTAATGGTTATAACACCTTCTTTTCCAACTTTTTCCATGGCTGACGCAATCAAGTCACCAATAGCCTTATCACCATTAGCGGAGATGGTGGCGACTTGGGCAATTTCTTCAGCAGTTGTAATCTCCTTCTTGTTCTTTTGCAAGAATTCAACAACGGCATCAACCGCAGCTTGTGAACCTCTTCTCAAATCCATTGGGTTACATCCAGCGGCAACATTTCTAACTGATTCAGTGAAGATTGATCTTCCCAAAACAGTAGCGGAAGTAGTACCATCACCAGCGCTTTCGTTGGTCTTTGAGGCAACTTCTTGCAATAATTTAGCTCCCAAGTTTTCAAACTTGTCTTGCAAAGTGATTGACTTGGCAACAGTGACACCATCCTTGGTGATTTTTGGAGCTCCGAATTGTTGCTCAATCAAGACGTTTCTACCTTTTGGTCCCAAGGTCACGGAAACTGCGTCAGCCAAGGTATTGACACCCTTTAACAATGCAGCTCTTCCTTCGATCCCAAATTGCAATTGGTTGTAGGAAGCATGACGTACAAATGTCTTTGTGGCGTGTTGTAATTGTCTATTGTTAGCTCTCAACATGATGATCTGATGATATGGATGTGGATATGGATTGGTTGGTGTAACTGAAAATTTCGTGAAAAATTGATTCCATTATAAAGTAAAGTAAAATAGAGTAAAGTAAAGTAAAGTGCGTGCGCCAATGGCGAAATGGAAAAGAAAAAAAGAAGAAAAAAAAATTTCCAGAAAATTCTAAAAACAATAAACAACAGAAACAGAGCAACATCTCTTCCCTTTTTTTTTTTTTTTCTCCCTCTTTGTCTCTGTATATCCAAACGGAGATCGGACCCGATATCCAAATGGCAGCGCCCTGCAAAATAAAAATTAGGGAGAATCTTTTGGTCGCAGAGGACCTGAAAATCGAGAATTTGGCTGCAAAAAAAAAAAAAAAAAAAAAACATTGAAAAGATGAGGGACATTAGCGTATGAGAAGAAGAAACGCATTGGCCAATCTCACTCTCCTCTACCGTCTATTCGCCTCATTAGGAGGAAGATTTTGTAAGCAAGTTTGTCCCCCTGAGCCTAAGAAAGAGGAGTTTTTTTTTTTTGCAGTTCAATACACAAGTCATTATTTTCTCAGCAAATCATGCTTCTGCGTAAGCTGAATAAGAATGAATCATCCCTAGAGCGGCCTATCAGTGTATCCACTATCCTTTTCGCTACTTAGAAAAGGCTCTTGCAATGGCCCTCACTAGTCGCCCTTGTAACATCTTTCTTTCATAATGCACAAACTAAGATCTTGAGCATTACCGAATTTTCTGCAAAGTATGTATGCAAGGCTTACCTTCTCCTCAATCCCACCTTGAAAGCCATCTCTAGTTGATGAAGCGGTTGGTTTTTTTCAAGTAGTGATTAGGCTGTTCCTGTTGACATTGTATGAAGTACAATGGCATATTGAGGTATGTGAAATGCCGAGTGCGGAAATAAAGAGTGGATGCTATTGGGCATTGAGAGTTGTGGAAAAGCCGAGATAGGATAATACAAAGACTGATCAATTATGAGATTAGCCAATCAGAGTGAAGCGGATTGAGATGAACGATATGAGATTGTGAAGGCTGAAGATTATANCCGAGTGCGGAAATAAAGAGTGGATGCTATTGGGCATTGAGAGTTGTGGAAAAGCCGAGATAGGATAATACAAAGACTGATCAATTATGAGATTAGCCAATCAGAGTGAAGCGGATTGAGATGAACGATATGAGATTGTGAAGGCTGAAGATTATAAATAGAAGTGAAGTTCGACCTCACTTGGTATAGTTTAGGCATAGTTAATTAAGCAGATTAAGCTACTTTTCTACAACATATACTCGAAGCACAAGACATCAATTAAACTATGATTACAACTATTAACTATAACAAAGATGATATCGATCAACTCACAGTTACTCTTCAACAGTTCCTTGCACAAAAAGTTACCACATTGATCTCATCACAAGAGAGAAGAAGAAGAAAAAAAAAAAAAAAGTTGTAAACATACAACCAGTTCACCACTCACCACTATTCCACCACTAATTCAGATGAATATGATATAGCAACTGATCCAACCAGTGATTTCCCATTTATGATATTTGAAGATATAACAGACACCGATCACAAACTACGACGGACCAGGCGCAACACAACCCAACTAATATCCAAATATGTAGAAATAAAAAGATTTCAAAATATTTATGATACTTCATCATCCTTGCAGAAAAGAAAACTTCGACATCCTGAGGTAAAGAGATTTGTTTTGCGATTGATTCATAAACACATCCATCGAAGGATGAAACCGGAGGAGACATTTGAGGTGTGGCACAAGTCTGTCACTTATGAGGAGAGGAAATCAAAACAAAATGCGAAGAAGAAATCAAAGGCTACAAAGAAGCAGCGATACGAGGATCAGCAATTTGAAAATGATCGATTAAACCTGGAAGTTTATGAATTTCTAGACACAGAAGTTCCTGATAATTTAAACGACAACGATGTCGAGTTTGATTTGCAGATGGACGACAACCTTGATGACGACGAGGCGTATGAAGAGTACGATATCATCTCCACGGCAAAATTAGACCAGCTAACAAAAGAATTTGATACTCAAAACACTTTCACAAAGACCCAATTTCTTATAGAATCTAATGGGTTGGAAATCTTGCCAGATCAAAGAGGAATAACAACTCATTCGATCCTTAATCAACACCTCAACAACCTCAACACATTGTTGCATACAAATATCCTACGGCAAAACTGGAAAATCTCCTATCGACTATTCTGCATCATTATTAGATTCCCAATGGTGGATATTCGACAGGTTTGGCCATTAGGAATAGAAATATTGACTCATCTCGATACAAAGCACAAATCGACGCCGGCGAAGATCAAAATAACCAAATTCTTCAACTATTTGAACTCGTTTTACACCGTGAGCTACAGAAATACAATCTCCATTGAAAGAAGTGATAGATCCTCTATAGCGCCGGCATGGAGAACGGGTACGCGGTCACTTACTCCCATGTATCTAATCAATTCACTTTGGCACTTGTTTGTACAACAAGAATATGAGCAAATTTTGAATAAGATCTTGGAATTGATTTTGGAACCGCCATATCATAAAGAAGGAGTGTTGTATTTTATTGTGGCATTATGTTACTTGTGTCAATGCTGTGACGCAGTTAATCATTTTGCCTTGCAACACGATTTGGACAAGTTCAATGAAACTGGAGCAACTTATAGGTCAATGAAAGAATGTCTAAACTACCTCAACTCAAACTGGTCAAAAATTGAGGCGAATGTGAAAAAGTGTAAAGAGTTTGAGTTTGAATTACCAGTGCTTGAGTTGAAATCGCAGTGGCAGATGATTGTTGAGAAGTTGTATGAGACCGAGAAGCTGGTTGGAAACCGTAAGTTCGAAACAGCTGTGGACGCCATCGTGGACATCATTCCTGAGGGAGATGACGATGACGGTGACGTTGGCGCTGGCGATGACTGGGGTGATATCGAGTCTGATAAGGAGGATATGGTACCGCAATTGGACACTTCTTTTCAAAATAAAGTCAACGGTGTTCACAAAGGTGAACACATCCCTCACTATGAGGATAATGGTGACAATAACATGGACGATGATTGGTCTCAGATTCAGTCTGATTTTGAAGAGGATGAGCAAGAGGATGAAAATTCAGGAAAGCAGCTTGCGAACACTACCGTCGAAGAGAAAACAGGCGCTTTGGTTGATTACAACAATGAATGGGACGAGATTAGTTCAGACTCGGAAGAGGAGAAAGAATCAAGCGGCGAGTTAGAAGACACGCGTGAAATTGAAATGAAACCGTTGTACAATGAAACGCCAACACAACATGATAGTGTTCTTCTCAATAGCAATGACACATTGCTCATCAATCATGAGCATGACAGTGAAGATATCAACAACGGCATGGATTTGGGCTTGGATGGTGACCGGGCACTGATTGAGTCGGACCCTGACGAAATGGAAAACGAGCGAGCTGTGCACAAAGAGACTTCCTTAAAGGGAGAAAACTCCAATGGCTTAGATTCGGCAATCGCGTATGATAATATGGTGGCGAATCTGATGAAGCAGGTGAATGATTCTTATTCGACTTCTCAAAGAGAAGATAACCATGCTACCTATGACTTAAAGTGGCCCCAAGGTAATGACACCGATATTGATCCAAGTCAAGTTGAAGTTAGTCTTGACAATAAGCTTGTTGATTGCACATTCGATGGAGATGATACTGTTGCGGACGAAGCACCCTTGACTGGGTTTAAAAACACAGCTGATACGCAGCAAGGTAAATATGACTTGGAGTGGCCCAAGCTTGATGAATACATGTCAGTTCATTCGAGTCCCAACCTCTCCGAAACCAATGGTGAAGGTTCCAGTGATGAGTTGTCAACGGCTCTGGTTGGTGAGAAGACACGAAATGAGGATGATTGGGATTTAGAGTGGTCCCTAATTGACGATGATGTCATACTACCGGATACAGATCAAACAACAACAATACCAACAGCCAATGGTGAGAAAGTTGAACTGTCAAACGATTCAGGCGCCGGGCCCGCACACCCCTTTGAGCTGAAACCAACACATGATACCAGCGTTGTGCATCCCGTTGCCCATGCTAGCGACAGTACAGCTCTAACCATGGACAATGCTGACGAAAGTATCGAGGATTCGATCTTAAGCAGCTTCGATTTTAGGAGAAATAGTCTTGAATTACACCAGAGCCGTCTCAAGCTGGAAAAAAAATCAATATTGACGAAGGAATTGAAGCTAAAGAAAAGCAAGAACAAGAGCAAAAGCAAAAGCAAAATCGATGGTCTGGGTATCAGGATTAGCAAAGAACCGCATAGCAAGGAAAAGAAGCGAAAGACGGATAAGAAACGGCAAAAAAGGTAACAAAGATAACAAAAACGCTTAAAAAGGATGACAAATAGAAGCAATGCATTATAGAATTTCACTATGTACAAACATCTCATCAACTATCATTTGGCAACTCGTAGATTTTCAAGTCTCTGTTTCTGCCTCGTTCGCGAATTCTCAAGTCCGCTTTGCGGTCTGTTGATAAACACACTTTGTAATCAATTCCTTCCTCTTCCGTGCGCTCCAATGGTAACAAAACCCAGTCTGGTGGTATAACTGCCGTCGAAGGTAGATTGATCGTTTGATAGTTAAGTTCGCCAGCACTCAAATTCGATGAGGATGTTGTTGCCGGTTGCGTTGAAGTCAATGTAGTGCTGTTTATCGTCATATCTCGTGAGCTCCCCTCAGTTGGTGTTGCGTGTGCAACTGCCGCAGTTCTCAATATTTCAGTTTGTCGGTCCACAACAGCGGTTATATTGGCAGTAGTGTTATTGGATGGCGAGGTTGTCGGATGTTCCATTGATTGGGGTATGGGTATCGTTGTAGTTGGTGTTGGTTGTGGCGGTTCTGGTCTGTGCACTGGCTGCGGTTCTGGCTGTGCCACCTGATTTTGGTCCACTTGATCGGCAAACTGGGCGCGGTCGTTACCTCCTTGTTGCTCATCCGCACGCTGCTGTGCTCTTGCTCCGGCATCTTGAGGGCCAAACACTTTACGTCTGCATAATGGGCAGCTGTCAGATCTCTCCAACCATTCTTTCAAACATCCCAAATGCAAAATGTGGTTACATTGCAACTTCTTGGGGACTCTTCTTGGTGCCTGGGGCTTTTTGAATAGCCTGTGATACTCTTCAACAGAGTACATATCATCAAGACAAATAAGGCACGAGTTATCGGATCGTTCCAAATCCTCTTTCGTGGCATTTAGCAATTGTGTATCTAACCGCTTAGAAGACTCAATAAGTGACAAAAGTTGTGAGATTTGGATCCATGCTTTCCTCAATGACGAGTAAGTTCCTTGGAGCATAGACAATGGCAAGGATAATCCCGAGTGTATTGTCAAAAGATAAATAAAACAAATATAAGAAACCGCGGTTAGCAATGCCGATGAAATGTCTATGGCTTTGCCGTAATAAGGTTTGTTCTCCCAAACGTAATCAAGCTCGCTATCATCATCGTTTTCAAAGCCAACTTCCTCTGCATCCTCAGTGTCTCTATTTTCCACTGCGTCGCTTCCTTCCACTTCAGCTTCTTCAACACTTTCTCTTGCAAGCTCACTTTCCCTCTCAGCCTCCCTATTGTTCTTCTTGACCTTATAAAACACAATTTCATAAAATCCCAACAACAACTTGGCAAAATTTGTCAAAGCTTCAACCCCTTGAACAGCAAATTGAAATCCAAATAGCAAACAAGTGAAGGAATTGACTCCTTGGAAAACATCGTAAACTAAAAACTTTGCCACGCCAAAATCAACCACTATAAGTGATAAATTGAGCCAAAGGTTAATCAGACTTAGGTAGTACTTGATGACATCTTTCAATGCAACTCGATCACCAAATTCGTCGTCGTTCAATTTATTAAAAATTTGGAGATTTAAAAGATCTAAACGATCAAACATGATGATGTGGACCACCTTGAATGTCATAGCAATCCCCATTAGCAACACATTTAGCAAGATGTTGTTATCGCCCGTGGCTAGGTTGAGGAATAAGTTGATAGCAAAGATAGGTAGCTTCTCCAACAAATGCTCAACCTCAATCATTCGTAGTGTTCCAAACAACACCAATTGGAGTATCTTGTTGACACCAAGGAAAGTAAACACAATTGAATTTATAAATATACCAAGCTTCAATCCATCTGTGAATTCAATGATAAACATTATATAGTTAAATGACTTGGACAACGAATCATAGATAGACCAACTTAGAAGTGCCACAGAGATCGATGTATACCCGATGATATATTGCGTTGTTTTATCCATTACAGGTATCTTCGTTAGGATATGGAGGTAGGAAATACGGGTAGTAAGGGAAGTATGTGTGGCTCTGCGAAGGGGTGTGGATAACGATTAACAGGGCTAATCTAAATTCAAAGAAAAGCGGACTCGGTGTCAAATTTGGATCTCCGCGACCCGTTACCACACAAAGAAACGGCGCTACCCGAGTACACATCTCAAGCCTTACTACCAATCACCTAAACAAAGTGGAATATATATATTCGCAGATAATTAAAACAGATTTTGAAATATACATATAATACACTATTCAGTAGAAGCACAGCATTTGATATATTTTTTACACAACATTATTGACCGACAGTAACACCTTTCGTCTCTTAATTTCGTCCTCATTAGCCACATTTGTATTCAGACGTTTCATGGTTGGGATCCTCGATGGATTCTGCGCTCTGCTAGGTTTCACCGGTGACATGGAAAACGCCCGTCTCCGCGTCACTGGCTGTGGTGTTTGACGATCGTCGCGAGGTTTCTTCTGTGGCGACAAATCAGGTCTTGATTTGAGTGGAGATATCTCAAACGCACTCTTGGCGTCAAATTGTTGAATCTGCTCTAGGTTGTGACTTATTTGCTGCAACTTTTGCGAGATTTGGCCTTCAAAGAACTTTACGTTTGACTCTATTGCTGGGAGTGCTTTGATATCTGGCAATTTGTCGAGTGGGACAGTAAACTTGTACTTCAGTATGAAATCTGCACTTTCCGAACCTATGGAGCACGCTTCTTGTAACTTTTTGTTTGATTCTTCAAAAGCACGCCTGCCATCTTTCATCTCACCTTCGATCCCAGGGACAATTTCATCAACTCGACCCTTCCAATTTTTCTCATACATAACAACCTGTTCTCGTTCTTTCGCAAGTTCATCATGAGTTGCAGTAGTGGTGGCTTTCATTGCCTTCTGGATCGACCTTTCAATTTCCTTGTGTATCACCAGTTTCATGTTCTCGTAAAGTGATGTGAAATCTTTTTGAAGTATTTCTTTATGTCTCTTTTGTATCGCTCCTTCGACATCAGTCAAGTACTCCTCCTTTAAGTACCCCGAGAGCTTTTCGTTGGCAACTTTCAAGTCGGTCAAATGTTCTTGTATGTTTGTGTGCAGTTTCTGATATAGAGAGTGCAAACCGCCCATACTCTTTCGCAAAAGATCAAAAGTCAGCCCTAGATCCCCATTCACTTTTTCTTGAATGCTCACCTGATGCGATTGTAGCTTTGACTGTAGATCTTGTCGGAAATTCTGCAAGTCCGCTTGAAACGTGTGTTGAAACTGGGCAATCTCTCCTGCCAATTTAGAGTTTGACTGCATTGCAATTGTATCATGTAGTAGATCCACTGATGCATTCAAGTGAATTGAAAGAAGAGTAGTCAACATGGATGCTGATGTGGAGGACTTTTCAAGTACGAGCTTCAACTTTTCGGTTAACGAATTGATAGTAGTCTCTCTTTGTAGTAATTTTGTTGTAGTTTCTTGCAACTTCGATTTAACCTCGCAAAGGTTTTGACTCAATCTCTCAGTCTCGGATCTTAGCAGCGACAATTCATCCTTGCTTTCAATGCTAAGCTTCTCCAATGCATGGCATTTCTTACTCAACAGCTCAGCTTTTAGCGAATCCTCCTTGGACTGAGTTTTCATTGATTCATTTTCCAAAAGTAACTTCTTGTACGTCTTTTGGTCCAAGTAGATACCGTTTTTGTGTCTGGTAGCCATTAAATCCAGATTCAACTGACTTATCTCACTTGTCAAATTCTTTACCAAAATTTTCTTCAAGATCACCTCGGAGTCGTGTCCACTTTGTGGTGTATTTTTCACATTCTTTGCCTTGCTTGCGTAATCCAAGGTGGAACACGTTTCCACAGCATTGATCTGAGCTGGTGAAACGGTAGCAATAAGTGCTGTCTTGGTACTGCCTCCTAGTGAATCTTGCAAAATATGAGTAAGTTTCGATTCTCTGTAGGGAATATGCTGGGACAATTTATGATCATTCAAGGCATTGATGACTCTTCCCAAAGCCAACAACGACTGGTTGATTCCACCTGCCTCCTTGGCAACAGAACCTGACCTGCTAATATTCTCTGACCCGGCCAAATCCACCAAATTCATCTTTGAAACCCGGTACATGGACTCGTCGCTTGCTTGCTTCCGATACAACTGTATGCAGAATATTGTATGAGACCTCGAGGACGTTTCGTTCATGTTGGTAGCTGTAGTTCTCTTTCTATTAAACCCCGTCTTTAGCAACTTGATACCCTCAGCATAATCGTTGATGCAGTGTTCGGATAAGTTTTGAATACCTACTGACTTTTGCGCAACTCCAATTTTGGACACGGAGTTTACCCTCTCGTGCACTCGCAACTTTTTGTTGTGGGTCAGAAGCAAGTCTGTTAGCTCTTCGTTGTATATTTCCAAGTAGGAAACTTTTAGCATGTAATCTGCACCCATGTACTCTAACTTTTCAAAAAGCTCAAACAAAGTTCTCGGTATGATTCCAGCCACTGCGGGTAGTGGCAACTCGTCCATCTTATTGTTGTTATGGAACCCACACATAGTATACGTCTTTCCTGTGCCTGTTTGTCCGTATGCCAAGATGGTTACATTTACTCCCTCCAAAAACTCTGACAACAAAGGAAGGGCGACGTGTGAGTAAAGCAATCCCTGGTCAGCTTGCGAGCCATATACTTGGTCAAACTTGTAGGTCTTTTTGGAGGTGTTTGTAGTGGTATCTTGCGAATTGGATGGTCTCCCAAGTACGCCATTGGAATTAGAAGATTGATTGATTGAGACGTAAGGCTCTTCAATGGAATAGGTGTCGTCCGTTAGATCCACCACAATTGGTGATTTTGCCGCAATCTCTTGCTGATTTCTTCCACGACATCTCACCACTACCTGGATATTTGACATGTCAACTTGAACTGGTGTAAGCTTACGTCTATGGGATAAGTACTTTTGAAAGTGTAAACAAAAGCAAAATAAAAACCACAGGAAGATGTCACAAAAGAATTTCAATGTGTCGCGTGTATTTGTCGTGAGACTTCCCACTGCAACACAAGAGTTTACAACCATTAGCTTCACTTCATCGCCATCTTCGACTTCGTCCGGTGCAGCCCCGATCATGCAAGTGGATAGAGAGCTACAACTCAGAAAGTACATCTTTCCCTAGAATCATCGACGTTAAACTATCTACACATATATACTACTACTAGTCAAAAAAATCGTCATCATCATCATCGTCGTCGTCGTCTAGGGTTTGCTTTCTATTGTAAACAATCTTGGACTGTTGCTTTTGTTGAGTATCTCTACTCAACCCGTCGAGTATCTCAACGATATCCTTCTCACTCAACTTCTGTCTTATTTGTCCAATGGAATATAGCTTAAAAATGTAGTTTTCCACCGCTTGTGCTCTGTCTGGTCTCACTATTCTAACTCTACTCAATCTCTCACGTGCTTCAGTTTCCAAGACCTTGCCCAAGATGGCGCTTGTCATGTCATTGGCTGCAGCTTGTTGTTGCTGGTTTTGTGACGATGAGGGACTCAGACCTCCTCCGCCAGAGCTCTTTTGTAGCTCGGCCAAACGAGCCTGCCTAATAGCATTCAATTCAGCATCATCCATTGTATTTCCAATCAAATAGTCGATTCAGAAAGGTTTGGCTGTGAAGGGTAGCCTAATCTCACTATGGTCTTTAGTTAGTGTACTTTTTTTTTTTTTTTTATTTTTTTTTTTTGGCTTTTCGTGAATTGCTTCTAGAGCGAGCGCCTCTTTAAACAAAGAAGGAAAAAAAAAAAAAAAACAAGCACCTTCGCTATATTACTGATTCTATCTAAGTAGGTGGTGGTAACATAATACTTGTACTATCGACACGGACTACCCCTTTTCATCCCAATCACACATCTAGTATAAACTGAATTTTTTTTTTTTTTGTTTTGGTCATTCACCCCAAGAGACACACTAACAGTTTAGCTACTGCATTACAATGAGTTCGGACAAAACCAATATCCTCAAAAAATACAAGATTGTGTTTTTGGGAGATCAGAGTGTGGGTAAGACCTCTCTAATTACAAGATTCATGTACGATACCTTTGATGAAACATATGCCACTACAATAGGGATTGACTTTTTGAGTAAAACTATGTACCTCGAAGAGGGGAAAACTGTGAGATTGCAATTGTGGGATACCGCAGGACAAGAAAGATTTCGATCGTTGATTCCATCGTATATCCGCGATTCGCATGTAGCGGTGGTGTGTTACGATATTACCAATAAAAAGTCATTTCAAAACCTCGACAAATGGATCAAGGATGTTAAAGTGGAAAGGGGTGATGATGTTGTAATTGTGCTAGTGGGAAACAAACTGGATTTAGCTACTACAAAACGACAAGTCAGCGTTGAGGAGGTGGAGCAATTGCATAACAAGATTGGATCCAAGTTTTTTATTGAGACGTCCACAAAAGCTAATCATAATGTCAAACTATTGTTCAAAAAGATTGCTCAGTCGTTACCGGATTTTAACAAGGAAGGAGAGGAAGATAGCCAGGAGCAATCTAAAAACAAGCCAGAAACCATAAACATAACGATTGAAAATGATGATAAGGCGCAAAGTGCAAGCTCATGTTGCTGAGGTTGTAGTGTATACAGTAATATTAGGCAACGTTGTGATGGTAGCGATTTTGTAGGAAGTGGTCTAGCTGTAACGGATCGTTACTGGGAGAAAAGTTCATAAAATACGTAGTAAACACCAATTGGCTTGATTTGAGATAATGCTGAACACAGTTGGAACAGGTTCACTTCAAATGAGACGGGTATGTTGCGAGGAATGTTGCGAGCCTTTTAATGCGCTTTAGCTAGTGAATATACGTTATAAGTTTACACAACGGGTTGTCCCACCCTGAATGAAACCGCTATAAGCAAAAGTCATAGAGCCAACTGAGGATGCATGGTTGGATTGTCCCAAGCTACAATCATTTTGCAACATACTTGTGCCAAAAATTAGCACAACAAGAAATTCGGTTTCTCTAAAAGATATTTGTAACACACTCTTGCGAGGTAAAAGTATCTATATAGTTTAAACTCTCACATTCATCCACGACGCTAGTGCTTTCCACTAAGTGCTTCAAGTCAGATTAAACTCGAAATTACTAGTTGCAACCTGCACATAGGATTGGCTTTCTCGGTTTATGCAGCATGCGCTACCGATTGCAGATATTTTTTTTTGGTGTTTTTTTTTTTTTTTTTTTTTTTCTCTATCTCTTTTCGCAGGTGCGAACATGCTCATAGTTAACAATAGCACCCATTCGAAACGAGAGCTTGAAAAAAAAAAAAGTGAGACGATTCTTTCGCTTTCAATCTGCAATTTTTTTTTATTTTTGTACTGAGAGCAAAAGGAAATGGAAAGAGAAGTGCAGCAGTAATATAGAGTAAAGAAAGGTAGTGCGCAAGAGTACATGAATTTGTCAACTTCCCAAAAAAATAACCTCTAACTTTAAACAACAGAAACTAAAAAAAAAAACAACCAAACTCAAACCGCAGAAGCTTACAACAACATCATCTGTATAGCTATAGGAACAGCAGATTCTTCAACAACCTCAAAAAAAAAAAAATTCAAAAAAAAAGAGCTGATTTGCAACCAACCCCGCCATCACCAACAACAACAATCTTACCTTCTTGCAGAATTATAGAGTTCGATACTAAACTATGTCACAGGGAACGGCTACCAATGTTTCCATTTCGTCACTTTTGGATTCCAACTCGTCGTCGTCATCCACCGCTGCTGCCAATGCTGCAATGCCAAATATGAAAAAGTTGCAAAGCAAAAACAATGACAAACGACCAGTACAGACACCAGTACCGACACCAGTACTGAGGCTAGTCTCCCAATTTCAGACTTCGTTTGACCCATCAGTACAACCCGTCAATGGTGGCGGTGCAGGTCATGTGGTAGGCAGTTCGGGGGAAACTTCAAAAAAGCCAAAGCAAACAAATATCTCCACGAACGGCAAACTAAGCACGATAGTTGGAGCTGAAAGTTCGAAATCGCGATCGTTATCATTATCACCATCTCCTGCCATATCAGCCCAAGTGAAAAAGTTTCAAACACAATTTCTGGTGGAACCATCACCTCAACCAAAGAGTAAAACGTCCATCAACTCGATAATCAACATGGATGACGTCCCAACCCAAACACCAGCTCTGCTTTTTCCAACCACCCCCCGTGAAATATTTAGGAGTCATGACTTTGGTAAGAAAAAGAGACCAGGTTTGCTGACCGATGCAAACGACCCGAAGAAACACAAATCCAATACTCCAGAACTCCACAATTCCCCCAGTATCACTTCGAAGCTGAATCTAAAGCAGACACGTACCTCAAAAGAAGCTGGTGACGCATCTCTGGCAAGCAAGAGCACTCTACCGAGATCAAATTCGAATGCGACAAAGTCTCCACCAAAACCCGTCAATCTTGCTGCTCCCACAGTGATCAATCTACTAAACCCAGTTGAGGGGGACAATATCGGACAATCAACTACAGCAGCAGCAGCTGCTGCTGCACCAGATGTCGATAAATCCGACAAGGAAAAGGAAAAGTCAATGGAAAAAACTGCAAAGGAAAAGGAAAAGGAAAAGGAAAAGGAAAAGGAAAAGGAAAAGGAAAAGGAAAAGGAAAAGGAAAAGGAAAAGGAAAAGGAGAAGGAAAAGGAAAAAGAGAAAGAAAAGACTGACCCACCCATCATTGCATTGAATATCCCTCTACTAGATCCCAAGGACCCCCAGCCTGGTAAGGCTGAAGTGGTGGTGAACGTGTTGAAACTAGCCGAAGACAAATATGGGTGGTCGGTGATGCACCCCAAGGCGAAATCAGCCATTGAAGTCATGGACGATATGATTGATGATGAAGACGACGATGATGACGATGAAGATTTGGGCGATGATCAAGAAAAGGCGCCACAACAACAACAACAACCAAACTCGGTTCTACCGGTGGCACCAAGAGGCAAAGAGTTGACTGAAGAACAGTTGGTACGACAACATGAAATCAAAATGATTCGTAAAGTGGGTAAATACGATTTTGAGGATCCGTTTATTGACGATGTGGAATTACAGGTTGAGGAAGATATTTCAAGCACCAAAGAAGGATTCTTTGTTTATTGGGGTCCATTGGTTGACGATAGGAGTTCAAGTAAGAAGGGTGTTAAAAAGAAGTGAGAATATTTCTATTGAACAAGATACAGACAATTTTGAATACCAATTTACTCTCTAATTCTATCTATTGTAAGCTTCAACATTCCAGCGGCGTTCTTTTCAAGCTGGTTCAGGCCATTTTTATTAATGGACTCAATGTTCCTCTCGAGACTCTTCAAGACTTTCTCCACTTTGTCAGTATTCGCGACAACAACATCCTTCTTCTTCAACGCCACAAGTAAATTCAAGATTGACGCCAACGCTGAAAGTTTACCCGGGTCCATTCTAATGTCTCCATCACTCTCAATAAACGCTTCCGACTGAGCCAATATAGCCCATTCAAGAATATCATTAAACTTTTCATCGGTCAAGGCGTAATACGTGGTGGTATTTATCCTTCGAGGTGGCAATTCAGGTGCCTTTACCCCAGCACCACTATTCTCCTTGAGAGACACCTTTCTCAAATCCAGTTCAACGTCATTGACATTGGTTTTCAGAGTCAACAAAAGATGCTTATAAATTCCAATCAATGCAGGTCGTATCACTTCAAATGGACAATTTTCAATAGTGTCCTTAATCACATCGTACCCCACTGATTCCGGAGTCAAAATCAACAATTTTGTCAACAATGTCAACATCATGTACCGTACTCTCAGCGACTCAAACGAATGGAAAACAAAAATCAAGCATTGGTAAAAAACTGGCAAATACTGTTGAGGAATCGATGTCAAATCAATCTTGGCATCGTAGTTTGGGTCACTTTTGATTTCATTTTGTTGTAACGCATACCATATCCAAAACAAGGCCACATCCTGCAATGTTCGATGGACAAATGTCTTTTGCACCATTTGCGGAATGAGTAATCGTAATGCAATGCAAATGGCATCGCTTAATGTGATCAAGGGGCTGTCAAAAGAACGCTTAACAACAATGGACTGTGTGAATAATATGATTTCTCCAAGTACAGAGTCATTGATAGACTTGGCGTCACTATCCACAATATTTGTCAACAAATTAGTCTGGTAATCAACAACACATTTTTCAAACAACACATCAGCAAAATCATCACCACTGTGGGAGATTCCCCACACAAGCTTCTTGGAGTCGTCAACAAACTTGTCAAATATAGTCTTCAAATAAATATCAAACAGGTACGACAACTCGTAAAATCTGTCCAAAATGGCAGTATCCGGAGCAGTCTGGTCATCGAGAATCTTCCCTGCATCTCTTTCCAAATGGTAGAAATGGCGCATTGCAAAATACGAAATGTAGGACGTAGTGCCCATATACACCATATTGGTGATAAAACCAGTCAAGAGCTTCCTAATCAAATAATCCTCATCCTTCTTGATTTTGGCGAGCTCGGTATCTGTATGTTTCACGTTATCCGGCTTTGGAGCACCGTCGTAATTTCTAGCAAAGCCATACGCCCTCTTCAATACAAATTGATAAGTTTGGTTGGCGATTGGAGTTTGTAGCAAACTGTACATCAAATTGATATACGACCCCACACTCATTGCCAACAATCTCGATGGGTACAAAGTTGGTATCTTTCTCAAACAATTTGCCATCAATTCATTGAGATTGTACAACTTGATTTCGAAAAAGTTTTCCTTATTGCTAAACTCCATATTTGGGTCATCACTCAAACTCAACGATGCCAACAATTCAGAGCTCTTCAAAAACAACTCTTTTGGGTTACCTTCTTTTGCTAGAATCTCAAATATTTTTAAGATCTTGTAAACACACGGTGCATCTCTTATACCTGAGTTGAATTCAAAGTCAGATTCAATATAGGGGATGATGATACTAGGGATATCCCAACCAATTTCATAAACCAAAGTATCACTCAGCAGCAAAATTTCCAAGAGACAAGACATGAGCTGTTCTCTTTCATCGTAGGTGTAGCGAGATGGGTCGTGTAATTGAATATCTAGCAATGTGCTGTATGACAAGTAGTCCTTTTCCGCAACTGCATCCTTTGCACCATTGTTTAAGCTTTCCACAACCTTTTCAAATGGAATTGGCTCATGTATTGTGGATTCACTCTCCAAGTCCGACGTTGACCTCAAATCTGAGTTCTCTTCTGCTTCAGATGTCATTGAGACGCGAGTACTGGTTTAACAATAGCAAAAAGGGTGTCTGACCCTTTAGATTTTTTTTATTTTATTTTATTTTTTTTTTAACAAAGTTTTTCTGTCGCGGAGAATCCGTTTTGCACTTGTAAGCTCACTCCAGATAACTATGTCACATATACGGCACTCCGAGCCAGAGAATGAAGATGATTCCTCAAGTCTATCATCAAGCTCATCGTCCAACCTGTCTTTACCTGTGAAGGTAGATGCTACGGAAGACATAGAGGGTCAAAAGTTGGAGCCTCGTATACCACTATCCACATCAATCATCTTGAACAAACTACCCGTGGAAAGACAAGAGCAACTAGAGAGAACGCTTGAAGAGCGTGAACGAAAACCGCCTCTCAAAGCCGACATTGCTGCTAAACCGGTCGCGGATGAGCCTTTGAGAATCAGCATACGATTTCAGCCGATTGGGTCAACCACCGCCATCAATCCTAAGGTTTTCAAAATATCATCAACGCAAACAGTGGCCACATTGAGCAAATTTCTTTGTAAACGGCTCAAGCAGACCCACTTATGCCTATACATTCAGAACTCATTTCTGCCGGCTCCCGAAGAAAATATAGGCGATTTATACAGCTCGTTCAAGACAAAAGATGAATTAATTGTGAGTTACTGCAACTCAGTTGCCTTTGGATAGGTGCGAGGGGCTTAGCTGAACTTAGCTGAGCTGAGCTGAATTTAGCAACTACAATGTACATCGACTTAGAAAGGCAAACTTTAATATAAAAAAAATGTAAAATATATATATATATAAATCTAGATAAAGAATATTCAACCATCGACTCAACGTCAGTGGAAGATTGATGGTATCAGCAAAATTTCAACAAAACAAGAAAAGGCAATCAAAAAATAATACAGCATTGAAGTTTGACACAATCGTTGGCAGTAGCAACAATACCAACCAACCAACAATATTTCTCTCAGACAGTAAAAGACCGAATCAAGAGCCCAAAAGAATACAAAAAAAAAAGGGCTCGGAGATCAATCTTTGCTCTTCTTTTTATTTTGGACCAAATCACAAACGAAACGAAACGACAATTAAAAAGAAAAAAGATAAAAGAAAACACACAGCTCTTTTTTTTTTATCTCATTGGAACCAGTTGTAGTTCATCTCTTTCTAGTAAAAGACAAACTTGGCGTTACCGGAGTTGACAGTGACGGTACATCCATCAGATCCGTGACCATTGTATTGTCCGTTTTCGTACTTACAGTTTCCGTTAACGTCGTCACCTTCGATTTTAATGTTGTAGTTTGGTTGGTCTTTGTTGTTTGGGTTTGGAATCAATGACAAGTAAGTCTTACCACCAGTAGTACCAGCACCAAGGACAACTGGGGCCCAGTTACCAACGCCGGAACCAGAAGTTCCCCAGATACATCCGTCTTCAACAGAGACACCAGCGTTGTTGACATAGTATTGAGTAGAAGTCTTGCCACCTTTCCAGTTGTAATAGTTGTCGGAGTCAACAACAGCAACTGGGGCAGATCCACCACCGGACAACAAGGTTGGGATGTTCATGTTTTCAGAACCTGGGTAGTCAGTTCTACAGATGGCAACATCCTTAGAGATTTGCGAGTCAAATTCAACATTGTTGGCACCCCATGAACACAAGTAGTCCTGATCTTGGTTTGATCTGTACAATTTTCCACCCTTACAGTACAATCCACCAACGGAGATACCGTTGCTTGGTTGTTCAGATGGCCATTGGGTCTTTGACATACCAGCTTGACAAGCGTAAGAACAGTAGTAACCATCTTGGCAGTTGGCAGAAGTGTCACCTTGCTCATTCATGATGGTGGTCCATCCACCGTTCAATCCTGAAAGCCAGTCAACAGCAATAACACCCTGACCAGTGACAACAGAGTCACACGAGTGAACACCGTCTTCGAATTTTTCAGTTGGGTCAACAAAAGCCTTCAAGTCACCAGCAATTGAGGAGTCGCCTGATGATGATGAACCAGTTTCAGTTGAAGACTCTTGACTTGATGAGGAAGCTGATGAAGAAGAAGCTGAAGTTGGGGAGCTGGTTTGCCCACCTTGAGATGAAGATGAGGATGAAGTGACAGTTGATGCTGAAGCAGTAGCCGAACCAGAAGCAGTGGCAGACGGGCCTGAGACGGTGTTTCCGTTTCCGTCAACATAGACAACTTGAGTGACAACTGCTCTCTTTTCTTCTTGGTGGTGGTGGTGGTGTTGATGTTGCAAAGGAGCGGATAAAGCAGTAGCTGCGATAGTCAACAAACTCAAGACTGATGATTTCATTTTATAAAATGTTGTTAATAGTACGATAGGTAATAATAGTTGGAGGAATAAAACTCTTGTTTAATAAGGAAAGACAATAGTTGGGTGGTAGTAGTAGTAGTATAATACGTTGTAGTAGTAAGTTAACTAACGTCTATATTAAATGAATGTGAATAAGCTTGATCGTTGGATGAAGAAGAAGAAGAAGAAGAAGAAGATAGCAATGTATGATAACTTTTTGGTTGACGGAAATGGAAATATATTTATATGAAATTGTCGACAATATTTACTATTTACTATTTACTAAATAATTGTTTGTGTGTTTACAGTAAAGGGAAAAAAATTTTTTTTTTTTTTTCTTTTCTTTTTTTTTTGTATTTACTCTGCCCCATCAAAACTTCAAACAAACAAATTGCAACAAAAAGAAAAGAAATTGTTTAAATTGAGGGTTTCCTGTATAAAAGAAAGAGTCAATTGTGACACAAGCAGGACATTGACATTGTTCTAAATTGCATTGAATTATTTTATTGGCGTATGTTCCTGCATACAGGTGCATTTATTTATTCATCGTCTGTTTATTAAATCGCCTTAATGAGTTAAATTGGTCTGCAATACAATAGAGCAATTTTGTGTTATAATCCCAACTTTCAGAAATTAATTATTTTTCCTTTTTATTTTTATTTTTTTTTTTTTCTCTATTTAGTGAGAGAGAAAGAGAGAGAGATCTAGAATCACTTGCGACATATACACTACAAAACCACCAACAGCATATAATTGGATACATAATAGAGTAAATAAAAGAAGTTGCTACCAGTAACATGTTACCAGTAACCATAGTAACAAGTAAAACCCCTCCTCTTGCTATTCTTTTCTTCTCCCTTCGCATGGCAGCGGTCTTGACAACGCAACACCTTGGTCTAATCACAGGACAATTGACTCGCTATCCCGTTGTCTTTTTCGTCTACAAAAGCTGACACTCACTCACTCACTCCTTCCATCCCTCTCATTTGATTGGCGCTTTGGATACGACAACGAGAGGAGGTATTACAATTGAAGAGCCACAGCTCGCCTTCCTGATAATGACACTACCCAATGGTCCTCTTCTCGTCCTGTAGGTGTCCATTAAACACTACAGCTTCATAACCCAAGAGAATAAAGTGACACCTCAATATTGAGTCTGAAAGGAATACTAAACTTTAATTAAATTACTTACATATGGATAGGGGATCTACGCTTCCACCCGTTTGTTGCATTTCTTTTGTTTTTTTTCTTTTCTTGGAAGTCCCCTATTCTCTCTCTCCATTACTTGTCCTCTTTGGGCCACACTAATTGGCCCATTTAAAATTGTAACCATAATGAAACCGCAGGACCTGTGTTGAAAAAATTGGTTTCAAACACAAAAATGAAGAGACCAGTCGTGTGCTGAACAGTTTTTTTCAACAAAGGCTCTGAATTGCAGTGAGGCTGTAGTCGAGCTCCTTCTGTTGTATTTTTTGTACATGGTACACGTAAGTGTTAATTAAGGTGCGACAATTGGGTGGAGTTTTAAACAATAGGCAATACACTAAAACCGTTGGGTAGATGGTAGTGGTGACTTAGATTGCCATTAGATCGGAAGGCGCCGAAACACCCTTCCTCTTGAATATACAAACCATGGGTGGGCATTTTCAATCGAAAAATCACACCGTAAAAATAGATTCTCACTTTCGAATTCTTTTAGCCCGTTCGCATAGTTTAGATATATTTGAAATTTCTCAATCATTTTCGAGCCGTTCAATTGAGAGGCCTTTTCCGCCCATTGCATCAGAGATTTAAGTTGACGATGTTTGCCACCGTCTCCTACATCTCAACTCTCAGCTGTTCTAGTCCCACGTCTCATTCCCTCTTTTGTGTGTGCCCTGGTTGATTTTGTGGATGTTCATTCTTGTACATTTCTCTCGTTTTTGAGTTGTACACACCTCAGCCTAAATAGGAAGTGTCATTTGAGCTGAGAGTGTGAATAGGAGAGAAGAGAAGTTTGTGTGAACAAAGCAACTTATCAAAAACGGTTAGTGGAGGTATCGGGTGGGGAAAACCTGTATTCCGAACAATAGTGTAAATCTAGCAAATCACCGTTGTAAAGAGTGAAATTTTTGTGTATTGCCCCCACCCTTAAATGCAACCTCTGCACAGTTGGATCAAAGTCTTCTTCATAGTCCACATGTTTGCTTTGTTAACTCTACAAAGCTTGGAGCCACCAATACAGAGCTTGGTCAGTAGTTATATTTGTAACATCAAGGCTCCAAATCCGAAGTATTTCCGCCGTAAAGAAATAAAAAGAAAAGCTATTCTACAATTTGTGGTTGAATATCAGATTTGCCTTCATTTGAACATGACGATCTGAGACATGCATAAAGATTACCCGCATAGCTGATTCATGCATTACACTAGACTGGAATTAAAAAAAAAACAACCTGCTTTGTTTATCTAAACTCGCACTACACCGTCTGAGCAGTGGTGAAAATTTTTTTTTTCACCAGTTTTAGTTTTGTGTGCAATTGACTCTGTTGTGACATGTAACCAATTACTGGTCCGCATTTGGACTATAAAGTAGAGTATAGACAAATCTCTTATTGTTTACAGGGCTCTCCAGTCTCATGTTTTTTGGTTATGTTGTGAATCTAGACCCCCCCCCCCCTCCCCCAGTTGTTGAGAATAAGTGGTAAGCGTTGGCAAAGAAACAACCAGTAGTTGAGTAGTGATGAATGGAAACGCTTCTGTGAACACTGTAAGTAGAAAAGCTCTAACTCAGGCACAAATCGAGCCTTTTTGCTTAAGATGCCTTTGCCACCAGGCTTAACTCACACTTCATGGCTCCACTTTCCACAATCAATGTAGGATAAATGTCTTTTCCAATCTAATGAACGAGAGCAGACATGTCTCGTTTCTTTTTTTTTTTTTTTTTCCTGTTTTTTGCATATATTGTCTTGCTTATTTACTATGCATAAACGAGACCGTTGAATTTAGGATTGGTCTTGCGGAGCCATCGCAGATCTAGAACGCAGATCTAGAATACAGTCATACTTCAAAACGTAAGTAGATTGACTATTAGACAGGTCGTATCTTCGTTTCTTTTTCCTTTACGTTAACTCATCTCACGTCTGATTATTAATCCAAGGGTTATTTCAACAGGAGATATACGAAGATATTTGAAAGGAGGGGAACGATACGGAGTGATTCTCAGAACCAAAAAGAAAAAAAAAATAAAAAATAAAAAAAAGAAACTACACACATCGCTAATATTGTGATCATGTAGAAACGCATTGTCAAGAGAGGTCTAGATGTTGCGGTGAATGCGTTGGCTCGTTTTCAAGCTGCAGCTCTAGTTACATCAGAATCCTTACAGACGCACCTTTGTAGCAGGACTAACCAGACTTTCAATCCAGGTACACAGTTTTTTTGCAATCCCTGTTCAACGTTTTCACCATCCTTCCAACTCACCCAAGAGTCCAATACATGAACCCCAAAACGAATATATTGTATTAAAAACCCATAAACTAACAAACAAAAGTAGAAAGGAAATAGTAATGATTAAAAAAAAAAAAAAAAAAGAAAAACGTAGTCTCAACTAGTTAGTCACATTGGAAAACAAAAAATTGGGTATAACGAAGAACTGAAAAAAAGAATTAAAAAATCAAAGAAGGAACATAATCGGAATCAACGAAAGTCTAACCCACAACAACCCACAACGATGACATATCGTTCACAAAAAAAAGGGGACATGATCAAAAAAGTAGTGAAAAGCAGGAGCGAGTACCTTTAGTATCCTCCTCCTCTGCCAACACCGCACAACTCAAACGTTCTCAATTATTGCCTAGACTGTGCCCTCATCTTGTATGCCTAGGTTAAACCATGGATGGTTCAACGCCTCCAACGCCGTGATTCGATCCCTAGGGTTAATCACAAACATCTTCTTCAACAAGTCAATGAAGAACCACCAAAATGTGAAATTTCCAAAATTGATCAAATGCTTATTCTCTTCATAATTTTGATTCAACGAGTAGTCAAAATTTATCCTCAACCCGATTCGCGAACTGATGAATAAATCAATTCGAGACAACTCCTCAACGGCAAGAATAAACTTCTGTGGAGTCGATTCGGTGGGAAACTTCAAAACCAAAGAATTGGCCACGGTTCTCTCTTCATCGAAAATGACATCTTCATCATCGTCGCCACCAACATCATTGGAGACATCTGAGCTATCCATTGTATGGTACATATTTCGACGGCGTCGGCTCAGGTCGTAATCAACATCGCTATCAAGACCAACGGCACCGACATTGCGAACAACCTCCCCTTCTACATCATCATCATCCTCATCATCATCCTCATCATCCGAGCACGACGAAATTGAACTCGTACCCGCGGGCGAGTCCCGCACAGAGGAACGCAACAAGTTGGCTTCCAAAGAATCACCACCGACATACTCATTCGTGAAATACTCGAGCCCGCACTCATTCTCATTCAACTTGGACAATTTAACCATCTCCTTATCAATCCGATAACCAGCAATCTTTTCAATCATTGCCAAGTGTTCCAAATTGTCATGTGTTTTGAATAACGGCTCACCGATAATAAGCTCCACCAAAATACAACCTATTGACCACATATCACAGGGAAACGACCAGCCGGTCCCCAACACAATTTCGGGAGCCCGATAATGTCGCGTTGAAACAATCAGCGAATGGTACTCGTCATCGAAAATGGCGCTTCCAAAATCAATAATTTGTATCAACGGATTCTTTAAAACTTTGGACGTCTTGGGCACTCTTTTGGTGCTGCTTTTGGGGGATGTGGCAGTGGCGCCAAGATTCAAAAATGCACTCTTGATGGTAGAGCTGTACAATTGTTTCTTTGTAAACGAGTCATCGTGTAGCAAAATGTTTTCTGGCTTGAGGTCGGTATGAATCAAGTTCAAGTCATGAAGAAAAGTGACTGACCTAATTAGTTGTTTTGAAATTGCTTGTATATGGCTTCCAGGAAACGAGATAAACTTGTTATTTTCCAAGAAGTCATACAATGAAATCTTCAACAAGTCAGTGACAATACAAATATGGCCACGATAGTCAAAACATTCACGTAAATGAATACAATGGTTCTTGTTTGCATTATCAAACTTCTTTAAAGTCGACAAAATCCTCAATTCAATTCTGGCAGCGTCTCTATATTTCTGAATGTTTCGAATAATCTTTATAGCAACTTGCTCCCTATTGACCTTGTCAAAACATTGAACAACTTTACCAAATGTTCCCTGGCCCAACAATTTGACAATCACAAACCGATTGGCAAACGAATCATTAATTTTGATAATGTAATGACCATTTTCGTCATCACACGGTGGTAGATTGTTTTGATGCGGTATAACATTGGTCTTGATATTGCCCAATTTGGGTGTTTGTAGTATATAATTGTTGGGGAGTTTGTTGTAAAAACACTTTACTTGGGGTAGCTGAGGTAGCGAGCTCGTACGTTGTTTCTTCACTCTCGTTGATTTGTCAATCTCAAATTGGTTAACATTGAAAAGATTGTAAGCTTCTTGCGCATCGGGGTTTATCAAGATCGAATCACTATTGTTTCTTCTCCCCCGTGGAGCAACGTTTTTTTCATCAATAATGATGATATCGTCATCATACTCATCATCCTCTTCCATAGTAATGGCATTATCGCCATGTGCAGCACCGTCTCTTGCTTCAACGACATCAATATCGTCCAAAACAAAAGTGTCCGTCTCCTCGTCATCCAAAACAACATCATTCTCTTCAGCCAGTAAAAAGGGATTGTTGAATTTTGACTTTTTGGGTTGCATCTGAGGGCTAAAGACGATTGCGGAGCTATTATACCCGAAATTTGAATTTTGGACAAAATTGCCATTCGAAGAGCCCTCAAATTGGTGTGTTTGGTCAAGATGGTTCAATTGGTCAAATTGAGCGGGGCCATATTGCCGAGCTTGGTGATTTTGATGTGGTAGAAACAGCAGTTGTTGTTGTTGTTGTTGTTGTTGTTGAGATTGTTGTTGCTGTTGCTGTTGTTGCTGCTGTTGTTGCAGCAGCAGCAGTTGATACGACGAGTTGAGGGCTGCGGATTGCAGTGCAGCAAAGTTTTCACTATATCCCCTAGGACGCTTTCTGTTGGTCAACAACGACATACTAGTTAGGACTTGGAAAGTGGATGGCAAGGTAGACAAGAACTTGTTGTGTCTACTTAAGGACAGATAAGGAAGGGGAGAGGGAGCGGTGGTCTCCTAAGTTGCTGTGACAAGAAGGAAATAAAAAGTGTATCACCTGCCGAAGTGAGTTTGCTTGTCAAGATAGTAAGGAGGTGGCTTACTATCCCTCTGGGTGTCGTCGTCTATGAATCACAGGGCTCTGTATGTGTATGTGTATGATTTCGTTTATGTTTGATAATTTGTAATATTTTGCTGATAACTGTGAGAAAAATAATTTTGGATAATTTTGGGGAGAGAGAGAGAGAGATAGTGCGTGCACAATATTACAATTCTCTATTGTGTGTGTGTGTGTGTTATCATTACAAAACTGTAAAACTTTCCCATTTCTAATAAATATGGCACACGTTCTAGCCACACTGATAAGTGTATTAAAGCTTTACCAATAGTTGGTCTCAGCGTTGGGTGACAAGAATACTTGATTGACTTTTCAACAACTGTTGTGATCCATTTTAAAAGTAAAAAAGGCAGAGAGAGAAGCTGAATAAATAACAGCACCAACAACGTGGTGTGGTGTGGTGTTGTGTGTGTGTATGTGCGTGTGTGTGTGTGTGTGCGTGTGTGTGTGTTTTTTTTTAAAAAAAAGAAATCAATGAAATGGGGTGTCTTGGGAAAGCGGAGAACTCTTTTTTTGCTTTTCATTCAATTTCATCAATACGGATGAGTTCTTTGCAAGTGCATCCCTGCTAACAGCTAACAGATACCCCCCACATTGGCAGTAGGTCTACTCGCACGTGGGCCCTTCTGCTGGCTACATCCAAACACTTATCTATCACCGTTAGTCTATACAAATTTCTCTTGTGCTGTTGTAATACTTTTTTCCCTTTTGTAAGACAACGCATTTTTTATGTTGCTCCCAACACACATACAGTGCAAGTATGGTCAGAACTGCGGTAATTTTTGGGTACTTTTGGAGCACGGTATTTGGATATCTCGTACCCAAGCATACTTTGGGTTTGAGATGCTTACGAGAAAGCATACTATGAATCCCATGAGTATTGAGGCGTTATCGTACAAGACGAAGTGGTCGTGCGCAGTCCTGAAACAAACAACAAGTAAAAGAAAACGGAGTTACAAAACCACTAAAAATGAAAACGTGGGAGATGTTTGAAACCGACACCAGAAGGTTGAGCTCGCAAATAGGCTTAGTTGAGAGGATAAACGAAAGATGAGGAACAAGTCTGATTGGTAACATACTTAGCATACGAAAACGGTTATGTTACTTAATCTAATGTGTGGTCGTTATTATGATGCTAGTGTAAACCAAAGCACCTTCGCAGCACCTTATTTGTTTCTAGTGCACGACTTTCATGAGGTAACAACAAGGGTGGGAGGGGAACACAACTTGGGGCCAATAAGTCCCCTTCTTCTCAACATATAGTAGCTACTCTCATTGTGTAGGCTAACCGGGTTGGCTTGGCCTGTTATAACAGCCTGGTTTCCATTTGCACAATCTCTTTGAAGTCCCAATCTGACGGTTATTGATTCGCAGAGATAGCTTTTACGATAACCTCCGATACTCTATATCCGTACCCACCATTCGTATAAACGAGTACACACTTCTCAAATTCTTCCGCCATGCCCCCTCGATTTTGAAATAATGGCTAACGAGAGAAGCTTCTACTGCCTCATCTGTCCTTATTTGTTTACTTCCCCTAAAGCCATTTCATTTTCTGATTGCTTTTACGGTGCTTCTTTTGAATTCTTAAAGTGCAGTATCATGATTGATTCACCAGACCCTACAACCAAACCCAATTACATTTTTACCGCTCCACATTTACGTCGGCTACTGTTTCAAGATAATAATGTTGATCCTGATAGTCCTTTCTTGGGTGCGAGCGCTTTGCAGTACTTATTCCTCTGCGTATAAACAGTATTTGTTAACGTTCAAGCCATTTTCAATATAGGTTTGAGTGCTTCACTGTGAATGCCATGAAATGTGTCATTCACTCTTGTTGTAAAAGTCTCTCGCGTGCTATAATCATGGTTATTAGAGCTGGCTGCATTTTGTGGCAAAGCGAAGAAGTTTCCATTCCATTTTTGTGACGTTTGTTTCAAAAAAAAGGTACACCTTATACAATGCCAAGCGGTTAACGAATAGCCGTGGAATGCTATGACCAAATACCAAAACATTGCAGTGAAATGTTTGGATATGTATAGATTTTAGTCAAAATGATTAACAGGAGCTAGAAGCATTTCGTATTGACCTCGCCATGCAGCAGTCGCCTCGCCCCGCAGTTCTCTGCCTCGATTTCTGCCCATAGTAGTGTATCTTTATCCAAAAAGTCAAGAAAAAAAAAAAAAAAGGAAGTTAAATACGAAGCCGCATGGAGACACACCAACTTTATCCGGGACCTTGTAACAGAAAAATTCTTTGATAACAAAAGGGTGTTAACCGATCGATTGGTGGATGTCTAGTTTAAACCTGACAATTTGTCTCTTTGAAGAGACGGAAAAAGGGAAAACCAGACGCCAGTACAGTTTTGTTGCCACATTTAGTCCCTTGTGCATAATTCTGAGACACCGCCACATCGTAACGACTGTTAAACTATGGGAATATAATAAAACTGAAGAGATGGCATGATTAAAGAACAAAACAAAATAAAAGCTTCCCTGACGTTACAAATGCAAAATATTATATAACTAGAAGAAGAAAGCTCCGAGGAATTTGCAACCATTTATGTTTCGACAAAGTACGCTCGACCAGACAAACTGTATATACTTACACTAAACATACATTATGCAGGACGGTAGCGTGTGGTGCATGAATTTCCTCTTTTGATTACCAGCGAGCGCGGTTTATTGTTCAGAGCAACAGCACTGAAAAAAGATTACACAAGAAGCAAAAGAACCCAGAAAAGAAAGAAAACGAATAAGGTGTGACGATTTCTTAGTCGTGACTTTTATATTTCGAACTGTGTGACTTCCTTTATGCTTCTTTGCGAGCCGTGCTGCTGTCATGGAAAATGGAAGCTCGTCATATGAGGTGAGTGCATTTTTTCTTTTCTTCCTTCTCCGATATGCAACCACGGATATTCATAGCGGTTATGGAAAAAAGTAAGATTGCTCTGTACTACACAGTATTGTGTAACTCAATCCTCACAGCGGGCTCTGCATCGACGGAAATACGCATACTCAACTATATGTTATTTTGTTTTTGTAGCCCGTTTCTGCTAAAAATATTTCAGTACCTACATACACGACTTTGGATACAGAAGCTTGAAAATGCAATGCAAGCATCATTTACGGTGCTTCACTATTAAGATGACGAGGCGGCATAATACTAGGCTTTTGCAACCTTTACAGAAGTGTGGAATATTATCTTCGCTAAGAGGGGTATCCTTGTTGTATTCCACAGAATACTGGCCGATTCGAAACCTTAAATTCAAAGATGTTACACGGGGATTTAATGCACAGCAGTATAAACTGAAAAAATAAAAAAAAAAAAGGAAAAAAAAAAAAAAAAAAAAAAAAAAAAAAAAAAAAAAAAAAAAAAACAAATTTAGAGACAATAAGGGGAGAAACACGATTGTGTA